TTAGGTGTATGTAGAAGGAAATGGATCAAATTTCGATGGGGGCAAATACGGGATTTTCAACAATTTTGGAGCATGTTGAGGGTCATGGTATACATGAATAAAAAGAATACGTCTAAAAATGTCTTTAAGGCTTCTAATTGAAATTTACAGTATATTTATTAAATTGCGAAGACTACATTTCAATAAAACATGAAAAAAAATAGTCTCATAGATGTTATTATAACATATAACACATTTCTAGCCAGTAACTGATAAGATCCGGCAAGATTTTTTTGTCGAAAAATGTCAAAATTTTGCAATTATCTTGTAGATTTTCAAAATAAAAAATCGTTTTTTTTTCTCAAAAAATAATGTAAAAATTTTAATGCCCATATTTTTATCTGAGGTTGTAATAGAGGCCACTCAAAATTTATAACTTCCCGTCCATCAAAACACCCAAAAGCCTCCGCTTTTTACCACCTCAAAAACAAAGAGATTAATGCGGCTTTACAACTCCCCCCTTCTGGCCGAACAATCGAATTAGAGCGGGAAAACAATTTCAAATTTGGGCCGAGACTTTTTGTGTTCGCGACAAGTTGATTGAGGGCCTTGTGCGGCGCGGCACTAGTGGTCATTAAACCCCATTTTGCACACTCTCTTTATCCACTGGCCGAATTAAATTATTTAGTACACTATTCGTATACGAAGAGCTAATCAGTTTAGGGATTCTTTTGTTTTCTTAAAATTAAAATCCAAGATATTCTAAGTCGGCTTAAAGGACCGGTACGGCTACTTTTGAATTGGGAATTTTACGGCTTGGGAGACGAAATGCCCAAAAAAAATCGTTGTTTATTGTGACAATACTAGTATTTTCGTAAAGTCACGTGAGCTATTTTTGCGACATCTGTGAGAAAAAAACAAAGGCGCACCTTCCACCGTGCAATAGACTTTTTTGGCTGTCGCTTGCACCCTGGCTTTTTCTGGTGAGTGCAAATCCCCAAAAATCACCACCAGTGACTTTACAAACGAAATAGTCACGTCGAGAAAAAATTACAGTGGAATCTTGCATCCGTACCAACAAGGGAAGTACCCCAAGTGCGACGCCCAGATTTTCTTTAAATTTTGCACACACGTCAGGTATGGACTAGGTATCCATTCCTGAAAGTCTTAGCTCGCGCTTTGCGAGCGCCGCCGAGATATCGAACGATTTTTACCGCCGAGAGAGTACGCTAAACGCGGAAAGCGGTTAGAGAGAAAAACTTTTCTGGCCATAACTTGGCCAGTTTCGTCCGGAAAAAATTGATTTTTTGTAGTAAAAATTATCCTTTACGGTAGAAATAGGCATGAAACTTTTCGTGCCGAAATTTGGCAAAAAGTCTTAAATTTTGGCCGACTTTCGATGTAGAAATCTCGGTTGTTTCTGCGAAGCGCGAGCTAGGATTCTCGCATATTTCTTAGAAAAAACTATTCTAAATTTGTGCCAAGTTTCATCAAAATCTAAGCGTCGCACTTGGGGTACTCTGAAAGTGTTATTTTACTGCTATTTTGCCGACCTTTTTTTTACTTTTCGCCTTCAAAGCCGCAAAAAATTGAATTCAAAAGTAGCCGTATTAAATCTTTAAAACTTGGCCTTTTGTATTGCACAATCAAAAAAGTTCCAACACCAAAAATCACATCCGAAAATGGGCGCGTTCCCTGTCACGCTTCCCCGATTCCAACACCATTTCCGATCCGCAGTTACTCACTTTCGGGGCGGATGAAGATCAACTGGCACGCGACTCTCCCTTTTTCTTTTCATGGAAGATCGAAAGTGGTTGAATAAACTCTTTTCACGCGTCTATTTTGTGGAGAAATACCTGGGTGGTATGGAGGAAGAGACTGTGGAATGAAGTGTGATAAAGTGAACTACGATTTTATAAAAAAAAATTTTCACAAAGTAATTTTTTCTATGTGCGAGCAGTTTTTTTTATTTAATTTTTGCATGGATTACCTGGCCAATCCGCTTTTTAATTGTTGAAAATTTTGGCTCAATGCTGTACAGGAGCAGCCAAGATTTCAAGTATTTTTTTCGTGGAGTCTAATAAATTTTCACAAGATATTTCCAGGGGAAGTACTCCAAGTGCGACGCTCAGATTTTCTTTAAATTTTGCACACACGTCGGGTATGGACGAAACATCAATTTCTGAAAGTTTTTGCTCGCGCTTTGCCGGCGCGGCCGAGATATCGAACGATTTTTGCCGCCGAGAGAGAGCGATAAACGTGGAGAGCGATCAGAGGGAAAAACGCTTTTTGGCCATAACTTTGGCAGTTTCGTGCGGAAAAATTCGATTTTTTGTAGAAACGTTATCCTTTACGGTAGAAATAGGCATGAAACTGTTCGTGCCGAAATTCGGAAAAAAAGTCCTAAATTTTCGCCGACTTTCGATCTAAAAATCTCGGTTGTTTCTGCAAAGCGCGAGCTAGGATTCTCGCATATATCTTAGAAAAAATTGTTCTAAATTTGTGGCAAGTTTCATCAAAATCTGAGCGTCGCACTTCGAGTACTTCTCTTGTTAATATGAAACAAAATGGGAGATCCTGAGGATCAGGGAGAAAAGGCACCTTCTAATTTGGCCCAAAAATAAAGAAGTTATGGCCGATTCAAACAGAGCCACAAAAATGCAGCACCATGTAGGAAATAAAGAGAAGTTTGGCCAGAGAAAATAGTTTTTTCTCTGGCCGACTCTCCTCATTTAGCCTTATCTCCCAGCTCTCATAAATGTCCCATTTACACCCCAAAGGCATCCAAAAAGCTCCTAAAAATAAGCATTCTTTCAACGACAACAAAAACAACTTCTATACCTGTACATGTCATCCACATACATTAAATTATATTATTATATAATATATATCTATATCAAACAAAAAAAGAACAAAAGACCTCTTCCCTCAATTTCGTATGATCCCCTCTCCACTTTATTGGCGTATCGCCCGAAAAATGTCTGGGCGGACCACGTGACTGCTCGAGGCGAAAAGTTTCCCCAAATTTATGGGCCCAACTCTTCAACTGGAATTAAATTAGAAACATTTTTTTGGGATTAGCGGCTCAAAGACCAATGTTACGATATGAATTGACAATTCAGGTAGCAATGTTGTGAACACTAATAAAACCGGAGCAATATGAATAATGACAAAAGCCGCTACTTTATATATTTTACTTGTTATCTGGGAGACTCTTTTAAAAATAAAAAACGATGACAGATGACTGTTTATCGATAGACAGCTGATAAGAGTTTCTAATTAAACGAGGTTCTAATTTATCGGTTGTGGCGACATTTTATACGATGAATCGTTTTAAAAAATGGCGTTTAAAAATTTCATCGTATAACATGATCTCCTTCATTCGGCTATGATTTTTTTCAATAAGGGGTTTACTACTGTCGTGCTGACATAAAAAATTCTAGATTATAGGGAGTTGTGGCGACATTTTATACGATGAATCGTTTTAAAAAATGGCGTTTAAAAATTTCATCGTATAACATGTCCTCCTTCATCCGGCTACAATTTTTTTTAAATATAGGGTTTACTACTGTCGTGCTGACAAAAAAAATAACATTTAAAATGAAGACATTTTTTGCCATGTTATATGATAAAACCTGAACAAAAAGACAAAGGTAAGACGCATTGCTCTAAGCCATGTTTGAAGTGACAATTTTGATGAATTACTTCGAACTGCCTGTTTATCTCTCGCTTTCACGCGCTTGAACTACAATAATGTGCACTTTCGGTGAGGGGGCTTATCTTGTTTGTAAACAATACATATGCTCTATATGTCATTGTTGCATCATATAAATAAAATTTGTTTGATTAAAACTGTTTATGGGGTAAATACGTCATCATGAAGGTTTTTGTGAGACCAATTTGGAACAAATCCGTCAGGATGACATATTTTTTGAAATTATGAAAAGTGAAAAAATTTGGAAACATTTCCAAGTAGACCCCCAAAGAACACTCGAACATAGTAATATCGCACCACCCGTCCACACCCCGTTTTGTCTAACCTCGTGGTTCCCATAAAAAAACTCGTTTTGCGAACGTCGGGACGTCCCTTTTGTCGAAAACCACGTGGTTTTCCCTCCCATTTCTCGGAAATCAGCTGATTTAGTAAAATTGACATGAGTTAGGTTGTTAGGTTACTTCCTAAAATTTAAGTGTACTTTTTGGGAATGTGCAGACGTTTTATACGATCAAAGATGTTTAGAGATGTTTGTGTAAAATTTCACCGCAAAAAATATTTATTTGTCCAATAATTACTTTGGGGGTTAATAAAATTACAAAATTGAAATTTAGAGTAAATTTTCTTCTTGTGACATTTTATACGGTGAAAAGTGTTTGGAAATGTTTCAGCGTATAAAATGTCCGCCGATCGGACAAATAGGTCATACCCGTAATCAGAAGACACAGTGAGGTTTAGAGTCAATTTTCTTCTTGTGACATTTTATACGATGAAAAGTGTTTGGAAAGGTTTCAGCGTATAAAATGTCCGCCGATCGGATAAATAAGTCATACCCGTAATCAGAAGACATAGCGAGATGGAATTTTGCGAAAAAAATGTTTTCAATACTCAGTTCCACACACACACACGATCAAAAAATCCAGAAAACTGTTGTGTCATAATTTATTCATCGTCGTAAAATTGAATAATAACTAAACTAACTATAAAAAAATTAATTTTAGTTATAGAAAGACACTATTTACATTTTCAAACCAACTATTAATAATATTATACTAGGTTACTAACTAATGACTGAAATAATATAAAACGTTATGAAAGACTAAACAACTTTTTTGGAGGTTTTGTAAATGAATACGAAAGACTATGAAGAAGAAGAAAACATAATAAAACCGTATTGAAAATGATACTGTAAGCCTTATAAGCCAAGAAGAAAAAACCACGACCAGTCGTAGGTAAGCTAACAAAAACCAGCTCTATGTACAATCAAACAAAACATAAACGCTATGAAATGAGTAGCAGGTAGCAGTTAGAAGGCGGCAACACAGTCAAACGACAAGATATGTTCGCTTATGATTTCATTTCCCAGGGATCGCAGATGTTTGGAGGCCATTCGAATATGGATCAGATCCGACACCACCGTGCATTTGGCGCCGTCCGAATGCTCAGAGGGTATCATTGCGCTGCAAAGAAAATTGTCAACGAATTATAAAGTATGGCGACATCTTATACGAAGAAAATTGTCCAATCTTCCGAAAACACTTTTCATCGTATAAAATGTAACTTTTTGCAAGCAGAATGGTGTAACTACTTACAAGTAGACTATCGAAAATTCGATGCTTGAATTTTTGACATTTTTTACACAAGTGACATCTTATACGATGAATACTTTTAAAAACATATTTTTTCGTATAAAATGTCACTTTTCGTCAGCAATAAGGTGTAACTACTCATCGGTGTCCCGTCATAGACGCGATTCATGAATCTTCGACATTTTTTACACTAGTGACGTCTTATACGATCAATTCTTTAAAAAAACACTTTTTATCGTATAAAATGACCCTAAAGCATGACAATCTTTGTAAAATACGATGGAGCAATGTCTTTTGCTTACATTATCATTTTTTGCACTTCCTTGGGCAGTCTAACAAACCCTTCGAATATAACAACATCTTCATCATGATCCTCCTCTTCTCCCAAATCAATCCACTTCTGATGAATGTTGCGTTCAAATGTTCTCAAAATAAAATTCTCATGTTCTGGACGAAGAGGAACACTTCCAACTGGGTGGGTGTGAACATAATCAAAGGCTTCTTTGACGAAATGAATTGCTTCATGATGAGATGGGAATTTGTGGCGGAAAGAGACGTGAGACGATTGGAATTCGGAAAATTCGACCTGGAATTTTTTAGAGAGTAACTTGAGAACGGGTAAAATACGATCAATCCCTTATATTCAAATTTTGTCAGGCATGTTCCATCGTATAAAATGTCACCTCTAAATGTAAAAAACTAAAGAAAAAGTCACCTTGATGTGCATGTCGACGTGACAAATGTGCAGGATCTCATCTACGGCGTGCTGAATCGCTCGGAAGGCCGTTCTGTCCAGGAGAAGACGTTGATGTGCACAGTCGAAAACAGTCGCCGATTTGGCACCAATCATAGTGTAAGGTTAGTCTTGATGAGCTTTGGAAGCTCAGAGAAGTTGCTCGGATTCTGAAATATAAAAAAGTTTAAATACATCGACGAACGCAAAAATCCGCGCATATTATATTATTTTAGGTAACAGTCGCCTAAAATAAGGTAAAAATGACAAAGTTGTGGGGAAAATGGGAAGGTATTGCTGCGAAAATAAAGCTCAGGTATTCTGCAAGCTATATAATAAAGTATCAAGTTAATTTACACAGTATATGAGAGATTTTTTGTCCATTTTTCTTTTTTCCACCTAAAATTTCGGAAAATTTGCGCAACTCGTCCGAAACTGCTGAAAACACATCGGAAACGGCTTTATATAGCCTCCTTCAGAATTACAGTACCCTAATTGAGCTTTCTTGCATCAAATAAATTCCATTCCCACCCCCAATTTGACCCAAATTCCCGCTCACGATCAGCTGCTCAACGCGGAAAAGGGAATGCGAAAAATTGGCGATATTCCGCCCAAAATCATCGCGGGATCTCGCTGCGAATCCGTAAACAAAGCTCCGCGCTACGCTCCCCCGCACACTCATTACCATAGCCGGACGAGCGGCGCCGCGAAAGATGGGATTTTCCCGGTGGATGCGTGCGTTTTCCCTCGCGAATTTTTTGCATCTCCTCCGTTGAGTGGGTCATTTTCGCGAAAGAAATCGGGAGCGAGCGGGAGTGGACACTGCAAAGTACGGGTTTCGCATGCGGGAGGACATGATTTCGGGAGCTGGTCAGCTGTTCGAAGGCATGCGGAAAGATGATGGATAACATGTGAATTGGAGGGCAAATTGGATACTGATGGCTGAAAAATTGAATAAGCGTTTCGGATTGAAATTTTAGGGTCATCAGAAATTGTTTAAAGTACGCACTTCTGGAAGCCTAGCAATACACTTGGCCAAATACAGATTATTTCCCGTCGGGACCCGTGAAATATGAATTTTTTCCCACGACCCCCCTCGAATTTTTTTTGCTGGCGAGAATAGTTTTGCGGTAATATTTTTCACGGCTTTTCCTTGCTGCGTGTAAAACATTCTTGAGGTGCCGATATGATTTCAGGATTAATAACAGTTCATTATTACAAGTCATTCGGAAAGTCGCCGGACTGGAGTCGGCGACACGCACGGTGCGAAAACAAAACTTTCGTTTGCACCTGTGCAATTTCTTTCCTTTTGCACCGTGCAATAGGCTTTTTCGGGCTGTCGTTCACACCCTGACCTTTATCGCACAGTTCAAGCGCCAAAAGTTAGTCCGGCGACTTTCCGGAAGGAGTAGCAACATTGACAATGAGAGAGACTTTATGATCGCTATAACTAACATTCATCTTTAATAACACATGTTTAACGTATATTCATTACCTCTTATTATCTATTCTAAACAAAAAACCTTCAAAAAAAGAATACATTATAACTTCCTTTAATTTTATTTTCCTCATTATCATTAAGAAGAACATAAAAAATAAGAAAACGATATATCGAACATGGGGAACTTTGAAGCCAGCGTGACGGAGACCACGGTGAAGACGGATCTTCTTCATGCGTTTCAAATCGTCATGGAGCCTGGATTCGAGGGCAATGGAGGTAACCTAAAAGAAGATTGATCAAACTTTCATATCAAATGTAATACAGATGCATAAAATCTGCCCAAAAGAGCTGGCATGAAGAATAGGCCCTTTCGAACTTACAAGACGTAATGTAAACTGCAAACTTTGAAATTTCGAGAAAAATTTAGGTGTTAGATCAAGTATAATATAAAGTGAGACTATTTCCAGCAGCTTTCTAATAGCTAAAAAACAACAGAACAAAAACGAAAAAAACTTACTTGGGTGCATTTACCGTCCTTGTTGTCCTTTTTCCTGACCGTCGGCTCCGAATCGCCCATTTGAACAGCGGGAATCTAACACGGGTTCGAGTTTCAGCGACCAAAAATATGGATGCGAATTACCCGACCCGAATTCAATGATAACTCCATTTTATGATACATTCTACTGCGAACCTATGCGGAAACTATTCATGCCAGCAAAAAAAATTGAGGGGGGTCGTGGGAAAAAATTCATATTTCACGGGTCTCGACGGGAAATAATCTGTATTTGGCCAAGTGTATTGCTAGGCTTCCAGAAGTGCGTACTTTAAAGCCGCGATTTCAAACAATGATGACAAAAATGCGATAGGCGACATGTTATACGATGCTTCAAAATTATGGCTAAAAAGCGATGGAAGCGAAAGTAAAGTATATTGCCGTATTTTATGCATATCAACACGACTCTAAAAATTTTTCCAGGCGACTGTTTGAGTTTGGCAGTGCGATGATTACAGGGTGCGGCAGAAAAATGGAAACTTATTTTTATAGCTATATTTTTCCTAGCAATCCAAATTCCGCAAAAGTAACGGTCATCTTCAATAACATAGAGCATTGTTTATAACATATTCAACCCGTTTTACCGTGGCTGCTTTTGGTGGCGATGTAGAGCTCCAAAAGTGACTTAAAATTTTGGCCTTTTGGCCGCAGCTTTTTTCGGGGAAATCGGTCCCGTTCTTGACGCAGCGATTACTTTGCGACTCCAAACTTTTGTGGCGTGTAGTGTAGATGCTGGCCTCCAATTGAAAAAAAATTACAGTCCATTGGATTTATACCCGGCGAGCAGGCGCTCTTTTCGCAGACGGGGTGAAATCGGGAAAATTGGTCTCAAAATCGGTCTTGACTCGTTGTTGCCCTGTGAGTCGGCGCTGAGTCTAGTTGGAACGTCAAATTTGCGCTGCCAAGGTTCTACTGAGCCAACAGAAGCATGAGGAAATCGAGGTTAATCCGGCGCTAGAATTTTGCCCGCTTGATCCACGAAAATCTCGGAATTCTTGCCGCTGGCACAAATTCCGCCTTAGGCGATGACGGCCCTTATTTTGACGGTGTTCGTCGTTAGCCGACGTGCAGGGGGCCTCATCGGATTGGACTATGACGTTCTGTTGGTTGTGCACCCGCCAAAGATTGCACCGCGAAGGGAATGCGCTCCCATCGCGGACCTGCGGCCCGACGTCGGAATTTTCGGCATTTTTTCAGGCGTACGGGCTTGATCTTGCCGATTAGGAGTTGCGCATTTCAGACCTTGCGTGGGGAGACTTTGAGTTGATTCTTAGCTATTTGGCCGACTGGTCGGTCGCTGATGCCGGTCTCACGGGCAATTTTTTCTCGAAATCGACGGATTTCGCTATTGATGACTCCGCGGCTGGCAGAAGTGTTGGCGGTGCGTTTTCTTTCGCTTACTGGACGCTTAAAATTGTCAAAAAGCTCCCTGCATTGTGTGATTACTTTGGACACAACGTGCTTTCTATGCCGGGCAAATTAACTGTTCGCACAGGTAAAAAAACAGGTCCGAAATCGAGGTCCCTCTGTTTGTCATTCAAAAAAAGAATGTTAATAAACCGATATGGACATGAAATTATAAGGTCTAGGAGAGAAAGCTACGTAGAATTTAATGGTATGAAAATAATTTTGCTGCACTTAAAAATTTTTGCGTCAATACCCAATGAAAAAAGTTTCCATTTTTTTGCCGCACCCTGTATATAAAAATGCCTTTAAAAGTTTCATCGTATAAAATGTCGCCTTTCGTTTAAGATTACAATAAAATAATGATGCTGAGTCTTTTCGGGATTGTGATTTCGCTTGGAATTTCATTGTGGACCAATTCCCATCAAGAGGCATTTTATACGATTAAAAATTTCTGTGCATGTTCCATCGAATAAAATGTCCATATTGAAAACAAAAAAAATTTTTTGACTTTCTAAAGTCAAACTGTAATCACGAAAGATATTACTATGATTTTGTCCAACTTGGCGACATTTTATACGGTAAATAAACCTCAAACATGTTTCATCGTATAACTTGGCTCTTTTCTATTAATTTTTGTGTTCACTGACGTTTCCTCAAAGTTGACTTCATTTCCATTCGATTTTTGTCACTTTCGGATGCATGACACCCTTTGTTTTCCTAGATCCTACTTTTTGTTTGCTCTTGTATTTGATACAACCTTTTTACAAGTCTTATATACAACATAAGCAAATAAAGCTCAAATCTTTCTTTTGATTAAGTCATCTTTGATTTGCTTTCCTCCCTTTTCGAGGATTTCGTTACGAAAATGTTGCAACATAAGCGAAAAAATATAAAATTTCAAAAAATCATGTCTGGTACAGATTGAATAAATCTTTGGCTTATATTCGAATTCAACGCAATGTTTGTCAATTTCGAGATTTTTAAAAACCCCGTCAAACAAAAAGGAGGTCGGAGTGCGTATTTGACGCTATGTTAAGTGGTCTGCGTAAAACAAGAGATGTCTTTGAAATATGATCCGCCTCTTGTCGTAATTGACAGGACGTTGAAAGATGGAGGGGAAAAGTTGAGGAGAGCAATTTACATACCACTAGAGGAGCAGTCAGAACCATGAAATGGCAACGGTGAGGATGAAATTGAGAGTTTTCAATATTCCTCCTCATGAATGATGACAAATAAAAAGATACTAAAAACTACCGTATTTGCCATGAAATTATCGTCCATGGCCGTTCATAACTCTTAATTAGGCCAAATACTTACACCAGCTCACAAATTTAACAGCTGTGGGACATTTTATACGATGAAACATGCAAAACGTTATCAGAAATGTTTCATCGTATAACTTGTCTTATCGGCCAGATTTTTCAAAATCCCAGAAAAGGTAGTTAAATCTCTTCTTAAATTCATTTTATCTTTGAGGCTCCATACGGCTTGCTGAACCTCGTAAACAGGCAACTTTTCTGATTCACATACACATACAGTAGTTGACAGCGAATTGTCAATTTTTTTATTTCGTGTGTAACTTCACTCAGACTCAACAGAATTTGATGAGACCAAGAGCGTTTAAGAGGCTGGGAGACACGCTTCAACCTTATGAAATTGTTTTATTTCATATCGGCCACAGGCGTGGTAAAAATTTTAAAACAAATTTTTTTGGGGGACAACGAATTGTCAATCTTTACATTTTGAGGCATAAGATCTCAATAAACCAGCATATAAAGACTAGAATGGAGAGTAATCAGTTGCCAGCAATCATAGGACAGCATACAACGGGTTTCAGCCATTAGTATAATCCCCTTCGCTTTCTATAGGTCGGGCACTTGGGGGTGGACCATGTACAATATAATGTCAGCCTGGGGGCTTCCTAGGCCGAAATTATCTTATATTCCGGTTTTTTATGGGCGGTTACATCTTACTACGCTAGGGCAAGTCAAAGAATTACACCTAACGGGTTACACTTGCGCCTTGTTACCTCGAATATGTTAATCATGGCCTTTCATACTGTTGGTCAGAGTATCAAAAATCAAAAAATGTCGCGCATGAAGATCGTTGGAGAAACCTTCTATATTTGAAAACAAACTACACTAAAAGACAAATATTCAGTGCCTTTCACATGTCAGTACCAGCACTCATGGAAGAGGTATGCAGAGGGAAATATTTGGGTTTACATGAATTTTCACGTCGGGTTTGCAACACCCAGAAAAATTCTTATTTCTTCAAGCCTGCAACTTCCAAGATATTTTATTAGCATATTAGAGATTTTTACAAGCATTAAAAATATTAGTTTTAACGTTTAAAAACGCAGAAGACGCGCAATAAAATGATTAATATACTCACCACCCTAGTGTGGCACAAGAATTGATTGGACCGTCAGAATCTCACCCGGAAATTTCAGGGCGTCGAGACAGGTAATGAAATAATTTGTAGAATGTCGTCAGCTTGGCCGTAAAGAAAGTTTAAATGAACCTATGCCCCCTGTCGGCAAGAAAATTATCGATTTTTGGGAGTAACACAGGGTTTAGATGACCATAAATAATATTATCTGACGAATGCTTGACCCTTAGCTCCTCCAAGTTGTAATCTGGTGCAATTTTCTTACACATAAGCAATACTCTTCCATTAAAAACCATAATATCAAATAATTTCGGCCTTTGAGACCCCTAAGCTGTCATTATATTGTACATGGTCCACCCCCAAGTGCCCGACCTATAGAAAGCGAAGGAGATTATACCAATGGCTGAAACCCGTTGTATGCTGTCCTATGATTGCTGGCAACTGATTACTCTCCATTCTAGTCTTTATATGCTGGTTTATTGAGATCTTATGCCTCAAAATGTAAAAATTGACAATTCGTTGTCCCCCAAAAAAAATTGTTTTGAAATTTTTACCACGCCTGTGGCCGATATGAAATAAAACAATTTCATAAGGTTGAAGCGTGTCTCCCAGCCTCTTAAACGCTCTTGGTCTCATCAAATTCTGTTGAGTCTGAGTGAAGTTACACACGAAATAAAAAAATTGACAATTCGCTGTCAACTACTGTATACTGTTCATAATGTAATCAAAGCCGCAAATGGTGAGCTAATGTTTCGAAAGTATGCTACGAGCATTTTCTATGTCAGGGCACAATCTACGACCATAAATGGTCGCTAGACAACAATTTTTTATTGACCGATCACACCTTTTCGTACTGTAGATTGACCATGCTTATCAGACCACTTCAGTTCTTGATTTCAGCCTCCTTCACCCATCAAATTACCTCATCTCACCTTCGCGTGGAGCCTTCAGGCCGCAGAGGTCGGGGCCGGAAAGTGCAAAGAAGCCTCGGCTGCGGACGGAATGACAAGAAAACACGGGCGAGGATCGCGGGTACACGATTCGGGGCGAAGAAGAGAGAGGGAGGAAGAAGTGCGCGGACACGGCTTTTCTGGCCTCGGGAAATCACTGCGAACCAACACGACAAACACTGATCGCCCCGCAGGTCTGTCATTTTTTTCGTCCCATGTATCTCAATTTTATATCAAGAGGGCTAATTAGCGGGGGAGGGTAATTGCGCGGAATCACGTCAGATTTTGGAGTGGTACTGGGACGGGGTGTGAATTTTTATGTTTTGATGAGATATGCGTCAATCGCATCTTAACTTTTCGGGTCGACCAAAGTTCGGATCAACACAAAATCGGCCCATACGGGCGTAGGGCAAGTGGATAGCCAAAAGAAGTTGTAGGAAGTGCCTACAAGGCCTGGCAACGCCGTTGGATGGTCGGCGGACGCTTGGCGAAGGCTCGGCGGAGACTTGGCGGAGGCTTACAATATTACCACTTTCTCTAATTTTGGGCTATTGCGAATACTAGTTCTCTTCACTCTGAGTTATTGTAACAGGAGTTTCATGTTTTCGTGGCGCGACGTGGATGACAATTTGGGTCAACACAAAACCGATCGACACGAGTCGTAGGGCAAGCGGATACCCAAAAAAAAGTTGAGGAAGTGCCTGCAAGGCCTGGAAAAGCCGCTGAATGCTCCGCGGACGCCTGGTGAAGGCTCGGCGGAGACTTGCCGGAGGCTTACAATAGTACCACGCTTTCTAATTATTGCTCTTGTTAACTCTAGTTTTCTTAATTTTGAGCTATTGTCGCATAGAGAAGATAAAAATTTACTTCAAAAAATGAAAATCCCTAACTTTTGTCAAGATATTATTGATGTTTTGAGTACATCGAAAAATAGGTGACAAGCTATCCTAGAACCAGACCAACCTCGTTATTTCTACTAACTAGGCCTTCTTCTAGCCTCCGCTATGAATACAACGACGAACTAATTTCGTTTGCCAAAGCCGTTGGGTGGTCGGCGAAGGCTCGGCGGAGACTTGGCGAAGAGTTACAATATGTCAATTTTTTGTAATTTTGGCTATTGCGAACCCTGGTTCTCTTTACCCTGAGTTATTGTAACATATAAAAGATCAAAAATTACTCGAAAAAACCAGGATCCCTAACTTTTATCTGATGTGAGTACATGTAAAATGCCTCAAAATAGGCGATAAACTACCCTAGGAGCCGATCAAACTTATTATTTTTACTAACTAAGCCTTCTTCTAGCCTGTCCCATGCATACAACGACGAACCCACGCGTTCCATAGTATCGTTGACCCGAGCTGTCGCTGACCCGAAAAGTCGCAGCGCCCCGAAAATTAGCCGTATTTTACCTCAAATTTAGGGCGAAATAGCATTTTAAAAAAAAATTGATTTTGGCTTTTACGACATTTTAACGCATTTTTTATGGCAATCAAGCTCAAAAGAGGCTCATAAATTTTGATTTGGCCCATGAAAATGGTCAAGTCCAAATTGTAAAAAAAAATAATTGCCTTACTCACAGTCAATCTTGCTGAAACAAAAAAAAGTATGTTGAAGAAAATCGAGTTTCACGGAGTGGAATCCGTTTAAAACTCCTAATCGGGGGTTTACGAAAGCGGCATGAGCCATACATGAAGTTGTAGGCGGCGAACTGACTTTTTAGGAAATTTTTGAAATTTCAATTTCTCCCGTATTTTAAGGAAATTTGAAGCGGCTTTAAGCACAATTAAAGTTGCTCACGCTCTTTGCATGACTTGTGATTTTTTGTCATCTAAATCTTTCTTTACGCCATAAAAAATGAGTTTCAGGGAGACCAAGGTAATCCGATATGAGTGCTCATATTGGAGCCGTGTCCAGTGTGAACGCCTTGATCGGCAAGGTCTTCACTCAACCAAAGGGTGACTTGGTAAGTTCTTGACTCAAAAGGAACGACAAAAACCCAGCCGTAGTGTACTATTTACAATTTTTGCCGTTTTTTATGAAACTGAGATGACTGGGGAAAAAGACGGTTGGGAAACCGAAAAGCATTATTTATTCGATGTAAGAGTCGAAATTAGGATAATCGAGGGTGCTGATTTTGAAAATGACATTCATTTTTTTGATCCTTACTTTTCTCCTTAAGTAGTACTGTAAAGTAGTAATTTTTTTATAAAGAAAAAACATTTTTTTTCATGAATGGGCGTTTTCGATGTTGCTGCTTTCAAAGCTTAAGTAGTACTGTAAAGCATTACTTTTTTGATTTTTTTAATGAAGAAAAAAATATTTTTGCATGAAAAAAAGAAAACAAAGTTCTCAAGTCACACAAAAATGAAAAGATTTTCGAAATCAGCAAGGTAAAGCCCTCCACGTCGAGTGTTTGTAAAAAAGTTCAAAAAATTACTACTTTACAGTACTACTTAAGGAAAAAAGTAGAGATCAAAAAAATGAATGTCATTTTCGAAATCAGCACCCTCAATTGTCCTACAGTGAGGGACCTGGTCCTGTGGCAAAAAACGTACCATTTTGTATCCGGGAAGAATCAAAAATGTGGCAAAATGCTTCCCTGTCAAAAAACTTCATTTTGAAAGGGCCCTTTACCTCACAAAGAGAGGGAGCGTGCTTTTGAAATCGGAGTTTTTTCGCTTGGAGATGGAAGCATTTTGCCACATTTTTTTACTTCCCGGAAGCAAAATGGTACGTTTTTTGCCACTGGATCAGGTCTACCACTGTCATTTCGGCACTTGCATTGAAGAAACATAATACTTTTCGGTTTCCCGAATCGTCCAACTCCGATTTTTTATATCATCCATCCCTTTTATATCTTGTCCTCTTGCAAATTTATAAATCCCCCTTGCATTTGCAGGCCGGTCGTCTGAACAGTCGATTCACGGTGGCCATTTTGGCGGTGAGCGCTGGTCTTTTGCTCTCCACGCACTTTTGGGGCGACCCGATCACCTGCTGGACGCCCGCGGAATTCCCTCGAATTTGGTCGGATTTCGTGAATCAGTTCTGTTACGTGGAAGGCACGTATTTCGCCAACCTAGACGAGCAATTGGAATTCAATGACGACCATAGGAAACGGAATTTTATTAGCTATTACCAGTGGATTCCGTACTTTTTGGCGCTTCAGGCGTTCGCGTTTTACATGCCGCGATTCGTTTGGAACGTTTTGGCGAGTTTTTCCGGATTTGATCTGGGCGGATGCATTAAATATGTGGACTCGGTATGGCATAAGATCCGAGGAGGCAATTTTCATGGTGAGATTTTGAAATTTTTATGCTGGGACATTTTATACGATGAAACATGATTTTGAAAATTTGGCATGTTTCATTGTATGAGATGTCACTTGTAAAATGTAAAGTTTTGACTTGGATCAAGTCTGAATTATTTTTCTTTTGATTTACCATTTGGTGACGTTTTACACGATGAAAAATGCTTTTTGAAAATTTGGCATGTTTCATCGTATAAGATGTCACTTGTAAAATGCACAGTTCCGACTAGGATCAGGTTGAAATTTTTTTCTAATTTTCACAATTTGTGACATTTTATACAATGAAAAAATGGAAGAATCCCTTTTGCATATTTCATCGTATAACTTGTCCAAGTGATTGTATGCTACCCGAAGCACCATGATACCTATTTCAGGCCGCATGGATCTGCTCGAAAAGCAAGTAGGAACGTATGTCTGGGATGCGATTCGGTTAGCTAGACGTCATAAACGCGGCCGCATGGTCTTTTACTACATTATCTACGGCGTAATCCAGGCCGCCAATGCGTGGCTGATGTTCTATTGGCTTAATGATCTCATTGACAGTCCTCTCTATTCATTCCATGGTCCTTCGGTGATTGCGGACCTGCTGTCTGGCAAGAATTGGCAGGAAACGGGGCATTTCCCGAGGATCACTCACTGTGACGTGCCACGGAGAATGTTGGCCAATTCACCCGTATGTTTGAGCTGAAAATTTTTATATCGCGCATTGTAAATCCCTAAAAAATGATGGCAAGTGTTTTTACACACTGTGCCGAAGTTGCTGCTATGAGTGAAACACTTGACCCGCTCTGAGTCAAGTCTTTCCCTGACTGAAAAATCGGTAAAATTCCACTAGAACCTTATTTTACTGTAACCGCACAATGACTAAGAACGTTTTCAGAAGCAAACTATATAGTTGAAACATTTGACCCTGAGTGGAACACTTGACCCGCTCTGAGTCAAGTCTTTCCCTGACTGAAAAAATTGATAAATCTCCATTAGAACCTTATTTAATTGTAGCCCTACAATTATTAAGCACATTTTCAGAAGCAAACAGTCAACTGTGTCCTCACGTTGAACATCTACTACGAAAAATTACTACTCTTCCTCTGGTTCTGGATGCTCTTTGTTTGTTGTGTGAGCAGTGCCAACTGCATGAGCTGGGTTCTCACCATGTGTACGCCGGCTCGATCTCAGGAGCGGATTCGCGCTTATTTGGCATGTCATGCCGGTTCAGTTTATTTGGACAAGTTCTTTAGAGCCTTGGGTCATGATGGAGTCTTTGTTTTGCATCAAATCGCTTTGAACATGGGAGATTTGCCTGCTAGGTAAGCGTGCTGATTGGTTTCTGGAAAAATAGGGGGATAGCAGAGTTTGTGAGTTTTTCGGTGCTGAAGACGTTTTATACGATGAAACATGCCCAAGTAAAAGATTTTTGATTTTACAAAGGTTTTGCCGTATAAGATGTCGCTAGAGTGGGGGAAAAATGATATATTGGGTAAAATACGTCCTATAAACTCCGATTCTCATTTTATACGATGAAAGCTGCTCGGAAACGCAGAATTTTTACTTGGGCATATTTCATCGTATAAGACGGCTCCAACAATTTTTAATAAAAAAATTTAAAATTTCCACTTTTAGCTACGTGGCAATGGCATTGTACAATGTGGTGATTGAATTTGACCACGAAACGACAGCTTTATTGGAGAAGTCCGGCGCCAAGGCCGTCTGACTATTCATCGACGCATTCTCAATCCACGACGATTGAACTACGCATTCTAGAAATATTCTAGTCATGATCTAGAAACGTCTCTCTCTTTTTTATATCGGTCTACTTACATATCAGCTTCAATTTGAAATTTATCGAATCTCTGTGAAACTGCCAACGATTTATCGTAGTAAAATTTGCAATAAAATCCCAAATCGTATTTGAAATTTTATATGGAAGGGTTTTCCAATATAGCCAAAATCTCGATTATTCACTGAGAACTATATAAACGCTGTAAGGTATCGTACTTTGGAGACATTTTATACGATGACACATGTCCTTTAAGAAATTGTGGTTTTAAGCAGATTTCATCGTATAAAATGTCGCCACGCAATAAATAAATTGTTATTTATTGCTCCTGGGGATCCTAAAATACGGTAGTGTTAAGGTGCGGCTTCAAAAATTTCTCAAAACAGGAAAACAAATTGAAAAATGCACATCGTATAAAATGTCGCCGTATTAAATCCTCTTTTTTCGGCCGCTCCCTGTGACCATAAGGACAAGCAATTTCGGCTCCCATTTTACGTGTGAGCTCTTCGGGGCGTTTCGAGGCCGCTTTTTCGCAAAAAAATTGGCGCCGCGCCCGAGAGAGCGCGCCCCGCGGAGGAGGGCGGGCCAGAGAAAAAAGCGTCCCAATAAAAGCGGACGGGAAGGTCGGAGGCCATGGAATTGTGGAATTGTGGCAGTTGGCGCGAACCCGTTCCGAAATATTAAAATTCCACAAACTCTTTTTTGCCGAGTTTTCGCAACTTTCGGCCGCTTTCTACGAATTTCCCCCGGGGGGTTTTGCAAATTTTTTGTAAAATAATTGTGGAAAAGCCCACTCCCACGGCATGGAGGACCCAATTCCGGGAATAATTTATGTTCGACGTCAAGTCCTCCCATTGTCCGCCGGCGGGTTTTTTTCACGTTTTATCGGCTGAATTTTGGCGTTTTTGGCCGAAATTTTCGAGTTCGGCCGAAATTTCGGCCTTTTTTCAAAAAAGATTTTTTTCCAACCAGCATGTTTATTTGTGTTTGGGTGGCGGGAAACATCTGTCAACTCTGACATAACCTGTCTAATAATCCATTTTTCAAACATTGCCTCGGGGCATTTCCGGGTCCTATCCGATATTAGAGGGGAAAATCAAGCGAATTGGGAGGAGACATGGGCGAATGAAATTTCATGCCGATTGGCAATTTTCTCATCAATCAAAATCGGCTTAAAATGTTCCGCCCGGGGGAGGGGAGAGGGACAAATTATGCGAAGAAAACTGTAGATTGCCCTCTTGGGTATTTTCCATCGTATAAAGTGTCTCTTTGAATGATTTTTTATGATGTTCTTTCTAATAGAAGATACTACTTTTTTACATATTTCCGTGGAATTTTTAAATTTTATATTTAGTAAGCGACAAGTTATACGACGTAATATGTTTAAGCTAATCTTGGTATTTTCCATCGTATACAATGTCGCCATACTTTCCAAAATACTATGAAATTTACGATCGATGTATTTAATTCGACTTTTTGTAGCTTCTGGACATTTTATACGATAAAACCTGTTAGAACACACATGAAAATATTTTTCGTATAAAATGTCACCCAACCAAAGTATTTCCTAAAACCTTATTTAGAATGCCACCACATGCCGAGTACTTCATTCTTCAGTCGGAATTACTCAACATTTCCTCCATTTCGATAATGAAAACGGAAGAATTTCAGGCCATTGTCCAGCCGAAAGCCAATGTCAATTCTACCGCCCGGCGCCAATTGCAGTAATTTCGTATGCACGAATAAGACACGATGCGTGGTCAACGAGTTCGAGTGAGTCTGCTTGAGAGTTCATAAGGGCATTTGATTAGGTTATTAGATGAGAAAAGACGGCGTGAGTAATTGGCTTGATTTGGAGCGCTAAATTTGGATAAATCCGTGAATATATAAAAAATCTAATATGAATACACCATGAAAATGCTTTTTCTGGGGCAAAGAAAGTTTAAGCGAAGCAAATTTAGCATTACAACAAGATTTAGGGAGGTTTTATGAAAATCAAAAATTTGATGACCAAGTACAATATAATCAAGATTTTACATTAAAATCTTCATTATATAGCCTCAGCAGTCACCAGAAATGCTGACTAATGAACTGTTCAAGTTTCTGAGAGTTCGCCTCAAATCAATTTTAACTTCAAAATTAGAAATTTTAATAGTAATTCCATAAAATCCGTAATCATGACATCTTTGCAGATCAAAAATTTTAAGTTATTTGTTAGAGATCGCGTTTAAATTGGTCCTTTACCTACCTCAAAAAATTTCAAGCTTTCCAAAAACCCCCCTAAGGCTGTTTTTTATTTTTCAGATGACGGATTTTCTAGAATTTTGGTAAAAGAATGATTTTTTGGCGATTTTAGCCTTCAAAATGATGACTATTGGCTTATAAAGGAAGAAAAAAATGACTAACGTATTTTACAATCCATCACAGTTCTCTGTAGCATCAAAAACTAATCAAATTTTCGTATTTTAGCCAAGGATTGGGCTGTTTTCTGCCGGTGGTCCACTTACAAGAATACACAGTGCCCGAGCTCATCCTCTGGGGCTTTATCAAGCTCTGCTCCGCCTTCACGATGCTCTCACTTGCTGGAGCGGCCGTCCTGTTGGTCATCAGTTGTTTGTACGCCTGCGGCGAGGGCACCACGTTCTTGGCGCGGAAGTATCGATCGCATGTTCAGAACTCGAATCCCCTCCCTTCGTATGAGCAGGCCATACGAAATTCGAGACCAAAATAGTCTGTAGATAATTTTATTCGTAATTTATGGGTTTTTATTATGTACCTTGTTATACGACGAAACATGTCCTCCTATTTTTGAGGATGCGATATTTTGCAAATGTCGATCAGAATAAACAATCTATTCGCTGAATGGTGCAAGAATATTGACAGGTTGAAAGCCTTGTACTACCATGAAATTCTACAGCAATTATTTTCGTTTTTTAGCCGAAATTTATGTCGTTTCTTGAAAAAGGAGCAACCTGCGGCCAATATGATTGTTCGATAGAGCAGCGATGCGTAATAAAGAAGGATGGGTGAGTTATTTTTTTTTAAATTTTTACAGTATTTTTACGTTAAGGGACATTTTATACGATCAAACATTCTAAACATGTTTCATCGTACGAGATGTCACCAATATAAATGACTTTTCAATTTGAGTAGAATTAGGGTAGGAACTATGGTTTGTAGTGTTAGTAAGACTAGTGACATTTTATACGATGAATTATGACCAAACCAAAAGTACATGTTTAATCGTATAAAATGACACTGAAAATCTACCTACGCGTTTGCAGGGAAATAATTGGCTGTTTCAAATACATCCCCGAAGAACTAACGTCGGCGGACTACTTTTACTACGCGTTTTGTATCGTGTACACCATGTCAATGCTACTCGGAATGGCCATCTACCAATGGAAGAAGTTCATGGCACGGAAAAAGGACACTGTACACGATCCTGATATTGGAACACCTCCTCCAGTCTATCGCCATTGAACACTTCCCATAATTTATAACATTTTCAGCAGACGAAAGTCTATGGATAATTTGTAGGCCAAAAAAGCCTACAATTTATCCACAAACGTTCGTCAATTGTAATTCTACCGGTAATTTTCTCGGAATCCGAATAAAATACGAAATTTCAATGGCAAGTTTACTGGTTCAGCGGGTGAATCATTTCTTTCGCTCGCTTTCGTCTTGCGTGTCAGGTAGTTCGGGGTCTTTTTTGAGGGAGGCCACGTTTCGGAGGGTTTCGTCGTCATCCTCGTCGTCGCCGTCGTCGTCATCCAGGTTTGGGTCAGTTCCTTTCTTCGATTCGGCGGGCTGAAATTATAGAAGAAATCGGGTCCTTCCTGTTTTTATAATTTTCTGGATTTTTAGGGAATTTCATGTTTTCGTGGTGGGACCCGGACGGCACTTCAGGTCAACAAAAAACCGATCGATACGGATCGTAGGGCAAGTGGATACACAAAAAAAAGGTTGTAGGAAGTGCCTACAAGCGCTGGCAAAGCCGTTGGAAGGTCGGCGAACGCTCGGCGAAGGCTCGGCGGAGAATTGGAGAAAACTTGCAATATGTAAATTTTTTCTAATTTTAGCTATTACTAACGTTAGTTTTCTTTACTCTGAGTTATTGTAAGATATAAAAGGCCAAAATTTGGGGCAAAAAACGAAGATCCCTAACATTTATCTAGATATTATTGATGTGAGTAAATCTAAAATGGCCCAAAATAATTTATAAGCTATCGATCTTACTCCGTATTTTACAAAAAAAAATAGATAAAAAATGTGTTTTCGGTCCAGCAACAACTGACAGAGCCGGAAACAAGTCATTCTGGAAGTTTTCAGGTTTTCGTGGTGGGACCCAGAATCAAAAAATTCAAAAAATTTTTTTTAATTTTCTATTTTAACCCGTATTTTACGACTCAAAAATAAATTTTTTTCAAATAAAAAATTTCAAAAATTTTTTTTTTTAATTTTGTATTTCAACCCGTATTTTACGACCCAAAAAATTTTTTTTCAAACAAAAAAATCCTAAAATACGAACCTTTGGATCCACTTTTTTCTCTTCCTTCTTCTCGGGCCCATGTTTTTCCACTGCCTCTGGTTCCTTCTTCGCCGACTTCGCGGACTTTTTCGACTTGGCCTTGGACTTGCTCTTGGATGCGTCGTTCTTTTTACCAGGCTCCTCTTTCACCTCTTCCTTCTTTTCTTCCTTCTTTTCCTCTTCTTTCTCCACTTTGCCTTGTTCCAATGCTTCGGTCTTCGGGACAGAGGTCTTCGGAGCGACTGATGGCTTTGCGGGCTGCAAGAAGTAGTTAATAGAGTTGCTAATTGCTCTTTGTAATGGTAAAATTGAACTTTTTAGAAAATTTTTGCTGACAGGAAATCGGGAATTTTTCAAATTTTTTTTAACTATTAGATAAAATAATTACCAAACAGGCCTTAACAACTCTAATATTCCGAGTATTTTTTACTTTAATCTTGGAGGTGACTTTTTACACAGTAAAATTAGGTTCAAAAACAAAAAAATCTTTCCCCGTATAAAATGTCACCTCAGCCAGAAGCGATATTTTGAGGCCCTTATGACCTCGATAAATCGCTTATTATATGGAAAATGTTTTCTACGAATCAAAAGCATGTTTCATCGTATAAAACGTCTCTAGAAATTACCTTATCCTCACTGTCCTGACGATTAGAACCACTGAGCTGATTTCGCACCGGAGCCTTCTTTTTTTTCTTGCCGCATCCCATCAAGATTGTCCAAGCTATCCCGATCACCATGGACAACTGAAAATACAGTATGTAAATTACCGCATAACACATTAGAAGAAACGTATTACAACTAGTGAAACGTATTTTACAATTTTCTTACTTTTCCCTTATAGATTACAAGTAATTTGCATTGAGAGAAAGACTTGACCCAAAGAATGCAAATGGGTCAAGTCTTTCCCTCAAACAAAAACTCACCTGGATCGGCCAGATCCATAATCCCACGTCATCCATGATAGTCGTAGAAGGGCCCAGTCAGCCTTCTCAACTTTTTCTCGCCAATTTTCAGACTTCTCGCCAAAATTCAGCGACAAAAATCAGACCAGCCAAGAATTCGATATCAACGAGAATGCTGGAAAATAAGTGAGTAAAAAATGTTTCAATACAATCCAAAATTTTGATGTATAGTAATAATGCGATATTGAAATGTTATACCTGAATTCCAGCGGCCCGACTCAGTTCAGATTGTGGAGGCCGAAAATCGCGGAGAACCACCGACCGATTTGGTGAGACGAACTAGCCCAAAATTAAAATCTGTTTGGAATTCAAATGCCCTCATTTTTACCGAATTTACGCAAATTCTTTTCGATTGAAAAATGCATTTTTCAAATTTCGAAAAAAATATTTACAAGTGTGATGTGAAAAATGACTTGAAAAGTTCATGAGTCATATAGAAAAGGACTTGTTATAGCCTCTTGCACTGTGTTTGACTCTATTTATCATTTTAAATTTACTTATCACCGTGGTTTTCTTGAAGCCCCACCACGAAAACAAGCAATGCCAAAAACTCTTGGCATTCTGTGTCAAGGAGGATTTCGCTAAAATTTGCGAGAAAATAACTGTTTCAGACCTCAATAAGGACTTTGAGACTGTTGTTTGGCGTGTTTTATTCTATTTTACATTTGAAAACTCGAGTTGCGCTATCCTCGGCCTCTTGATTATATTATCCTTGAAGAAGATCAGCAGAAAACTTGAAATTTTTAACTAAAATGTTATGTTTCAGGTAAAAAAATGTCCAGATCAGATATTCTGGCACCCTATCGGTGTGTCGGGCGCGTATTTGGCACAGTTCCGGCTGCGTACCAGCCAGTGGACAAGAGTGGAAATCTCGGATTCTTGACGGTCCCAGTGAACAATTGTGTGTTGAACTACTCGATTCGGCCGTTTCGACTTGTTTGGAGCTCAGATCACTTTGAGTCGGAGGTTCTTCTTCTTTCCCGGTATGTTTTTCCAATATTATTCTTGTTATTTAGGTGTTGTTCATTGGCGAAGTTAGAAAGCCTACTTTTTGCTATAAAATTCTGATGATTTGATTGCAGAAGCAAGAAAAAGATATTTGCCGCCTTGTCGGATCGTATTGAGGTCATGCACCACACTGGATCATGGGTGAAGACCATTCTGAAAGGGAAGACAGCCAAGTTTATGTTGAACATGGGAGATGTTCTCATTGTTCTTGATGACACTGGAAAATTGTTGGTTGTGGACTGGAGAGGCGATCAAATTCTTGTCGAGTTCGATGCAACCTCTGGAGGATTCGAACCGACTTTTATGATCCATCCGGACACCTACTTCAACAAGGTGAATACTCATTTTTTAAAGTCTTTATTCTGAGTTTAGATTTTGCTAGCAGGGAAGGATGGAAGGTCTCGACTGATTAACATCAATACAGCCAAATTGATTCACGAATTCCCCAATGACGGTCAGTTTAATTGCAAGATCACTTATGTTGAACAAAGCCCGGCAAAAGACGTCGTTGCTTTCGGACTGGCCAACGGATTCATACATTTGAGGCATCTGAAGACAGGAAAAACCCTACTGAGCTTCAAGCAAGATGGTGCTGTCACTGGATTGGCGTTTAGGTACGTTGTTTTAACTTTGAAGTTATACTTGGCATTTAGGTTTCATAAGAATCAAAAAATCGATGTAAAAACTTTATTTGTTTGCATCAACTTTTTGTAATGGCTCTCTAAGGGGTTTTTTACGTTAGCACAAGCATTTTAAACTATGTTATCGCTTTCTAATTGACATTACTTTAGATCCGATGGATATGAAACCCTAACTTCGAGCAATGCTGATGGCACTATAGCTCTATGGGATTTAAAAGAGCAAAAACTGGTGGGCCAAAAGATCAGAGCACACGATAACAAGATCAACACTATGGTTTACATCCTCGGATCTCCGTTTTTGTTGACCGGAGGCATTGATAACAAGATTGTGATTTGGTTCTCTGAAACTGAACAGAGTCTGCCAATTCCGAGGAAGATTGTTGAAGGGCATTCGGCACCGGTAAGGGTTTGTTGAGTTTTTTTGAGTGGGCCATTTGTATTTTACCCGGGGTGACATTTTATACGATCAAATTTTTTTTGTTTTTTTGTCGTTGAACTTGTCGTCTCTAAAGTTTTTATACAAAGAAATGTTTTTTTTTCAGTTGATTTAGGGCACATAGCACCTATTTACCTCCATTTTCTGAATCGTCGACATTTTATACGAGCAAAAAATTTTTTTTGCGATTTTGTCATTGAACTTGTCGCATCTAAAATTGTTATGCATAGAAATCTTTTGATCAGTAGATTTAGAGCACATAGCACCTATTTATACAGTTTTTCTTCTTTGTGGACATTTTATACGATGAAATATGTACGAAATTTTTATTGTCTTATATGGCCAAAAATGGATGGTTATTTCTTCCTGGATGGATATTTTTTGTTCAGATTCAACACTATATCTTCAGGTCACTGCCTTCCGATTCTGCGGTCCGAATTCCCTCATTTCGGCTGGCTTGGATGGAGTTGTCCGCAAGTTCAATATCCATAGAACTGATCTCATTTCCAGGCTGGGAATTGCCCGAGAAGTCAAACCGTAAGTCTCAATTATGTCTTAGACTCTATTGTGCATTTCCATTTTGCCATTTATACCGCTCTTTTTTAGTGGCGAAGTCAGCAAGGACCGTTTCCAAGATGTCCGACTGGAGCCGATTACCGACCTCAAACTCGAGCTGATGAGAGAACACTGCTTCGACAACATCGCCTGTGCCCATAAAGACTCAATCCTGGTGTCTTCGTGGTCATCTCGTCGAAATACCAAGGGCTCTCATCTGTTCCATCACGAGAGATTTTCGAAAGACGCGAGATTTTTTGGAGCCAAAGTCACTTCGATGGATATCTCAAATGACGGCAATTTGATTATAATTGGGTACTCCACCGGACATGTGGATTGTTTCAGCATGCAAAGCGGGAAATTCAAATTTACATTGGTCGATAAGAGCTTGAGGAAAGAGGGCGAGAAAAAGAGGGAGAATCCGCGAAGGTAAGGAGATTTTTTACATTTTTTTGGGTGATAAAGGGGATAAAAAGAAGGCTGAATGGTTTTAAAAATAGTAAAAAAGTCTTATTTCTCAATTTTGTTCTGATTGCTGACAAAAAAATAAAAGTTTCAAGTGGGATTCGAACTTGCCGAAAATTACGACACTGATTCACAACCACTCGGCTATCGGAACACAAAACTCGTTTGTTCCAAAATCATAAAGGATGCTTTTTAGTCATGAGGGCCCAGTACAATCAGTCCATTTCCAACTGAATTCGGTCGATATGATAACGATTGGTGCGGACGGGAAAGTGAAATGGTGGACCATCGAACAACTCAAACCGAAATTGACGAAACTGAATAAGTTCCCAGTGGAAGAGGTCCCACAAACAGCTCAATTGGACAGAGAATCGCAGCTTCTGGCCATCGGAATGAGCAATGGGACTTTGAGGATTCTGGACGCAAGGCTCGGGCAAACAGCTCGCGTTTTCCCGAAATTCTTGGGAGAAAATGTGAATTTCAACGTTCTGGAGTTTTCACCGGACTCTTTTTATCTCCTCATTGGATCATCAGAAGCGGTTATTAGGGTTAGTTGTGTTTTTTGACAGCTTTGGTGAGCGAGGGAAACACTTGACCCATGTTGTACACCTTGGGTCAAGTGTTCTCCTCGCTTAGTTCTGTCTCTATTAGATCGTAAAATGAGTGTAAATCGAATTTTAGGTGATCCATCTACAAGCTGCCCTATGCCTGGGCGCAGTTCGCTGCTCCGCGCCAGTCGTGAAGGCCCAGTTTAGCGAGGACGGGCGGTTTGTGACTACCTGCAACGAAGGCCAACGAGAATTGTTCGTATGGACAAATAGACTGCTTCTCACAGGATTTTCTGGAAAGAAGTCAGCGAATGTCGAGGAAATCCCGATCAAAAATTTGAAGGATTTCGGCGCGGTTAGAGTGAGCTATGAGGATCAAGCCCTCTTCGATTTGGACTCGGATGATGAGGAGAATGAGGCGCAGGAGAATAGCGATATCGTTCAGACTCTCGTGATCGACGGAGATGAGAGCGATGAGGAGGAAGAGGTCGAGAAAATGGATGTTCAAATGAAACAGGTGGTAGAGGTAGGATAAGAATAAGGTCAAAAAATAATTTTGGTGGGGTAAAAGGTGTTGTGATTAATTGTGGACAGCAAAAATCTTTATGAGCTGTATACGGTTACGGACCTAATCCAATTCGCTCTGAACGCCTTTTTGCAACATCAGTTCAAATCGTGAAAAATCGTGAACTGATTATTGCAAAATCAGTTCACGGGGTGAACTGATGTTGCAAAAAGGCGTTCACGATTTGAACTGATGTTGCAAAATGGCGTTCAGAGCGAATTCTGAACGCCTTTTTGCAACATTTTTTTGCAAAGCCGACGAAACTTATAAAGCGAGCCCTATATACAAAATCATCGACGTCTAAAAAATCCCAAACCCAAATCTCGGCGAGCTTCGCCTTTACTCAGCTTTAAATGTTCTTCAATTCACAAAAATTGACGACCAATGTCTTACTATGGCGGACGACCTGATCCAGTGGCAAAAAACGTATCATTTTGCATCCGGGAAGTATCAAAAAGTCTAGCAAAATAGCTCCCTTTCCAAGTGAAAAAACTTCGTTTTGAAGGGCCCCTCACAAAAAGAGCAGGCGCGCTTTTGGAATCGGAGTTTTTTCACCTGGAGAAGGAGGTACTTTGCTACATTTTTTTGACACTTCCCGGATGCAAAATGGTACGTTTTTTGCCACTGGATCAAGTCCGCCAGTATAAGACATTGGTCTTCAATTTTTGTGAATTGAAGGACGTTTAAAACTGAGAAAGGGTGCAGATCGCCGAGATTTGGGTTTGGGATTTTTTAGAGGTCGATGACTTTGTATATGACATAGGTTTATGGGTCTATCTGGAAGTCATATTGTTCATGATGACATTATTTATATCGTAGTTTTAGCAAATTACACTACGCTATAATTTTATGTAAATATTTTCAGCTGCTTGGATCTGACCTCCTCTCGATCTCTGGCCAACCCTCACATCGCTGGTCCACGCTCCCACACATTGAAAAGATTAAACAAAGAAATACCATCAAGGAGGTTGTGAAAAAACCAATTGATGTCCCATTTTTCCTCGAATCCACACCAAATGAAGCCGAAATTGTTGCCGATGCTGGGGATCAGCGTCGCTTTAAGGCCGCGCAAAGATCGGATGTGGACTTGCTGACGGACTGGGCACAGACATTGATTCAGGCCGCAAATGAAGCGGCGTTGAGACAGGTCTTTAGCGATTTAACGCAAAAGGCCACCAGTATCATCGACTTTGAAATTAGAGCGCTTCCGGCAAATTTATTGCCGAAGTTCATCGATATGATACTGATAAAGTTGGAGCAGAAGCAAGATGCCGACTTTGTACAGGTACGCCGGAGTTTAAGCGGTTTTTTGAGGGCTTAAGGGACGAGGTTGACACACTGGATGAGTTTAGTATTATCCACAGGGCTTATAAATCCTCTAAATATCGGTTTTTAATTGGTTTTTGAGCGTTTCGGGTTAAGTACAGCCGTTTTTTGTTACTATAGATATTTAATAAACAATTTACTGCAAAAGCGTTTAAAAGAGCTAAGATTTTGCCATTTTGAAAGTGTTTCTGTAACCAGTAATCACTTTAGGCTATCCTCAATACCTTCCTCATGGCTCACAACGAAAAAATTTGCGATGACGCGGAGAAAGAACAAAAAGACGATGATGAGGATGGAGAAGATGGAGATGTCGCCGTAACGGCCTCGGATCTAACCTCAAAACTCCGGAAGCTACTACAAAAGGAAGCTGAAGAAACGGAACCCTTTGAGAACTTGTACGATGAAACCGCCGCCGTCCTAAAGTGGATCAGATCCGCCGTTCTCTAGAGTAATATAAGAATTTGGTTGTTATGAAAAAGTTACTGTTATTTGTTGATTTTCAAATCGTTTTTGGTCTTGTTACTCTTTATAAACCTTGTTTTACAGTTGTCTTTACTTTTTTTCTCGTTTTTACCCAAAATTTTTACTTGAAACACAATGCCAAAACCCGTGAAAATCAGGGAAAGTCGAGGAAAAAGGAAGAAAAAAGAAAATCTTTTTTCATCCGTGATGATGTGAGGAGGATCCGGACCTTCTTTCTACCCTTCTTCATCTTCAACATGCACTTTTTCAATTCGCCTCCATCTTGATATTGCACTAGACAGAAGTCGCTGCCCTGTCCGATTTTTTATCCAAGTTTGTTGAGATTTAGGCTTGCCGAAAAAGAATTGTCCTTGTTTCTCTGATACCGAAAAGCTACATTTAGTTTTGGAGAGTTGTAGTACTGGGTCTGAGAATTTCGACAATGAGCAGACATTTTTGATGAAGTTGTTTTTTTGAGATTTTTGAAGCTTTCTGAACAATTTTTGTTTGTCTGGAAACGTATAAAATACGAATGAACAGGTACTAAAGTTTTTTTATTTTGTTTCCGGTCAAAGTTGTCGTCAAAGAGGCAATTTTCCGAAGTAGATTTGTTTGATACCAAAATTTATAAAATTGACGAATATTATTGTAAAGTGTATGAGAAGGTATTGAAACCCAAGTGAAAATTGTTACAAGAGGTCTCTAAACTCTTCTCAAAAAATTTCAGGTTCAAATTCGGCCGCTAGCTTCGAGGTTTTGATGATTTTCAGGTCCAACTCATGACGTAAGGCATTGTTTTGATTTTTCTCTTTCTAATTTTAGGTGATTTGATGTGTGGAATTTTCGCGAAGAGCTCACCACAGAATTGTTGATTAATAGTTAGTCTGACTTTATCTGGAATCGTAAAAGTGCTTCAAATGGGAGAAAATATTTTTTGCACATCAAAAATTGTTGGTTGAAAGAAAAGTAGTTTTCTGATAAAATTTGAGGTTGGCAGTGGATGTAAGTAGCATCATTAGAGCATAGTAAGTGGACAGATTGTGGAAATATTAATTTTGAAGCGTCTTGTATTTATTTGTTCTCGATTTTGATTTTTTCTCCTGCTTCGTAATGAAAAATATCGCGAAAACTCTAGTTATCTTTCCACGTTAATGTTTCTTGTTCGAGTTTTCTACGCTTTTACGAAATTTATTTCATTTGCATAATTATAGTTGTGGTAGAAAGATTGGCACGGCACTTGGGTGAATTTTTTCATTTGAAATTTTTGGAATGACGGTGGCGGCTGAAAATAATCATATTCATGCCGGAATAAATTATGAAGAGGCAAAACAACTTATTGACGCCACAAAGACGACGGATCTAGCTCCTGGGACTTACTGGTAAGTATTTTTTGCAGTTTTTGTCTTCTGATTTTAGGGTGGTTAACATTGGGAGGAAATACGAAATTTTGATGTATAAAGGTGGAAATTAGCGATCGACGTTTTCGCAAGTGATATGACAGTCAATTTGCATTGTACCGATAACGATTTTGAGTTATTTTGGGAACTTTGAGGCCGTTGAATTCAATTATATTCACTTAGACATCAAGACTTTTCCTTCAAATTAAAATTTAGTTTTTCTTCTACATTGAGGTCCAAATATTTTTGGTTTGCAGGTATTTGATAGACCAACACTGGTGGAGTAATCTGCAGCAGAATTATGATGTCCTTTCCAAGTCACAGGACCAATCCCTAATCGACTTGGGGCCGTTGGATAACAGCCAATTACTTGAAAGTGAGTTTGTTGAACATTTAGTTTTTTACTTAAAAACTTCATTATCAAGATGTGCTAAGCGTATTTTAAAACTTTCTTCGTTTTCCACCAAAAAGTTTTTTTTTTGTTTAGAAGAGCCCGGGACGGATAAAGTCCGATTAAAACAGTCCCTGGTGGAAGAGCTGAACTACTCGTTGGTTCCCGAGCATGTCTTCGAAGCCATAAAGAAAAAGTTGGGCTTGAAGAATGGAGAGGCGGATGTGATTAAACGGCCCGTTGTCCAAGGTACCGTTCTTCAGAAGGATGCTTTTGTTGAAGTTTATCCACTTCAATTACAGGTAATCGTTGAGCTGATTTTGATGAATTTATGCGTAAAATACGACGGTTGTCTTTTGGTGCAATGCCTGGACATTTTATACGATGAAATATGTTTGAATTTTAGTTTGGTAAAAAGTTATGTTGTAGTAGAGAAATAGATATTATTTTGCGATGGCATGATAGTGTAGAGAATTTGGATCATAAATTTTATGAATCTACTAGTGCCCGTCTATTTAACGACATTTTATACGATGAAATATGCAAATTGTCTTTGAGCAGGTTTAATCGTATAAAATGTCGCTTATGCTAAATTTATAAGTGTAAAATACGTGATTGGAAAATATGTTATTTTAGGTTGCCAAATTGAACGCCAAGAACGACATTAAAATCCTGAATGTTTCGTACGCGGACTCGTTTGAGGAGCTGAAGAAAAAGGCCTTCGACCTGCTTCAAATCCCCGAAGACAAGCGAGCAGAGGCCCAAATCAAGTTCGAAAAGAACAAGAATGATTATGAGACCATCAACGAGAAGGTGAGCACCAATTTGGCGTCGATTTTACGAATGGACATGGTGTTTTATGTGGATGACAACTCTGTTCGCGTCACGAGGTCCAGTTCTCGCATCGAAGGAATGAATGGGAGCTTGTCACCGACGAAGAGATACTCTGGCTATGCGCCGTGGTGAGGACGACTCTTAAACCCTGAGTTTTTATCGGAAAATTTTCATTTTGTGAAATTTTTGACAAAAAATTGGTCGAGTTTTTATGTGTGGGCGATATTGGAGAGTTTTTGGGATAAAATTGTAAAATAGGAAATGATAATGGTTGCTGAAGTTGGATTGATTATTTTCAGCTCATCCTACTCGACGGAAACCCACACTCCCGGCATTTGCGGCCTTCAGAACCTGGGCAACACCTGCTTCATGAACTCGGCCCTGCAGTGTCTGTCGAATGTCCCGGAGCTGACGGAATACTTTTTGACGGATCAATACCTAAATGAAATCAATTACGAAAACGTCCTCGGCACGCATGGGAAGCTGGTTCAGGCGTACGCCGATTTGATCAAGGAAATGTGGTCCGGAAGACATTCGACTGTAAAACCTTATCAGTTCAAGGTAAGAAAGTTGGAGATTTGTATGGGAAATTGTCGATTGAGAAGTGAGAAGTTCAGAGAAAGAATGGGTTTTATTGTTTTTGACATTTTGGCCATTTTATACGATGAAATATGTTTGAGAATATTCTTGGACATGTTTCATCGTATAAAAGTGTGAGGTAGAAAAAAGTAGTTTTGGTGTAATTTTGGATTGTTTCCAGTTTGTGGTGTTTTATTGTTTTTGACGTTGCGGCCATTTTATACGATGAAATATGTTTGAGAATATTCTTGGACATGTTTCATCGTATAAAAATGTGAGGTGGAAAAAAGTAGTTGTGGAGTAATTTGGGGTTGTTTTCAGTGTGTGATCGGCCAGCACGCGCCTCGTTTCAACGGATATGCTCAACAGGATTCGCAAGAATTGATGTCCTTCTTGTTGGATGGGCTCCATGAAGACCTCAACCGAATCGTGAAAAAACCCTATATTGAGGAGCGGGAATCGGACGGACGCCCCGACGGAGTGGTGGCAGAAGAGGCGTGGGCGGATTATAAGAAACGAAATGATTCTGTGATTGTTGATCTGATGCATGGACAAATCAAATCAACCCTGGTGTGCCCGGTGTGTGACAAGGTCAGCATCAAGTTCGACCCCATCCTCTACCTGACTGTCCCAGTCCCGCAGCGAGAAAAGAACGGGAAAAGTTCGGTGGTGGTGTTGAGGCCCAAACAGAGGTGGGCTAAGGTAAGATTGGGAGAGATAGTATGATGTGTCACACGTCAAAGAAAAAGTGAAAAAAAACAAGGAATCTCGGATCATTGATTTTTGACGAAATGTCGCTGAATTATCGAGTCACAAAAGAAAAACCTTCACAGAGAGAAAAAAGTAAACTCAAATTGTTGTAAAAGACCTTGAAAGACGAGTTTTACATGGTGAAATTTGAAACCACTAAAGACAAATTATCGCAAAAAAATCCTCGGATATCCTACAGTGGACCTGATCCAGTGGCAAAAAAGTACCATTTTGCATCCGGGAAGTATCAAAAAATTTGGCAAAATGCCTCCCTCTCCAAGTGAAAAATCTCCGCTTTGAAGGTTTCCTCAAAGAAAGAGCAGGCTTTTTTTTGAAATCGGAGTTTTTTCACTTGGAGAGGGAGGTATTTTGCTACATTTTTTGGTACTTCCCGGGTGCAAAATGGTACGTTTTTTGCCACTGGATCAGGTCCGCCACTGTAAAATTTTTTTGAACAAAAGAGCAAGTTATTGCATAAATCTCGGGCGCAGCCTGCCATTCCCAAAAATCTCTCAAATCCGCTACAAGGATTTTTTGCGATAATTTTTCTTTAGTAGTCTCAAATGGCGTTTTGATGACATTTGATTTATAAGACTTGTTTGTTTTTTCTCCTGAAAAATATCTGTTGACCAAGTGTAACATGAACTTTTAGTTCACAATCGCCCACACGAACAAGTCCACCTTTGACCAATTGAGCACTGCCGTCAAGGAGAACCTCAAAATCGATAAAGACACCCGACTGGTCATTGCGACGGGCGGATTGACCCCAGCGGCCTACGAGCCGGAACAGCCCATCCCGGTGATGACGTCGTATTACAGCGCCTGTCCTCGCCAATTCTTTGCCTACTTGTGTCGTCCGGGTCCCCTGATCATTGTCGCGAACATGATCATGAACAGCTTCAACAAGAGCTTGACCTCGCCGTTGATCACCAATTTTGACTTCAAGCTCACCAGGAGGGATATTGTGGAAAAGGTGGGGGTTTTGGATGGAAAATGTGGAGTTTGTAGTGGATATAAGGATGGGAAAGAAGCTTTGACAAGCAGTTTATGATGTAATGTGTTTGTTTTGCAGGTACTCCCCCGAATCTACGAGCACTTTAGCAAAGAACACACGGTCTCCACCTCGTCCAATGCCCCAGATGAGTCGAAATTTGGTGGCGCTGGAGTCCGATTGGGAAGATCGGAGGGATCCAGCGACTCGGGAACTTCGATGACGGACAGTCTGAACGCCCCACCGGAGCTGAAGGACATTGCGATTGAGGTGAACGGAGATGCGAGCAAATTCCCAGATGACCCGGATGAGGAGATTGAGCTGCCCAAAACTATCAGTGTGTTACCGAAAATTTTGTTGCGATGGGAACAGAACGACCTGTTTGCACCACTATCGGTTGCTGAGGTAGGAAGAATGGGAATTCCCCGGGGGTTGGGACATGTTATACGATGAAAAGTGCTTTTTAAGTTTGGATTGTTTTCCAAGGTTTTTGTGGAATGAATGAGAAATCTGGGAAGCTGTGGGAAGTTGATAGGCTTGATTTTATTATTTATATCTTTTAGCGCCATTTTATACGATGAAACCTGCTTAAAGACGGATTTTGTTTCTTGTGAATTTTATCGTATAAAATGTCGCCTCGATTACCGGTGGTGATGCTTGTTTATTCTAGACCCTGGTTGACCGAGAACTGAATATCCAAGCGCCGCAGAAGGCGGGCAACACCCTGAATGACTGCTTGGACATGTTCACGGTCAGGGAACAGCTCGACGAAAACGACTCGTGGTACTGCCCCAAATGCAAAGAACACCGTCGGGCATTCAAGAAATTGGACTTGTGGAAACTGCCCAGGATCTTGATTGTGCACTTGAAGCGCTTCAACTACAGTCGATACAGCCGGGAGAAGACGGACACGGAGATTAGTATACCAGTAAAGTAAGTGGGATTTTGGAGTGTAAAGGTGATGGAATGAGAGCAGAAGAGACTTAGCTATGCATAAAGAAGTTTTGGGTAATATAGTTGTGGAATGGAGATGATAGCTTTTGATTTTCAGAGGATTCTGCCCGACTTCTATCAATCCCAAGCAGAAACAGGTGAAATACGATTTGATTGGAGTGTGCAACCACATGGGAGGCCTGGGGTCTGGTCATTACACCGCCAAAGCCATCAACAAGTCGTGAGTGTGGAATTTAGGGAAGATGTGGGCGTATTGTACAAGAAATTTTTAATGAAAAACGAATTTTTAAAAATAATTTTTGGGTTTTTGGATTGTTGTTAGAAGGTCGAAATTGCTCTGATAATGGAGGATATAGTGGAAGATTATGATTTGTTTGAAATATTGACTTTTTAATTCGTATTTTAGGACCGGGCGCTGGGCCGATTTCAACGACTCGTCGGCATTTTTGTGCGGCGAAGTCAACGACCCGCTGGTGTCGCGGGAGGCCTACTGGATGGTCTACCGACAGCGAACCGAACCCACACAACCCAATTCCACCCACCAACGAACGCATCAACCCCCACAACGAGTCAAACGAATCACGGAATCTGAGGCCATGGAAGAAAGCGACTAAATTTTTGATTGAATCTTTCTTGATTGTAAACTTGTAAGAAACTTTTTTTTTTGAGGCTGTGGAGTGGGAATTGAGTGGATTTTTTATGGTCTAGACTCTAGAGGACGTTTAAGAAGGTTTTTTTGTTGAAAGGAGACATTTATACGATGGGTTATGTTCAGATATTGGGCAGGCCCGTCGGATGTCTTTGTAAAAGGGATATGTCTGCTAACAGGTCCCAAGGGTTTTTAGCAAGTTTTTTAAAATTTTTGGTGACATTTTATACGATTTAACATGCTCAAGGAACGTAAATTTCTCTGAAGCATGTTTCATCGTATAAAATGTCTCCAAAAGCAGTTTTTGAACGTGAAATTGAAGAATAGCTCCTCATAGTTCATAATCATTCACTCAAGGCTCACTTCAACGGTAGTTCACTCCAAAAACCCGAGTTTTTTTATTTATTTCCCACCCTGTGTCTTACTTCCCTAAAGCCCCCGATAAACCCCAAATCTCCGCTGATTGTCATCTAAGTATAAGTACCACCCATCCTAAATCTGACTCAATTCATCGAGTTTTATGCAAATTTAATGCAATTTTTGTCTTGTCTAAACGGGAATAATTTTTTTTTTGAATTTAAATCTGGAATTAAACAGTCGACTCGAACGCACTGTGCCAACGGCTTGGCCTCAAAAATGGTACCAGTAACCTAAAATAACTAATGAGTATTTGTGTTGTGTCAGCCTGTTCTTAGTGCACCTTTTATTTGTCTTGTAAAATTTTCTTTATTTGACGTGTTCTTACAGGTTTATTTTCGCTCTTGTGGATGCTTCTTGTCAATTTCGTATCGTGTATTGAATAAATGGGTTAATGAAGGAAGAGAGGTTTTGAAATTTGCATTTTACAGCATGGAGTACATGTCAACAGGCTTTGTCCGAACTCTACTGCACTCCAAACTCCTCACGGATGATGATCGTATTCTGGTTGAAGACGCGTTAACAGACTCGGCAGTGAAATTCCCATCAAATCAGAGGTTTTTCACTTTTCTGATTGGGTTCTTCGCGGTTCTGGTTGGAGTAGTGTTTTGGGCAGAACAAAATGGTAAGAAATCGCTTATTTTAGTGATGTCAGATTAGGAAAAACTTATGTGAAGTTCTCGACCGGTCGAAAAAATAGGACTAGACACTTTATACGACGAAACATGTCTGAGACAGTTTTTATCGTATAAAATGTCCTGGAGTAATTATCTGTCGACAGGATTCAGTAGGCAGACACCGGGTGACATGGTATACCTACGATTAATCATTTTTAATGTAATGACGTCTTATACGATCAAAACTGTAATTTTTTTCCAAACATCTTTCTTCGTATAAAATGACTAAAGGTTGATACAATCGCAAGTTCTAATGAAAAAACGATACGATAATTCTACCACACAGTCATTTTTACAGGGCGACATTTTATACGCTGACATTTTCATCGTAAATTATCGGAATTACTAACCTCCGACTTTCAGACAACCTTCTACTTTACAATATCACTATCGGGGTGTCGATTGCTTTCACTTTTATCATTTGTGTTGGGCTATTTCCGCTGCTATTAGTGCCTTTAACAAGGTACGGAATCAGAAGTTGGAACAACTCCGATCGCACAGTGCATTTATTTTTGGCTGGACTAAAGCGAAGGGAAACCTACATTTATGGGTAAGTTAGAAGTTTTACCAGTCCATAATTTATTTTAAAACATTTTTCATTTCTCTTCACATCAATTTATGAAGGTCTCAAAAATTACAATTGTTCATATATTATCATAAAAACCGGTGAACTAGAATATTCATAAATAATTTAATAGAGATCATAATTCCATTACAAAATTAGCCGAAACAACATACAATAGAGCCGCGATTCTGAAGTTTACCGGTATTGGAAAGCGGAATGGCGAAAGTACTGGGGTTGATAAGTAGATGAAGGTTCGTATTTCGGTCTGAAAAAAACCAAACCGCATAAATGTTACAAATAGTGTCCTACGTCCATTCTAAAAGCCTAAGGCAACACTAATAACTTTTTTAGAGGTTTGAGACAAAAACGAAAATTCGTTTTGGCGCTGAGCTACTACTATAATTGGAAAATTGGTCATCAACATTATTCGGTTGATCTAGAATAATTCTAGTCTACTACTATTCTTATAGTGGTGATCCAGTGATAAAAAAAGTACCAAAATGATTTTACAGAAATTTGAAGCGGATTTGAGAGATTTTTGGGAATGGCAGGCTGCGCCCGAGATTTATACAATAACTCGGTCTTTTGTTCAAAAAATATTGTACAGTGGCGGACCTGATCCAGTGGCAAAAACTTACTATTTTGCATCCCGGAAGTATCAAAAAATGTGGCAAAATACCTCCCTCTCCAAGTGAAAAAAACTCCAATTTCAAAAGCGCCTTTTTGCGAAGGAAAGGGCATTCAAACCCGAGTTCTTTTCACTTGGAGAGGGAGGCATTTTGCTACATTTTTTGATACTTCCCGGATGCAAAATGGTAGGTTCTTTGCCACTGGATCAGGTCCGTCACTGTACAATATCTTTTCGGAACAAGAGAGCGAGTTATTGCATAAATCGCGGGCGCAGCCTGCCATTCCCAAAAATCTCTCAAAATACGCTTCAAATTTCTGTAAAATCAACTTATTGCAAATTTTATGTTTGTCCCATCGCCCTGATTTCTTTTCCGCTCCAAAAATCCCCCTATCCTCAATCAAATGCAGTCTGCCAACCCCAACATTTCTCCGAATTCCCCAAAAATCCTCACCGATGAAATATCCCACGTCCAGTATTGTTGTTCATGGGCCGCAGTTTCGTGTCCATCAATGGCGGGAACTTATTTTCGTGCGGGGGTGTGGGTGGAGGCGGTGGGGGGATTAGTGGGATCAAATAATCTGAGTTCTGATAGGCCTGGCTGCTCTGTTGTTGAGGTAGATACGGTTGGCTGGCTCTTCGCTGCGGTAAATAAGATTGGCTGGTCTGCTTCTGAGGAGCGTGTCGCTGATATGGGTCTCCAGCATTAGAATGCGAATAATTCGGCAGGGTTCTCTGACCATACTCCTGGTTTGGTGGATACAAAGATGGAACTGCTTCGGAGTGGGGCATTTCCGTGTAGGTTCGAGTGTGTGATTGGTGATACAAGTCATTAGAGGAAACGTGAGGACGGCTATACACATAGGGGTTCGGGTTCGGTTGAATTGGAGGCTGATATGGAACTCTGGGGAGTGGATACGGCTGATACGGTAGTTCCGGATTCTCAATCTTCACAACTTGTTCTTCATCATAACGAATGTCGTAATCCGGCTTTACTTCTCTTTCTTGGGGTTTGTCCCAATTCTGGCTCCCAAACGTCATGATTCTGGGAGGTCCGTTTTCTTGGCCAGAGTGTTGTCTAAAAGTTCAAAACGCAAAAGGAAAAAAGAGCTACCGTTTTCTCGACGAATTGCTGTGGTCTGAGCTGCTTGGACTTATGAAGGCGGTCGTCTCATTACACCTGCAAATTATCCATTACTTTCTATAACGGTGACATCTTATACGAATAAAACATCTAAAAATTTTTTTCGTACAAAATGTCGCCTTACCGAGGAGCTGGTGAACGTGTTCGGCCATGTGGTGGCGAAGTGGTAGGGGCTGGTATAGACTGTCTGCAACCGTGATCACTTGGTGTTTTAGTCGGTTTTGATTCATAAAAGTTTACATCCGCATCAGCCCCTCCTGGTGGCTTTACTGATAAAACTTTTTGTGTTAGAAGTTCCTTTTTGGTCAGATTGTGATGCCTCAGACGTCGGGCAAACTGCTCTTGTGTGCCGTATTCGCATATAACAGCAGCTAGAGCTGTGGCCATAACCTAAAGAGGGAAAGATCCAAAAAAAGAAAAGTTCGTACCTTAAGAGTCTTTATTGGTATTGAGAGGACTTTCTTGATCGCTTTTCTCATATTCTCATCGATTTCGTCTTGCTCTGTGATTTCTCCCTTTGCTCCGTAGACATATTCGAACAAATGAGCGCTGTGTCGGTAGTACGCGCACATCAATCGAATGTTATAGAGGCTGAAAGGCTGTCGGCGATCGTCCAGCTCCAATGGAAACTGAAAATCCCGAAAATTTTGGTAAAACCTAAATTTTCAAAACAAAAAATATCCAAAATATTACCTGAATAATGACAATGACCCCGTGGGCACTGGCAATCCTCAGCATATCGATGAGTGCCTCGAGATTCCTTCTTTCTTTTCGATAGAACTCGGAGTCACGTTCTTGTTCGCCCTCCACATACTCGAAGTAGTGATCGTGCGGAGTTCTTCTCTTGTCGTAGAGCGCTCGTTGAAGGAAAATACTGCATCGGCTGAATGTCTCGACGTTTTTCAACTTCTCCAAGGCTTCACCAGGAGTTCGGAAGCCAAACACTCGGTTGTTTTGGGCATCAACACCTTCCGGCCAATCATCGCCAATCACAATGGAGAAATTACCTAAAACAAGGTTAATTCGCCTGATATTTGGCTTCGAAATGACGGCACTGTTATAAAAAAGAGTCTACGTTACCTATATTAGCGTTAGTTTAGACACTCACGCAGTTCCAGCTCCATTCTTACGAATTTTTGACAATATTTTACTTTAGGCATACCAGGTCCCGCAGAATGGCTGATATAGGCCAAGCTAGGGACCGTAAAGAGCCCCATTAACGCGCCAAGATTAGTTTACGACCTGTAACAGCTTGTACAAATCCTAAAGTTGCCTATGAGCAGGTCCAGTCCATGAAATAGTCAGATATTAATTTTAGACCAAGTCTAATTTCCCGGAGGACGAAATGTGTCCTAAACGCAAGACAAAATAAGAAATTCTTACCATGAATAGGAAGGTCGTAATCAGTGTCAAATTGAAAAGTGGCTCGAGACTTCTCAACCTCCAGGTTGGCCATGCTCATTTCATACTCTAGACTGTCCAATGTATCGTCCAAAGCTCCATCCGAAGAGACTGGAGTGATGTTTAATGGTTTAAAATCATCAAACACAAGAGCTGGAGCATTCGAGGGATGACGAAATCGATTCGGATCAACTGAAAGTTCAATATTATCCAAACTCCAAAAATTCTTCAAAAAAGTAACATTTTACCTAAAATAAGGTCATAAATAACGTAATTTTACGCTGCAACTCACTCAAATACAACTCGCGGAAGTAGAACAGCTCCATGTCGTTCATGGTGTTGAGAGTCAACTTTCTCCTCGGCGGAACATTATTGGAACCAGATTCTCTGGATCCATGCGATGTCATGGCTAAAATAAGATATGATTCGGCAGGATTACGAAGGTTTTCGATATCAATAGAACCGCAAATGATATGATGCAACTTGGCATGCGTGAGCTGCGCAAACAGTCGGCTAGAAATTACCTTCATTTTCCAGCATGGCCACGTTCAGTGTTTTCGTGGCGGGACCAATTTGCGGTAGTGATTGACGTTACCATTGCTCGTAATCAATGACTATATTGGCCTGTAAAACACCTCTGATGAAGTTTTTGGTCGAATTATAGATTATTTTTCTTGGAAATGAGGCAATATTCCGATATTACCCATGGCCTAATCTGCAATAAAAATATTTGATCGTATAACATGTCTCCGAGGGTATCTTTGACAAATCACTAACGAAATTTTATTTTCAGGCTACAACAGGCCCTTGAAGCCAGTGAAAACTATGTTTGTGCCCCGCAATCTCGTCTTCAATGCATCTCCGAACTCCGCAATGTTATCCATCATTGTCGCGACTTCTCGGGGAAATTTCTGGAGGAATTGGACCTAAAATCTGCCGATGAGTATGCCAATACTGCAATCTTGGAGATGGCTGACGAAAACCAACTGGATATTCGAGAAGATCAGGTGGAAGTTCAGGCATTGAAGGTAGGTGGTAGTGTTGAAGGCTTTATTGATTTTTAGGGAAAATTGAAGTTGTTTTGGGATCAAGTTATGTCTGTTAAATAAATCGAAACTCATACTTTATATTTTAGGCTCTCTGGCAGTTTATGTTCATCCACAGATCGGAATCACTTCGAAATTTAGCTTTGAGTCACCTGGATACCATGAACAAGTTAATTTCCTCATCTAAATACCTGTCGGCCACAGCCGCAGCAAGGTCGACTCTCTTCCAACTGCTTCGACACATCTTAAACACCAAAAAAATCACAGTAAAGCTTCAGGATGTTGAGGTGAATCGTGAAAGTTACGGGGAGAAGTCAAACATTCAAAAAGTATTTGAAGGTGGAGCGGGTGTTGAAGATTTGGAAAGGTTGAAAGCTCAAGCAGAGTTTATGTTGAATCAGTAAGTTTTATTTAGTGCTTCATTATTTCGTTCTTAGGGATTGACGGATTTTTTACGAGGATAATTGACCTCAGGGATGTGTAATATAAATTGTTTCGTATGAAATTTCTGAGACCTTTTGGAAATCAATGGTTTATTACTGGAGTTAAATCAAGTCTTTTCCAGACTCTATCGCCTAAAGAAGCTCCCCGAAGATCGTCGGTTTTTGATGAAAATCCTTTGCGAAATGGCTGACATCATTGGTAGAGAAGCTAACGAATCGCCCAAGAAACCGCCAAATAAGCGTCCAAAGTCGCTTAAAGATGAGCTGGAAGGCGATGTTGATGACAATGAAGGTGATGAGAACCAAGAACAACGCGTCAGTTATGACTTTGAAGTTTTCGAAGGTGAAATTGGTGATCAAGTGGAACATAAAGTTGACAATCGACTGGAAAATGAGGTGGACATCAATTCGCCAATGAGAGTGACGTCATTGAGGGATGAATTGAAGGTGGGTTGGATTTTTGGGGTCCTTTTTTTGTTTTTAGGGTATTTGACGAAGTGTCACAAAAATTATGGATTTTTTAAAATGTTGGATAAAATCTGAATATATGTGAAAAAAGAGGTGGTGATGGTAGCCGACGTATTTTAAAATAGTATATTTCTGCTTCTTTCTTCCAGGCCGCGCTAACCAAACGAAAAGCCGATTTTGATCAACGTCAGCTGGCGGCGTTGGCACGACTCAAAAATTGCACTGTCGAAGAGGTTATTCGGCAAGAAATGGAACGTAAAAATGTTGCGGCTCCTGTTCAACCTCAAGAACGGGTGGTTTATGCACCGCAACAGCGACTAAACATATCGGCGGCTGATCTGATGGCCGCGATGAAAAGTCGTCCGAAAATTGACGCACTCGGCGATATTGAAGAGTAAAGTACGCGTATCACGTTTTATAAGCCTATGTGATATTGAGAATGATCTCGTTACAAAGAGAACTTCTCGTTCTCTATTTTTTTGGAAATTTTTGCAATAAATTTGAAACCCTAATATAATATAATTTTTTCTTGTGTTGTTATGTCAGGGCAATATATATCTTTCGTTGGTTAATTTTTCGACTCATTCTTGTCGACATCCAAATAATGCGCGCGCTCGGAGACATTTTATACGATGAAAATTTTTCAAGCATGTTTCATCGTATAAAAAGTAAGCGGAGATGTTCTCTGTGTGGTCCACTAAATACTGTCACAAAATTTATTACATATAGCTATTTGATTATTAAACAAAACTATCAATAATAGAAATAAGACTAATTACATACAGTAACAAAAATTGAGCGTAGTTGTTGAGTGTTGAAATCACAATATACAGCAATACGAATAAAAACAGCCTATGACATGTACTGGGCTTAGAGTAAAAAGACATGGAAATACCCATAATTGGTATGAAAAAGCGCATAGTTTTAGGGATAGGGATATCTGGTCTCGTGGGTAATATTTAGGCTGTAACCGGGGTTTTTTCTTGGTCGATATGTGCCAAAAATCGTCAAAATATACCTTATAGACTATATTCTCCCCTTACTTACAAACCATGCGCTTGAATGCAGTAATTTTTACAAAAAACAATCAAGTTGTTACACTAGACAATAGCTGAAGATTGATGGAAATTCAGACGGAGTAATCCTGCTACTACAATATCTGCGAGAATTAGCAGTAATTTGGTCTAATATTACTAGTTTTTGGCATCTCATTTCGGGGGAAATGCCGCTTATATCGCATTTACCTTTTCCGTTTTTTCAAGTTGAACCTCAACTGATGCGGATACGGTGTCTCCACAGGCGGCTGTAATATCCGTGGAGGATGCGCGATCTCAATGTGAGGGGGATTTAGGTGATTCACGAGCATTGGCGGCGGTTGTAGATGATTCACGTACTCTGGCGGAGGATTTATCGGAAGTGGCTCGGTGTCTGGTATGATTTTATGAGGTGCTCGGTAAAGAGTGTCATGAGGGGTCTCGAATATTGGTCGGCTAGGTCGCATATGCTCTGGAGGTGGCGTGTTCTGTGGTTGTACTGGAAAGGAAATATAGTTTGAGCTGTTTCGTTGTCATACAAGGTTTAAACGGGTGAACTTTCAAGGAGTTGGCGGTTTAGCCAAACCTTGCTAAAGTTTGGGTTCGTTTTGAAGAGAGGTGTAAGTCTGAAAGCCGTAGAGTCTTCAGAAATAGAACTAAGCTACTCTACAGTGGCGGACCTGATCCAGCGGCAAAAAACGTATCATTTGGCATCTGGGAAGTATCAAAAATGTGTCTAAATGCCTCCCTCTCCAGGTGAAAAAACTGCGTTTTGAAGGTCGCGCCTTATCCCTCACAAAAACGCGCTTTTGAAATCGGAGTTTCTTTTCACTTGGAGATGGAGGTATTTTGTTGCGTTTTTTGATACTTCCCGGATGCAAAATGATACTTTTTTGCCACTGGATCAGGTCCGCCACTGTAGAGTAGTTTATTTGAACTTCTGAAGGCTCTAGGGCTTTCATACTTACATCTCTCTTCAAAATTTAACTCAAGCTTTGTCAAGGTTTGTCTAAACTGTCAACTCCTTGAAATTTCACCCGTTTAAACACAGATCCGCTGCAGTATGCGTTGTTTCATTCAAAACCCCCACCTTTCTCATCCTTTTGTGGAGTTGGCGCCTCTCGCTTGGAATTACAGCACAAATAACAGCAACAATCGCAACACCTTCTAGGCCGTTCTGTCCGCTCCGGATTAACCTTATTGTCGTTGATGAAGTCCCGTTGATAATCTCGGTGGAATTGCTCAAAATCATCTTGTAATGGGAAAAAAAAGTCGAAGATCTTGTCCGAAAACGTTGGATTCTCTCGTTTTTTCCGATTGAAAAGATGTTGGAAGAAACCGTAGGGTCCCGCCTGTTGTTGTGCATAGTTTCCGCCGTACATGCTTTCCGGACTCGGCTGGTATCCGTTGTAATTCGAGCCGTATCCTTGGAAATCTCGAGGGTTTCCGTTGAATCCCGGGAAGTTTTGCCCGTAATTTGCCCCATAGTTGTTGAAGCCACAATTACAACCGGGATTGGGTTGTTGGCCAGGAGGCTGCGTCTCCCGGTTTTGCTGCTGGTTTAGCCACCTCATCGCATTCTCAACGTATTGACAGTCTTCCGGGGACGGTTCGTTATCTCCATCGGCAGCTTGTGGGGCGGCTGATGTCTGAGGATTTTGTGTTCCCATGTTCTGGGGATTTTGATTGCCCATACTCGAGCCAAATCCTCCAAAGCTGTTGGCGAAATTCATGAACGCGTTGAGTCCTCCACCAACTCCGTTATTCGGCGTTGTGCCCATCGAGGGATTCATGGGTGCACCTGCAGGATTGTTGAGGTTATTCATATTCACATTCTCACAGTTACAAGGCAATGGGTCCGGTAATGGGCATGGTTGAGCATCTTGGCCATAGTTGGAGCCATATCCGTTGCCTGTGCCATATGCGTTTGTCTGAGAGCCGGAGCCGAATCCAGCGTTTGTCGGGTTAAACCCAGGAGTTTGACCGCAAGGACATGCTTGACAAGGGCTTTGCGCCGAGGTGAAAGTAGCCGGATCACAAGCACAAGGTCCATTAGGAGTGGCATAGCCGTTTTGATTGCCCGCACCGGTAAATGCATTGGAATTCGTACCAGTGTTGAAGGGGTTTTGTGTTGAGCTTGAGCCGAATTGATAGTTAGGACTGTTAAGACAGCTGGGTCCGTTGGCGCAGTTGCAATTTTGACAGCTCCCACAATTTGTAGCGGTGCTTTCACTTGTCGTGAACGTTGGATTTTGTGTGTTTGTTCCGTAGTTTGGAGAGGCTGGGCCATAAGCGGTGTTTGAATTGGTACTTGCTGTTCCGGCACTTCCAAATCCACCCGAAGGATTCTCTGGACAAACACATTTGCACTCTTGGCCCTCAGGGAATCCGTGGAAGTAGTGATGATGGTGATGATGATGGAAGAAATGATGATCCTTCTTCTTTCCCTTCTTGTGATGGTGATGCGGCTGAGCGTGAGGATCCAGTGGGTGAACCAAGGGGAGAACATAGTAATCCCGGCCATGACGAGCGGCTCTGAACGTAGTTGGAGCCGAGCGTTTGCGTCGCCGCAGTCTAAACCCACCGTCGCAGCCATTGCAGCAGCAGGGAGAGCAGCACATGATACAGCAGCAGCAAGGCTCGCAACAACAGCACGGCTGACAGCAACATTGCTGACAGCAGCAGGGCTGGCAACAACAACACGGCTGGCAGCAACATTGTTGGCAACAGCAGGGCTGACAGCAACAGCAGGGGCGACAACAGCAACAGGGCTGACAACAACACTGCTGACAACAGCAGGGTTGACAACAACAGGGTGAACAGCAACCGCAACAGCAGGGTCGAGAGGTGACTTGGCATTGACACATTGTCATGGTTCGACGTCGGCAAGGGGGTGCGGGTCCAACTGGTCGCGCGTCTGGGAGGCAGGGCTGGTCGCAACAACCTGAAATTAATTGAGCATGATTGCAGAAACGTTGCAGCTTTAATTAACTTTACTATAAGAAAGAATCTATTCTTGTAGTGACCAATTCTACTCTGTTCTTACATCGAATCGAATAGAATTGGCCACTGCGAAGCACAAACTAACATTTAGGCGCTGGTGGTTGAAGAATAATAGGTGGCGGGTCGGGGAATGAGGGCTTACAACAACAGCAGCCACATCCACAACATCCTCCCCCATCAAAGAAGCCGTCGGAATGGGGTAGCATCATCAACATTGCCATCGCTAAAAGCTTTAAGTCAAGGTGAAACCACATGGCTCGAACCATTGTGGAGTTGAAGGCAGCGGCCTGGAATGGCCTGAGGGGAAGGGAGCTGAAAGAAATGGATTCATACTAGAGTTATTGCGTAATTTATAGAAAACGAGAGTTTGAAAACACAGTTCATAAAAAAGCATAAAACGATAAAAGTAATCAAATTTGGGAGATTACAACGAAATCCTGAGCAACCTACAACATTTACACCACGGTTAGTCGACTGTAGCCGGCTCACCGCGCAGCTCACAATGAGCTTTCGCAGAGCCCGCAGGCTCAGATCGGGAATATCGCCCGCGGCTCTCGACGCACCGACTCCGCCTCTCGGGTCCATTGTTGAGAGAGCCTCGTTCTATTTATGGAGCAACCGAGCCCGGAGATTTTTTTCGAATACGCGAACATCTTCAAAAATCGGGAAATCGGCCATCCGCAACTCCACGTAAAGAAAAAATTAGATTACAAATTTGGAGTACAAGAAATCATGTCCCTCAAAAAAATTGTTGTGGGAAGTTTCACTTTAGCCTGAAAGGCACGCCGAGGATACTACAGAGACGGACCTGATCTAGTGGCAAAAAATGTACCATTTTGCATCCGGGAAGTATTAAAAAATTTAACAAAATGCCTCCCTCTAAAACTCCGTTTCGAAGAGCGTGCCATTTCTCTCACAAAAAGAGCGGGCGCGCTTTTGAAATCGGAGTTTTTTCACTTGGAGAGAGAGGCATTTTGCTACATTTTTTGATGCTTCCCGGATGCAAAATGGTACGTTTTTTGCCACTGGATCAGGTCCGTCTCTGTAGTCCGTTTGCAAAGTGGCTGGAATGACTTTACCGGCATGCACTATGCAAAAAAAATCCAGCCGTTTGCGCGGTGAAAAAAGCAACAAATTTCACAGTATAAGTTGAAGTTCGCTTTGCATAACCTAGCCAAGATATTCAATGTTTTTGTAGAGAAGATAAATTGTAAGTTTCAGCCATGCGGTAATGGGGATTAGCCAAATTTTTCAAATTGTACGTGTGATGTTTTTAATTATTCAAAGTGCCACTGCAAAGCATCGACAACAACCTACAAAATGTCATCTAAATTTCTGCCAGTTTGCATGAAAACCGCAGTGTCCATCTCTGCGCAACCACGATCTTTGGAAAAAAGAGTCGGTGGTTATTACCGTAACTTCGAATCAGAAAGAAAAAAAGGAGCTCCGCTCTGTTTGACTTTTCTTTTCAAGTTTGAAGGGTACTTCACGTAAACAGCCGATATCCCAGTTTCGAGCTCGGGATCAGCTCGCGAACAACGAGTGATCATTGCGATGTTTTTGGGACGAAAAATGTAATCTTAGTGCAGACGAAGTGAGCGGAAGCGTAGATGGTAGTAGGACGAAACCTCGAGAAGTCGAGGACTAAACTACAAAGTCTAGGGGATAGAAGCTACTTTTGCTTTTAGGGTACAAGAGAAAGGCTTATTTTTCAGTTGACATGGGGGATAGGACTGGCCCCATGGGTCTCTAATTTTTGAAAAAACTTGGCACAGCTTAAAATTAAACATAAATTAGGCATTTTGCAAAATTTGCATAAACATTACGATTTCTATGTCCAAGTTTTTGAGGAAATTATGAGTTTTATAAAAGTAGAATACAGTCATAATAATGGTAACAAAAAAGGGAAGCCCAAAGTTGAAGAATTTTTCATACAGTGATGGACCTGATCCAGTGGCAAAAAACGTTCCATTTTGCATCCGGGAAGTATCAAAAATGTGGTAAAATGCTTCCCTCTCCAAGTGAAAAAAGTTCGTTTTGAAGGGCGTGCCCTTTCCCTCACAAAAAGAGCTTTTGAAATCGGAGTTTTTTCACCTGAAGATGGAGGTATTTTTCAACATTTTTTGATCCTTCCCAGATGCTGAATGGTACGTTTTTTGCCACTGGATCAGGTCCGCCACTATAGACTCAGCCCGCGTTTTTTTGGTTTTCAGTTAGATGGTGTTCTTTAGGGAGTACACTAAAAGAGGAGAGTGGGACAAACGGCAGGCACCAATAACCTTCCTGCTTCCGCATGAAAAAAGAATTAGGTTCGCCACTGTACCAGTTCGTTCGCAAAGTTGCTGGAGTGATTTAGGCGACATGCAGTGTGAGAAGACAAAAATTCACTTTGCACTGTGCCATTTTTGGCTTTCTGGGCTGGTCTCGCAACCTGACTTTTTCTACAAACAGACGCCAAAAATCACTCCAGCGACTTAACGAACGGATTAATAAGTAAAATCGAGAAAATAGTCATCATTTTTCAACTTGAATCAACGAATTCAAAATCATCATATATGTACAAAAATACCACAAACGTAAAAAATCGATAAAAATCTTGTTTCAAGAAACAGTAGACCTCCCAAAAATAAAAGTTAAGGATCCGTGCGGGAGAGAACTTCCGTATCCGCAAAAACGCAAAAAACACTTTTTTTCGCGTGCATCCCTAAAACGTCCACAGGACTTTGCGCGAGAATGTTGGGGGAAGGGGGGAGCAAACGCGCGACTGGCCGGATCTCCGGGAGGATCGCTTCGGAATCCCCTCAAAGTCTTGAAGGCGTTGCGGTGTTTGCGTTAACGACGTTGAAGGCTACGAAACGAGAAGTGGTTGGAGTTTGGAGTTGGGGTTTAAAAAATGCGAATTGCGGCCGAACGGGTGCAATTTTTGGGAGAAAGTTTAGTCATCATTCTCATGGAGAGTATAATTTGACGATTGCTCATGGTTTTATAGCTAGTTTGGTGGTTTAAATACAGTGTGGGACAGGATCCAGTGGTCAAAAGTGCTTCCGATTGCATCGGGGAGGCATTCCAAATACTTCAAAATATCTCCCTCTCTGACTGAAAATAGCGTTCTTTTGAAGAGGGGACGAGAAAGCTGGACTTTTGAAAAGAGTACAGGGGGAAAAATTTCGATGAGGCTCCCTGTTTGCTCTTTCCAAAAGGGCAAGTTTCTCGCCTCTCTTGTCAGAAGAACCCTATTTTTATTCAGATAGGGAGATATTTTGAAGTATTTGGAATGCCTCCCCGATGAAATACGAAGCACTTTTGATCACTGCATCCTGTCCCGCAATCTAGATGTGCAGGCTTTATAAATTAGTTTCAATTACCTGGAGATGACAAACACGCTACATGTTAATCTTATACTCCTCAAAAACCATCAAACTCATCATCAAGATCATCATGTATAATATAAAATTACACTACTCCGAGATTACATAATTTTACAAAGAAAAAGTTTATTCGTTTGTACTATTCGCAACTATGTGTTCTTCCCAAAAATATTTGGTTTGGTATGTGCAATGTGGTTAGTTAGTATACATTTCCCATCTTGTTGATTCGCTTCTTGCCGGTTTGATGCTCCAGGCCGGGATAACAGCTCTTCAGACAGGAATCGGTGAAGCAGCAGGTCTTTGAGATGTCTCCGAGCGAACACCCTTCCTTACAGCACTTGTCCTGGACTGAAAATAAAACAAATTTGCGATATTTTTAATTAGGTTCTAGGCGACATTTTATACGAAAGAAACCGATGCACTGGATCGGATTTTCGACGTATTTCCCCGGAAATTGATGGAAGATTGATTTTTGTTGCCATAAGACGAAATTTTTTACTTTTCGACAAGGAGACATTTTATACGATGAAAATTTTTCAAACATCTTTCATCGTATAAAATGTCACTATAACTTCGGCGACAGTAACGCATTATAAAATATATAGCTGTAGGTGCCCGTTATTAAAAACTAGAGGTTTTAGCGCCATTTTATGCGTTTAAAAATATCCCAGGAATCTCCAGACAGTCTTGAGCGTATAAAATGTCCCAGTCCCAAGATATAATGTCCCAGAATACCCTCTCAAAACGGCTTACTCTCTCGATTCAGATGTGGCCCACCCAAGCAGGGGCTATCCTGTTTGTCGTAGGTGCACACCTTCTTCTGCAGTTGATTGAATTGCCCTCCACAATACTTTTTGGCCTCCAATGTGGCCAAAACCAGCAACAATACGGTCAGAGCGAGCTTGAACGCCATGAAGATCGTTGGTCCAACCAGATGAGGAGTTCATTTTTATTCAGCTTTGTTTACATCGATAAACAGCCATGTTTAGAGGGAGGGGTTCTCGGGGAACGGATGTTTAGAAAAGGAGAAGAAAGCGGTGCAAAAAATGAGCCCTCAGGGTCCAGATAAACAAAAGATTTTTGTTATTTTGCGGTGTTCTGTGAGCTGCGAAGGTCATCAACCAAAATTATTGCCGTCAACATAGTAAAAGCAATGAGGGTAACACTTGTCCCAAAATTTCATTTGCGCGAAAGACTTAACCCAAAGCTGCCATATGCCTTCTCTGGTCACCCAACGGTCACAGGTGCCTTTACTCTTGTCTAAAGCGGTATTTTCCCACCAATAATCCAATTCGAATACCTGTTTATTATTGTTACAAAAATGGCAGTCTATGTATGAAATTGTCCACAGATATTAATAAAACCAATCCAAAGGGTTATTATATGAAGACCCGAATTCCAAATTCACTGATATTTTCCAACCGAGATATATGAAATCAGTAGCCACGTTTCGGAGGATTCCTGCATTTGAGGGCTCCACAGTGGCAGGGATTTAGTTTGTGGCCATAGTCAATGAGGAGTTCTTCGCCTGAAAAATCGAAATCGGTTATACAAATAACGATCTATCGAATTTTGACCTCCTAAAATCTAAATTGAAGATTAAGCTCGGGCGCAGCTCGCGTTTTAAATAAAAAAGTCCCTACTTGGCCATCAAATAAAGTAACGAAATGATATGCTCCTCCAACTACAATATGCTCTATCTGTCACTGAGGTGACATTTTATACGAAGACCGTATTTCAGGTGACATCTTATACGATCTGCATCAAAAAAATTTCTTTTTTTTGCTTACCAGCTTCAATATTCTTCTTGGCGAAAAAGCACAGTTCTTGGTATCGATAGTCATATCTGGACGCCAAGATCCCCACACACTTCAGATTAGGATCACATGAATGATTCACCCATCTCGCCTCATTTCCATAGTTAGTGGCATCGATGCAAAAGACCGATTCATCGGAACCGCACGTGTCCATGATGTATTGGTAGGTCACATCAGCAGGAGCGTTGACACACAAATAAACCTCGCCAACATACTGCATTACAAACTGGTTCTTCTGGATATTGACGGCAGTTCGGATGGACCAGCCTCGTTCCGCCGTTCGGAATAGGATTACCGGGACTTGTCGGCCTCTCTAAAAAGCCGAAAATGCATAATTTTATATGCAATAATTCATTTTACAAAAATTTGGTAAGGGGACATTTTATACGACAAAACATGTACAATCGTATAAGATGTCTCTATGGCTAAAAAATGAAAAAATCAGGTCGCTGGAACCTAATTAAACAGTGCATATTTAATTTTTACCAAACAACTCAAGGGTGATATTTTATACGATAAAACATGTTTAATCGTACAAGATGTCTCCATGGCTAAAATATGGGCAAAAATCAGGTCGCTGAACCTAATTAAACCATGCACATTTAATTTCTCCCAATTAAATCAAGGGCGACATTTTATACGACAAAACATGTTTCACCGTATAAGACGTCCCCAAACTCCTCCAACTCCTTCTGACCTACCTGAATCAGTCTGGCCGGGCAATCTTTGGGGCATATGCATCCTACTGAGCATTCAATGGCATGGTATTGGACCGTATCAATCACCAGGATATTGTCCTTGTATGGCATGCCTTCGGAATGTTGCTAAAACCAAACATAATATCAAATCTCAAAACGTAAGTTCCAAACCAACTCACCGTTCCACAACAAGTCTTCCGCGTGCATTTCACACCGCATTTCTTGGCGCACGAAAAGTTTTTCACACTTCGATCGTTGAAAATTGCGGCCGCCGCCTCTGTGATCCGATTCCGTTGGCCGTATTGAAATTTCAGCGGTTCTCGAGCATCGTCGGCCCAGTTCTCGATCCAAATGTTGGCAATTCCATGCTTGTTGTTGATATTGTTCAGAAAAGTTTCCCATTCCGCGAGTTTTTTGAAGTGCTCCAACCGAAGAAGGCTCAGCGTTTGACTTCGATGGTATGGGTAATGAACACGGTCCCTATAGCCAACTTTTCGTTTTATTTTGTCCAGAAGATCCATTCGACTATTGAATTCTTCCACCTGAAAAGAATTTGACTCATTACAAGTTTGAAGGTGAGACTTGTCCCAGTGTCAAGTGTTTTCTTTGGCCAATACAGCTCTCCAAATACTTCGTAAACACATCAAGAAGCTTTGGCTAATAATAAAAAGAATCAACACACAACTAGAAATTATTCGATTGGGCCCGGTTTTGTCCCCACCCCGGTTTTGTCCCCAAGACGGTTTTGTCCCCAGGACGTTTTTGTCCCCAAGCTGGATAGTACGATTAAAAATTATGCATTCAGATGTTAATGCTGTTGGTTTGAAGCCCCGCACTTCTCAAAAAATGTGTTTCTAGCACTTGGTACTGTATAGTTCAAGGTGGTATTATATAGCACGAGGCAAAAATTAAGCTTTAACGCGTGAATGACGTTGTTTTGGTATGCAGTAGTGATCAGACGTTCATTTTGTGCAAAACCAAATTCGTGCATATAGTACCATGTGCTAAAACACATTTTTGAGAAGTACTGGGCTTCAACCCCTAGCATTGACGTGTTATGGCTTAATTTTTACCTCGTGCTATATAGTACCACCTTGTACTATACAGTACCAAGTGCTAAAAACACATTTTTTGGGAAGTGCGGGGCTTCAAACCAACAGCATTAACATCTGAATGCATAATTTTTAATCGTACTATCCAGCTTGGGGACAAAAACGTCCCGGGGACGAAACCGGTCTGGGGACAAAAAATAAAAAAAGTGGGGACAAAAACGTCTTGGGGACAAAACCGTCCTGGGGACAAAACCGGTCTGGGGACAAAAAGGCTCGAAAAAAGTGGGGACAAAAACGTCCTGGGGACAAAACCGTCTTGGGGACAAAACCGGGGTGGGGACAAAAACGTCCACTACGAAATTATTCTTATTATCAACTCATTCTTATTTTATATAAACTTAGATACCAAAACATCAAAAACCATTTCAACTTTCAAAAAAACCCCCAAAAAACAGTCAAGCTCACTTTGAGAGGCGCTGTCTGGACGTCTTCCTCCGTCTGCCAAGTCAGGTCATCCAAGGACCACCCTTTCCAATGTATCAGGTACCACAAAACATTCGAACGCCGATGAAATTTCCTCATCAAAATTCGTTCCACTTCGTATTCATTCGACTGTTTTGCAGTTGGTCCGGGCTCTGACACATCCATGGAGGCTGTAATTTGGAATATTAGTGTCAACTGTTGCCCTGGGAAAAATTCGAGTCAACTTTTCCTCTTGGGTCAAGTCTTCCGCTCACTTAAAAACTGGGGCGATAGCGTTGAAACATGGCTGAAAATGGTAAGGCGCAGCTCAGAAAACTTGCACGGGCGCATCTCGAGGGCAGCTCGGAAAACAGGGTTCAGCAGCTCGCCGGAGCTAAGTTTCACCTTGTTTTTCGAGCTGCGCCCAAGATGCGAGCTGTGCCCGTGCAAGTTTTCCGAGCTGTGCCCTACCATTTTCAGTCAAGTTTCAGTTAGCGCATTGGTCCCTGTTTTTTGAGTGAGCAGAAGACTTGGCCCAAAAAGGAAAAGTTGACTCGAACTTTTTCCCAGGGCAAAAGTTTGATACTACTTTCACTTCGCGCATTGACCCCTGAGCGGAAGACTTGACCCAAAAAGGTAAAGTTCACTCGAATTTTTTTCCAAGGCAAGGGTTTGACACTAGTTTCAGTTAGCGCACTGGAAAAACGAACCTCTCGACTTGCGCCGTTTGGCCTCAGCCGCCTTCGCAGCCAACTTCTCATCTTGCTTTCGCTTCGTGAAGACCGCCGCCAACGCCTTGCTCAACTTCTCCCGATCCTCGGCCGACAACGGGTTCTTCTTGCCGATTCGTTTGATTTCCGGCAAATTGTTCACATCGTAGCGTTTGTCCAGCATCCGTTCCCGGAATCTGTCACCATGGGCCTCCCACCACTTCTGAAATTTCATTTCATGGATTTCAACTTGTCTCTGGAGACAAAAACCAACGAAATTCTAAACTTACATGATTCGGTAACTCTGATGATATAATTTTCACATCACCTTCGGGTATACACTCCGCACGGGCTTGTTCCACTTCGTCTAGCAACTCGGGTTTCCATAGCTGATCTCGCCTTCGGTACGTTGCTCGTTTCTTGGCCTTGCTTGAAGTCTCGGAATGGACCAGGATTATGTCAGCGAGGTCCTGGCTCGGAGCGCGGCTGTTGCTTGATGATGACGGCTGTTCGGACTGAACAATTTATATTGTACTTGAGAAGGTGATAAAAAATGTAAAAAAGAAATCAAAGTAATTTTCGACTGTTCTAAAAAGATTTTCTTTCAGAGCTTTTGCATTTTTACTCCAGTAAGCTATTTGGCAGAGGGTAAGACTTGACTCATCTTGAACTATTCTCTACCTAAAAACCAAGAAAAACAAAGACAAAGTGGACTTACACTTCTGCTGCTGACATCCACCGAACCCCGCGTTCTCATCGGTCGTTTCTGCACCGATTTTGGAGGGCTCTTGACCGGCGACAAAGCCTCCGGACTAAAGGTTAAAGTGTAGTTCTTCTTCTCATACGATTCACGGAAACGTTGACGATCTTCAGGTGGAAGTGAAGCTAGCACTTGTGCCACATATTCAGGCAAATCTCCGTCAACCGTATCTTGAGCTCCGCCTAAAGCGATAAAAATATAATGAGAAAATACTTACCTTGGTTGGCGGAACTGTCGCCTGGCATTGCCCTCACGTCTCTGACAATGGAACGCTCCACTTCCGAGTCGCTGGATAAGCTCGGCGTCTGGAAAAGTTTTGTAGAAATTTTTGATAACAATAAACCCAAAAAAATACCCTTTGTGAGATCAAGATTATATTGTACTTGATTTTAGGCCTCTAATTATTAAAAAACTAGTTTGATACACCACAAACCAACAGAATCTTTATTCGCTGCTATCTTCTCACAAAACCTGCCTAAAAATACAAAAAAATGCCACGTAAATTATTCGACAAAATTTACCCTTCTTTCAATGGCTAAAAATATTATTCATGGCCAAGTATAATATTCGCAATTTTTTTCGAATTTATCAAATTCTCGGGAGAAACACAGGCGGAAGAGATAAGTTCCGTGCCTCAAGCTTCTTTTTCGCTTCCGATGGAAACGTTTCTCAGCAAAAACATCAAATTTTCTTGGCCAAAAATGTTCAAGAAAAAATTGTACGAATAGCTGATTCACAGCTTGGAATATAATAGTAGGTGCCTAAACATTAATCAAAATAATCATGGATACTTACATGAACGGTTCCAGCACCCAATTGTCTTGATCTTTTTCTTCTCGGCCGCATTATTCCTGATACTTCATAGAAGTTTGGTTTTTATCGCAAATTCCACGGGTTTGACCTTACACCAGGTTTATAGAGCCATCTAGAGCTCCACTTATGTTGCTCTGGGCCTTTTTCAGCAACAGCCTTGCTTTGGCGCGAAAAATGGGAGAATATTTTTTCCGCAGCTTGCGCCCGAGGGTCACTGCAGGTTGCGGATTTTTGAATTTTGCGATGAGAAATGGCAATATTTTGACAGAGATGATGTTGAAAAAAGGCATATGGACCATTCATTGGAAGATTTTCAATTTTTTAATCATAATTTTTCATCAAATTATTAATGTAGGCATTGTAAAATACAGTAATTTCACTGTGCAAAATTCAAATTTTTCAAAACTTTTGCTTCAAAATATGCATGGCACATTCATGACCACGGAGGCGTCGACAATTATAAAAATTTTAAAAGATGGTCTCCAGCGGCGCCGTTACATCGATTATAACAAAGGAAAGTTTAAAAAAAAACTGCTGATGTATGTTTTCTCCAAAGCTTCTGAATTAGTTTTCCGAATGTTCCGGAGACCATCAAGTCTCTACTCTTTATTTTTTACAACATTGCTCTTACGTATTTATTATTTTTAGACGTCAAAATTAAAGTTTGATATCAGGTGTCAAGTGCAATATAATTGATGGGTTGTTCCGCATCGCGGTGTTGTCGCTGCTGTCCAACACGTCATCGAGTGCTCCCAAATGGCGTTTTCGTGCCAAGCGCATTCAAAAAAGTGGACAGTAAGTCGCAGCTGAAGAATCAAAAGTTGGAAATCAAAAACAACAATGATGACAAGACGAGCAAAGAGAAGGACGAAAAGGAGAAGGAGAACAAGAATGAGCGCAAGAACAGCAGCTTTGACTACTTCATGAAGACCAATATTAGTCTCGAGTGGCTGTTGGAGCAGATTGGGGAGAAATTTAAGGCCGAATTTACGTCAAAACCGACCTGGATCATCGAACGACTAAATCAATATACGGAAAAAGGTAATACTGGATTTTCCAGAAAAAATGGAAAGAATTGAATAGCAGGGTTGAAAATAGAAGGCTCAAGTGTTTCAATAATCATTGTCATCTTTTCCAGACATTGATAAAACACTGGTAATTCGAGTGACTTTCGGCTGGGACCACGAAAATCTCCCGAAAAGTGTGGTCCTCAAAATTTCGAACAAACGCTTGGATAGCGAAAGCCAATCGGAGCGAATGGCCGCGAATTTATTCAAAAAGTAAGAAAGGAAAAAGACGGATTTCCAAAATGTGACTGACGGACCTGATCCAGTGGCAAAAAACGTGCCATTTTGCATCCGGGAAGTATCAAAAAATGTAGCAAAATGCCTCTCTCTCCAACTAAAAAAAATCCATTTTGAAGATGCGACTTTGAAATCGGAGTTTTTTCACTTGGAGAGGGAGGTATTTTGCCCCATTTTTAATGCTTCCCGGATGCAAAATGGTACGTTTTTTGCCACTGGATCAGGTCCGTCACTGTAAGTATTAAAAATTTCTAATTGCAGAGAATGCAAGACCTACGAATGGCTCCAAACAGTTCGCAGGGTAAAATTGCCGATGGTTCATTTGATCAGAGTGAGTTTATTTGATGGGAAATAACTTCGTTCACTTGAGAGATGGTGGAAATTACTGAAATTTGAAGGTTGTTGTAGTCAAAGAGGCTGATTTCTTTTCATCGCATCTGAAAAAAATGATGACTATTAGTTTGTAAGATAAATTCTTCATAGATTTTGATGGAACTTGGAATAAATCTTAAGAAAGAGCTTTCCAAGGCGTAATAGTTTCTTGATAACTTTTGACTGAAATTAATACGATTTGAGAGTCTAAACTTGACAAAAATTTCGAAATTTTCGAGCAATTTTAAGGCTAAAAAATTGTCATCCTTTTTTCGAATTTTTTATATAAAAAATCACCTTTTCCTAAAAATTCACCTTAATTTTTTACAGTCAAGCTTCACTATGGCCAATGAAGAGCCTCTAATTTTTATGGAAGACCTTACCGAACGTTCCAAATGCCTTGAGCTCGAAGAGTCGGTCCACATTGATCTAATCAAGGATCTTCTCAAACAACTAGCTCAAATTCACGCCGCCTCATTGGTCAAGAAAAGTGAATGGGTCAAGGAAATCGACCCAAATCCTCCGCTCTTTTATCAGGAGCTAGCGGAACTCGTCCAGCTCTCAACGCAAGGCTGGAACACTATTGGGGAACTACGGTTCAAAAAAATGCTGGAGCTGAGTTCTGGCGAATACATGAACAAAATCGTGAAAAATGCCTGCGGGCATTTTGGTGTGGACAGTTGTTTGGTGCATGGGAATCCAATTGCCCGGAATTTCTTCGCCTCCCATGATGACAAACATATTGTGGCGATCGTGGATTGGGTCCGTAAGTGAGGGCTTTGATGGGAGTTGAGTTACGTCGAGAGTTGCAGAAGCTCATCCTGGCTGTTTTGCGGAAGATGTGACAAAGGCGATTTGTTGGAATTTATCGCCCAAAGAGAGGCATGCCAATCAGAGGAAGCTCCTGGAACATTATCATTTTAATTTGTTAAAGTAAGACGGTTACTTACAATGGCTCGTCCTAAAATAGAGGGGTTTTCGGAGACTGTGGAGAATATACATTTGTGCATAACGTACCACAAAGGACAGAAAATTATTCAACATATAGTTGATGATTAGACAGGGAGGGCATGACGACTATTCTTTCAGCCGGCAAAAAATACTTTTATTATGACAAAAAAATCCTGACCTTCTAATAGAATTTTACAAACATGCTACAGTACGGGACCTGATCCAGTGGCAAAAAACGTACCATTTTGCATCCAGGAAAGATCAAAAATGTGGCAAAATGCTTCCCTCTCCAAGTGAAAAAATTTCGTTTTGAAGGGCCTTTCCCCCACAAAAAGAGCGGGCGCGCTTTTGAAATCCGAGTTTTTTCACTTATAGAGGGAGGTATTTTGCCACATTTTTTGATACTTCCTGGATGCAAAATGGTACGTTTTTTGCCACTAGATCAGGCCCCCCACTGAAAAAGGCTTACCCATCCTATCCATTCCAGATACAGCGAGGGCAAGGCCAACAAGATCACAATTGAAGTAGTCGAGGCCGGCTTCCGTTGGTTCCTCCCATTTGCTGCTGTTTGTTATCTCATCTATCTCCCGGACGATCTTTCTCACGCCTCAATCAAACAAATGGAACGTGCGCAGGCTCTACTGGACGAGGGCTTGGAAGAGAGCTTTGGAATAGCTCCGGCGGCATCTGTTCTTCAAGGGGATGGCGAGGATGGTGAGGGCATTACAGAGGAAACAGAAAACAATGAAAATGTAAAAAATGTTGACGAGTCGGCAGAGAATGGTAGTAAACATGTTTGATTTTTATATTCGGATTGCAGTTTCTGGGAAGAAGGTTGAAGAAGAAGAAGAGAAAAGCGTTGGTAAGGTCATGGAAGATGGGAATAATAACATAATAGAGGAGACAAATGTCACACCGGACATTGTAAATGGTAAGAGAAGTATTCTCTTTATACTCGAGCTGACTAGTGCCAGCAATTAGCCAGCCCACGTCAATTCAAAATAGAAGAAAAAATGTCCCGCCCCTTTTTGGTGATTCGTTCAAAACGAAATGTCATTATCCGATAAAAAGCATTTTTTTTATCTTTCTTCTTTCTTTTCGAGAAAAAGCAATTACTTCGGGCGAGAAAAAGTGTCGACAATTTCGTGACATTTCGTCTCTCTTTTAAATCAATGAAAACGATATGAAGTTTCGAAACGGTTCAGGGAATGCGCTGGATTGACGTGCCGCCTGTTTTATTCGATAAAGGCTCAAGATTCTTTTCCAATACTATTCTGTACTTACTGGGTTATAAAAAAAATTTAACCCAACCCCAACCCAAAATAAAATCAAATAGAATTGTCAATACAGATGTAGTTCTTTTCAGAAGATACATTCATAAAAGCCGTGGCGGAAGTGGCCCAAGAGCTTGATGCATCGTTGACAACTCCAAACGACACTCAGGACGTTCCAGCAGACCAAGAAATTTCGAAAGTTATAGAAGCCACTGATAGTCCTATTGTCGCACAAGAAAATACTGCAACAACAGAAGATACAATATCTTGAGAACTTATGGTATACCTTTGAGAAAAGTGTAATTGGTCAAATAAAACCGATTTTGGTAAATAATTTACGCTACACAGAGGGTTGAATAGGTTTTCGGTTGTCCATACTTGCAGCTTCCGCTGTCAGATTCTAAATGCCTAAAAAAAGAACAGTTACAACTTACCACGATTACGCAAAAAAAGCTCGCTGCGTTTCATTTTCGTAACGAAGTTGCATGCTTCAAATGTAAAATAATTTACGTAGTATCTGTCAAAATAGTATAATACATATAAGGATGTGACTGACCACGACACATGACATAAAATCGAGTGTCTTGACCAGAAACTGCTATATCTTGGCTGTTAGGCCTCTAGACAATAATTCCCAATGTCTCGCCTGGAATTTTCGACCCTCAGGCAGGAATCGAAGATTCTTGTTTGACCTAATTTTATTATTATTCATTGAACGTAAACTTCAAACGATTTCAATTACGGTTGGTCCGAATAACATAGGAATTCCATAATCTGGGAGATCCTCATAGCGTCCCATACGATGGTACTCGAGTGGAATGAATTCCGGTACCAGTAAAATGGGGTCAGCTCCAGGTACCTCTCTTACTGTCGTGCCAATAGACGTGTCGGTCACGTGTGGGTTGGGAATGCCCATTACGATGCTGTAGAGTGGGAAGACTTTATTTGGAGTGCCTTGTGGAGTTACTCGGGCGCGAAGTGGGATGTTGTTGATTTTTACGTCTATTATGACGCATCCCGGCAGGTTGGACAGGGCAAAGAGTGGGTGTAGGAGTGGCATCGGAAATAAGCAGTGTTAGATCCGAAATGGGACAAGGAGTGGAACAACTGTAATGCAAATAGAAGCATTGTCAAATAACAGCCGGTATATAACCTGGATCCTGGGACATTGCGAACAACTCATCATGTGTTGTTTATTGTGTTTGAGAGATATAAACCAAAAAAAAAAACAATTGTTAGTTGGTGAGCCATGAACAGCAACAGACCATCGTGGGGTCAAAAGCGGATACAAGTTCGAGGAATAATCAGCAAGATAGGTCGAGAAACAAATTGGAGGTCTGAATACGTTAAAAAGGATCAATTTTGAGCGGGAACAATGGTCAGAAACAACACAAATTTGGGGAGGATAGCCAGTAGAATCTCCAAGAGACCCAGTCATGTTGAACAACAGTTTTAGTCAAAGATTGGTTTCAATTCAATATCAGTGTCATGTGGAATCCAGGGCTGAGCTTCTGGGGGAGTCGGCAGATCAAAGACCTTGCGCAATGGGTTGTTCTCCAACGGCGAGGATTGGAGCGCTTGTAGATCGGTGATAATTACGCAGACATAATGTGCTCTGGAGAACGCAACGGTCAGTCTGTTGGGGTTTGATAGAAAACCGCGGAAGTCGTTGCGGATCGTGGGGAAGATGGTAATGTCGAACTCGCGGCCCTGAGATGAATCGTTGGTCAGCAGACGGATGTCGCTCTTTGGATAGAGGAGCCGAAGTTGGTGAAACCTGGGCGCCATCGCGTCCTTGGCGGCGGTATACGGGGCTGTGATGGCAACGGATTGATGTCCCTCGGCAAACTGGTGACTGTGTTCCAATATCTGTTGCTGAATCTGCGTGGCCTGCGTGCTGGAATTAAAAAGAAGAGATTTGGACTACCCTGATAAACCCCAGAGTCAAACTACTTCAAAGAAGGTGAAGTTTGACAGGAAACCTCCGTATAATTGTTTGTCCAGGTCTATGGCATATAAAAGGTTAGTTATAACGTTATAATTCTTGTTTGACGTGTCTGTGTGTGCTTATGTTTGTGTGTTCCATTTTAGATTAGCTGAATTTATGGACGTTTTGTACTTACGTAGTATCTGTAGTCGAACCAGCCAAGCCAAGCCGCGTGGATCGCAAAGTTAATTGATTTTCCTTGCCCTAATTACGCATTCGCCCGCACCTCTACATAGGATTCTTTTTTCCTCGTTATCAACAAGTTTCATAATGGCCAGAAACGAAAAGTCTAAATTTAATACAAAACATAAAAACAGACCAACTTCTCGATGTGTATGGGTCTAAATTACGACCTCCTTTCCCCAATATGGACTATTCCGCCCACAACTGACCCCTCTGCCTTTCCGCCGTGTCCACGGCGGTCAAAGGCCTTGAGAGGGGTCGGGCCATTTCGGTCTTCAAAAACTGTCTTTACAGTGTATTTTATAATTTTTTATAATCCAGACTACGTCACACGACGTAGTCTGGAATTTTGCTATATGTTATCATCATGCGTTTGAGTGGTTGACATGATTGCTTAACTTTAATTTGTTTCTACGTATGTAAATACCATCTAAATTACGCCCAGGCTTGTTATTACCATCATCGTGCCATACGGATGTTTGTTGTTATAAAAATCTCTATTTCTTGGATTGGATTGTTTTCGTACCATGATGCTTTTTACGTACCCATCCTGTCCGTGAACCGATAAGTCCGGGAGAACCGAGTTTGTCGACACCGTTGATCAGTCATGGGATAAACTGGACTTTGAGCCGAATTGACGAACAAGGTCGTGCTGTTCCTCACCAGCCACCTGTAATTGACGAGGATCGCCCACCAGAAATATTTTGTCGATTCCCGTGGTCGGTGCCAAAATGGTAAGCAGTCCTGTTGTTGAGCTTGTGCCCGCCTCATCAAGGAACAAAACTTTGACTTGTTGTGGGATCAGGGCGGTGATCGACATAATCATGGATGTGGTGGCCAGAAGAACTCGGGGCCTTTCATCGTTTCTATCGCGGCTTGGCCGAGATCAAAGGAGCTGAACTGAGTTTGGGCATGGGCTACGTAGGATTCCAAAATTCTCTTGGTCTTAGCAGGTAGACGAGACGGGTCTTCTTGGAAGGATCGAACCAGTTTTACGATTGCTGAATACGGGAAGTCTCTGAGAATATGTCCATTGTCATCGGAGAAGCGGCCGTTGTGATGTTCGGAGCGAAGCCACAGTACGACATCCTCAGAGATCTGTTGAGCCTTGAGCGCCCAAAATGGCTTCGTTGGTTTCTGTAACTTGTTTTGGCTAGGTCTGATAACAGCTGATGGGTCGTTGAGCGCCTTGATGGCCCTTTTGTACTGGATGAGATTCGCCAGTGCAGCAGACTCAGTCTGAGGCGCTCGTTGAAGTGGCGAGCCCTCCCGGACTGGCGCATGTTGGCTCAGGAAACTGTACTCGTAATGAGCCCACTGCGGCATCGTTTCGATGCTTCTGATCGCGTCAATTGCTTTGGCTGATAGTCTCTGCGGCCTTCGGTTGAACGTTTACGTGTTTTTCTGTACCAAAGCCAAGTACATTTATACAGGCACTTTGGTCAACGCCCACTTGATCGGGCTGTGCCGGCGATCAAGCGATGCCTTCCATCTGGCCACATTCCTTTGCCTTTATCTTCTAATTTTCGCCAGACGCTGCAGCCTCCCCCTTCTTTAGGTCTGCAGCCTCCCCCTTCTTTAGACACTCGCTGCTACCAGTAATGGATATCCACCAAGTAATTCAATTACAATTTATTCCATCTACACACAAATATGGCCTCAATCAAAACTGGAAGAGAGAGAGACTCCAAAGTGGCCGCCCGTGCGTACGGTCCGAGTGATAAGAGAGAGAGAGAGTTTTGCGTGCCTTACTCAACCATACCGGCCTTCCACTCTAACTTGTAAGGACTTTTTGAAGTCATGCACATGTTTTCTCGGAAAATCGTCCTACGACAATGTCTCTCCCAACTGCCTTCCACTCAGAATTTAGATACGATAACTGAGGATGGCAAATTTTCGCAAGCAATAAACTGACTTCCTAAGGTCGTTTCTTGGTCAAGTAAAATCGATTTACGCAAAACGCGTCCTCGAATGGGCCCAAGTGATCCTTAATATAAGGGAGAGGGTATTTATTTGTCGGCGCGAAGATCCAAAAGTTTCACGAAAAGGCGTTCATTTTCTAAAACGAACTAGTTTTGCGAAAATGAGTTCACGGATTGTCATTTGTTTGAGTGAACTGGGTTTTGTGGATTCAGTTCACGAAATCGTAAACAATTTTGTTTTTCTGAACTTATTCAGATAGTCGTATCTGAAAATTGAAAAAAATTCTTACCGTATTCCGGAACCTTTGCTAATCTTTATTTCTGAAAGTTATAGCGAAGGTTATACGTACATAATTACGTGCGTGTGAAGAGTTCCTTCCCATATATATGTAGATGTTCATAGAAGTTCTCGGCTTTTATCCTCGATGAGGCGAAAATCAGTGCAAAAATGGATGTGCAGCGATTTGGAAAACCCAGTGTCGATAAACTTGCAAATCTGAGAAAAATCAGTGCGCAACTTAATAATAGCCCTGCACTGATTTGAAAAAATTTATTGCTGCGTTTACCATAAGCTCCGCCCCCTTTTCTGAAAAGTTACGTCAGTGTGACGTCCAGTTGCTATTGTGAAAAAATATATGTAAAAGTATATTCCCATTACGATACATATTATTGACGATAGACATAGAGAATAAATATTTTTTACATTGTATGATATAATATTATATTTAAAATAAAGAATAATAACAAAATTTTCATCATAAGAAACAAGCAAGACAAATTGCCAATTTTGGATGGCCAATGTCCGAACTGACACCGACTCAGAGGTCGCCTCGACTGCTGGCACAAGGTTAACCTTAACGGTTTTCTCAAGGCTGGCGCGTCGGGCGACACAAAGGTCAGTGGGTTTTTATACTGCAACAACAGAAGATACAATATCTTGAGAACTTATGGTATACCTTTAAGAAAAGTGTAATTGGTCAAATAAAATCGATTTCGGTAAATAATTTACGGTTGATTCCGACGTATATAGCATATCTCGCCGATCTTCGATGGGCTCTTCTGAATAGTTCCGCCCATTATGCATGCAATCGGGATCGTTATTCCTCTATCATTCTATTAGCTTGAGGGATTGGCGGTCGGTTGTATCTCTTTATAAGTATAAGCAAGAAAAATTGCCAATTTTGGATGGCCAGTGTCCGAACTGACACCGACTCAGAGGTCGCCTCGACTGCTGGCACAGGGTTAACCTTAACGGTTTTCTCAAGGCTGGCGCGTCGGGCGGCACAAAGGCCAGTGGGTTTTCTCGGAGCGTAGAGCGGTTTTTTAGGCTTGGCCGGCGCAGGAATGCGGGGGCGTTTAGAATCTCGGTGATCGATACTGCCTTTCAAGAAAAAATGACACACATATAGTTTTGTACGTTTTACTGAAAAAACGAGTAGTGTTGATTTGTCGGAACTGCAGAATTTACGATCCGATCTGCGCTTGATTTTCCCGCTGAACACTTTATCATTTCTACGTATTGCTTCGTGGTGGCTGTACGTCTTTTGGCTGGTTTCTAGTAAATCCGCGTGCACTTCTGACGCCGAGTGAAGATTGAAAATTTTCAAAAGCAACCAACTGACTTCCTAAGGCCGTTTCTTGGTCAAGTAAAATTGATTTACGCAAAACACTGCCTCGGCTGCACACAAGTGATTCTTAATATTCAGATAGTCGTATCTGAAAAATGAAAAAAAAAACAAACACTTACCGTATGTTGAACTTTTGCTAATCTTTCTTTATGAAACTCATAGCGAGGGTTATACGTATATAATTACGTGTGTATGTCCTACTTCTTTATATGCCTGTAATATGTTTGCAAACTCCAAAAAAGTTCCTTTTTATATTGCTATCTAAACATGATTGTGCTTATGAAAATCAAAAAATTACGTATGTGTGACAGGTTTAGCAGTAAACGATAGTGAAAAATATGTGTAAAAGTATATTCCCATTACGATACATATTATTGACGATAGACATAGAAAGGGCATAGTTTTATATGATATGATATAAGCCTTGTGCGTTAGTAATTCGCGCTGAACTTTCGAAAAATTATACCGAACCCTGACTAGTCATTTGGAATCTCGGGATTCCTGACTGTTCGACGAGTCAAACAAATCTTGACTGGATGACTGCGATTTCAGGGCGCCCCTAAAATTGTTAAGGAAGCAATTGAGGAAGGCGGGTAGATTTAATTACGCCCCGGCCGTACATGACGTAACAGTTTAAGAAATCAAAAGTTTGAGATAAAAGTTACAAAAAGACGAAAGTACATGAATATAACCTGAAATAAATCCGGATACAAAGAGCTTTTCTGTTTTTGTAAAGTTAATTGATTTTCCTTGCTCTAATTACGCATTCTCCCGCACTACATATCACTCTTTTTTCAACGTTATCAACACGTTTCATAGTGGTCAGAACCGAAAACTCTAAATTCAATAAATTACATAAAAACTGACCAACTTCTCGATGTGTATGCGTCTAAATTACGACTTTAAACGTACCGTCTGCTGTCCACACACTCTTTTTACGACGCATGTCAGCGAGTTTCTTGTGTCAAGAAAGTGGACGTTGGGAAATAATCACGATGAAGTCGCATATTGGTTGTTGAGTGAAGGTTATACGTATATAATTACGTGTGTATGTCCGACTTCTTTATAGGCCAGTCATATATTTGCAAAATCCTAGAAAGTTCCTTTTTATATATAGATGTTCATAGAAGTTCATTATGATGCACATTCGTTCGCTCTGCGTTTGCATTTTCACACGAAATTGGTCTGGAATTTTGCTATATGTTCTTATTATAGGTCTGAGTGGTTGACATGATTGCTTAACTTTAATTTGTTTCTACGTATGTAAATACCATCTAAATTACGCCCAGGCTTGTTATTACCATCATCGTGCCATACGGATGTTTGTTGTTGTAAAAATCTCTATTTCTTGGATTGGATTGTTTTCGTACCATGATGCTTTTTACGTTTGTATCGTCTACCATGACGTGGTCTTAATGATCATCGTATGGCGTTTCGTTGTTGTTACATACAGCGCTAATCATACCATGCTCTGGACAATTTTCATGCATATTCAAATTATGCCACATGGCGTGCGTATTACTGAGTTTCGGCTGTTGTCATCGTACAGACACGTCATAAAGCAGTAGAAAAGTGACGACTTCTTTTGAATTCTTGACGCATAGACATCATTTATTCGGTTTGTATTTACGGCCGCGGCTTGCTCGAATCCATGCCATGTGGTCATGAATTAATAGATGTTCCAAGTCGCATGCTATTGTCGAAAATTACGCCAAAGACATGTAGAAATCCGTGTTGTACATAATTATGTATACTGTTTGCAGGATAGTTCTGTATCATTTCAGCGTATTTCACCGATAAATTCTTTTTACTTCATCTTTGATTTTTGAAAATTGTAGAATTATTTCTCTGAAGTCATCATGGCTTTGTGGGTGCTTTAGTATACCAAGCTAGGCAAAGTAAAAACAGAAGAAATAATAATTACGTTGTATACCGTTACCGGGTTTGGATATCGCGATAATAATATAATAATGAAGAGAATAGTCCGCTCGATAAAATGGAGCTAGCGTTCTCCTGTATACCGTTACATCGCAAAGATAAAAGCTAGATTATCAATGCTTTACGTCGAGATGTCGATATGCGATAATGTTCTCGTGTGTTTACACTTATCTCTTTCGTTTCATTTTGTACTAAAAAATATAATGATCGGAAATTCGTAATATCATGCATAGTCGAGTTTCCAAAAAAATAAATATATTTTCAGCGATATGTAAAATATTACATAAAGTGTAGAATCCTTAGGATTTAATTTACTAAAATATGTACTTCAAAGTCTTCACCTCTTAAAGCAACTGCTGAGGTTGAAAACGATAAAAATGATGATTGCGATGGAGACTACCATTTTCTTGCATATTACCGACCTATACTTTGTTCTGAACGAATCCACATTTTACAGTGAACGTAGACATTCCGTGTCCTTGGAAAATTACGCCCAATATGTGTACAAAGCTGTGTTGCATCCCTTTTTGCAACGTGAGTTACACACGACAAAAAAGAACTGGAGGAATAGTATGTATATATATGTGTAGAGAAAGCTCACCGATTTGACTTAACATGTTGTTAAAAATTAATGAAAACTATGTGGGAGGAATAAAATTCCACATAGATAATTTTAGATTGAGTATTAGTAAGGATAACAATTATTATATGCTTCAGAACGACCTTAAGATTAAGGATTTATGTTCAGAAACAAGCCATATAAATTTTATATTTTGCACACATTGAGCTTCAAAACTCATCACAAAATTAATATAAAAAATTGAAATTAGTTATTATATCTTGTATTGTATTTAAAATATATGTGAATATCATTACGAAGAAGTATCCTGCTGCCACATAAATTAGTTATTATATCTTGTACTATATTAAAAATATATGTGAATATCATTACGAAGAAGTGTCCTGCTGCCAGAAGGTTGAATGATTAAAGAGTTATTATATAACAGGAATATATTTAAATAAATTTTAAAATTGAAACATTCCCAAATATTGCAAAAATTATAAAAAAATCGCAAAAACTCCCTTTCCAAAAATTTATTTTCCTCTTTTCTCTGTGCACGCCACGAAAAAAGTGGAAATAGAGAAATTCGCGGGAAAATGTTTTCGACATTTCATACGCTGAAACCGTTACAAATAAATAATAAAAATCTTTGCAAAATTCTAATAAACAACAATTTACGTGTGAAACCGGCGAGAAAGCATCGAAAGGATTCTAGGAGGTGCACCCCGAACTTCTCAGATTGATCGAAGAAGAGAAAAGAAATTATATTGTACTAGGCACAATTGGATCAAAATCGATGAATCTGACCGAATTCGAGCTCTTCCGGGGTTTACAAGACTAACAGGGCTTTGATCTTGCTACAACAGACCACTACTAAATTGAAATTCATCAAATCTTCTTTAATTCCACCTAAACATCAAACCAATAAGAATAATCAAAATTACATAAATTTTTGACAATCCATCGCATTTGTCGGATGCAATCTGAACTCGGAAATCAATCTCCACACCCTTTGGTACATTATGCTGGCTTTCACATTCTACTTCAACATGGACCGGCTGAAATATCAATTATATTATTTTAGGTATAACCAGAGAAAATTATTAGCTCAACGGCCTAGAAAAACCAAAAAATCAAAAAGACAACGTCACAAACTTACCTTGAAATGTTCTGAACGTCGTCTGCTTCCTCTGATCCAGCTTTGCTCACGCCTTCTCTTCGCGTTTCTCCATCAGTTCCTGCAAAATGATGCAATAATCTATTGACAAGTGCCCTTTTGCTATTGTCAAATTTCCAGATTTCTTCTTCATAACGTCCGCTAGGATGTCTCACACAACACCACATATCGATGGATCTCTAAACATAAGGACCAAAGAGAAATCTTACTGTTTCTGGAGACACATCAACCGGTGGAGAATCAGATTTTGCGTCAGAGCGCGATGGGCCGGCCTCCATGGACCCATCCATTATATTCAACACTTGGAACTGACAACAACGTAATTTTTGACATACTATTCATCTCCAAATTATTCCAAATCTCAGAGTTACAATACTATCTAACACAATATTCATTCTTTCAAAAAAAATTAAAAATATTGGGCGCAGCTCGAAATCTCTATTTCCAATTTTACCTTACGTTTTTCGTGGCGTGCTCTGTGTATAAAAAAGTGGGGAGGGAGAAGGGACGAACGGCAAAAAAATTTTCTCTTTCGAAAAACGGAGTGGACACAAAACGCGGGAAAAACAGAAAAAGCGGACGCTTTTACGCAGAAAAAGTGTTGCGTTCAATTGGCTCGAGCTCGAGTGGGGTCAATTTTGGAGGTAAAAATACCAGATTTTATCTGCAATTGAAAAAATAAACATTGAAAGTTGTCATTCTGAAGTGTGTCCACGGGCGATTAATAGGAATTAAATAGACTTAAAAGGAACTTTACTTGATTTTTTTTTAAATTTAAAAATTCTAAAAAACGTCACAAATAAAAAAATCAAAAATCAAAAATTTCCTAAGCTTTTGAAATCAAATACTATAAAAACTTTTTAGTTGGTTTACCCCTGTTAGTTGTATTTGGTTTGAATGCTTTTTTTAGAATTTTCAAAAAATCGATGGTGATATGTGACCAATAATACAAAAGGATCTATTCTTATTGATGAACAATTGTTTCAAACTTTCAATGCTGGTAGCTGAGCTCTAGTATATCCCAGTTTTCTGCTCTCATAAAAGTTTCTGAATATTTTTTTGGGTTTATCTCACAACCCAGGAAATTCAAATCAAATGGGCGCCTGAAATTTATTTAACGAGATCAAATTGAAAACTGTCAAAATTGAGCCAGACACCTTCCATCGTATAACATGTCTCTCTAACCAAAAAATTTTAGAAGAACAATCCAGATCACTTCTTAATTGCATCTTTACTACATCTTTACTAAACGGCACAACACAGAATTATAATTTTCACTTTATAAAAGACTTAAAAAGTCTTTAGGACAAAAAAAAATCAAATATAAAAAAATCCCTTTCTTTGTCTTTATCCCGACTTTTCTAGAATTCCGATCGAGAAAATTCCTGTGTTGTAATATAGATAACTATTTAAATCGAGCGAATTGGGTTAGACAGGATGTGTTCGAAGTGAGAAAGAATAAAGAGTATTATTTTATTATTGTGCCTATTGTATTATTGCTAAATTGCTAATTGCTAAATTACCCTAATCTAAATATTTATTACATGGTGCATTGGACAAATCGTCATGCTACGCGCCACGAAGACACAGTTGACCATTTCCATCAACGCGCTAAAGGAAAAACTCAAACTATGTGAACAGAAAATCGCCGTCAAGGAAAAGAATGATGTTCTGGTGGAAATTACAATCAGACGAGACGCCTTGGCTAGGGATATGAAAAAAGTCGAAGACCGATTTACCCAATTTCTGGAAAAGCTCGACGACACCGACAAATCGGAAGCCACCGAAAAATACATCAAGGAAGCCACCGACGCAATCACGGATGGAATGCACATGGACGATCAGCTTTGTGAGTTATATACCAAGACGTTGGCCCAAATCAACAACGCAGTAACGCCCGAAGCCCCACCGAACATCGAGAGAGAACCAAGAAGAACCATGAGAACCCTCGACATCAAAATACCACTGTTCGATGGCACAGATCTGTCACAATGGCCCAGATTTAAGCAGAGTCTCGAAACAAAGTTCAAAAATGGAGACTACGATGGTTTCGAAAAATGTCTCATCCTCATGGAAAGCCTCAGAGGACCAGCCCGAACGTGCGCGGAAGCATATGAATTGGTCGCCGAAAATTTCGAGCCATTAATGAAGCATTTGGAGTCCCGTTATGGAAATGACAAAATCATCCGTCATACACTGCATGCACAACTGTCAAAGCTTACTCCGACCACAAATCGATCAAGTGATTTGAGAACTTTTATGGACAAGTTCATTGCCGTCTACAATCAACTGAAGATACACAACCCACAAATGGACGTGGAACAGGCAGAGGTAATGATAATGGATAAATTACCTCAATGGATGTCGCGACAAATTTGGGACGCGAAGTTAAGAAGCGAAGAATGGAATGAAGCGATACTATTCCGAACAGTCGACCATGCCCTTAAAGTCAATGAAGCAACGTCTCATATGGCTACGAGACGAGATCACCCAAAGATGGAGAAGTTCAGGGTGAACGCAGTAGCAAATGGTCCAGAACCTTGGAAGAAGACGCCTGTAGAAGCTAAAGAAATGAAGTTCAAGAAGACAAAACGATGCATCTTTTGTGAAGAAGAACATTATGCCGACGAGTGCAAGAAGTACAACACCGTCGACGCCAGAATCAACAGACTCAAAGAAACTCGACGATGTCTACGTTGTGGTTCCAAGAAACACGAAGCCAGGAATTGCGAATTTACTATGAAGTGCCGCAAATGCTCGAAGAACCATCATACTGCAATCTGCTTTTCCCAGAAGAATCCTGAACAAAAACATGAAGTTAAGAAAACCGAAGATGCACAAGGAAGTGTTGTGGCGGCGACGAAGATCAATGATGACGAAGTAAACTGTAGAACATCATTAATGACGGTAAATGTTCAAGTCGAAAGCCGTGAAGAACAAATCACTATCTTCATGGATCCTGGAAGCGAAGTTACCCTAATCACTGAAGAGACAGCACAACGTCTTCAACTGGAGCCGATAAAGCAGTCAAATGTAACACTGGAAGCCTTCAATGGCACTACGATGGCGAAAGGACCCACCAACGTCTACAAAATCCCTGTGGTTCTTCCCAATGGAGACGAAAAGGAAACTCGAATCCTGCGAGCCATTGGTGTGCAACAAATTGGCCAAGTCAGCTCAGTAGTCGAAGAGAATGGAACATGGACAAAAAAGTTAGTCAAGCCAGATGTTCTTTTGTCAGCACGAGAATTCTGGACGAGCTTTCAACGAATCAGAATGGTTCCTAACACCGACCTCTTCGAAGTGATCACAAAATATGGAAGCTCGATGACTGGCGCATTACCCAAAAGCCGCTTCTCTCCATTGAATACGATGGTGTGCAAGATCAAAGGAAAAGAAGAAGAAGAACCTGAAGACTTGAGGAAGATGTTGGAGAAATTATGGTCGATGGAGTCTATTGGCATCATGGATAATCCGAAGATCAACGACGACGAAGAAGCCATGAGCCACTTTGCGAAGCACATCAAGTTCAACAAGGAAGACGGTCGTTATGAAGTAGCTTGGCCCTACAAAGACGAAAATGGACCGACCAGAAATGAAAAAGTTTGCCGAAGACGACTAAACCAGTTTTGGCACCAGATGCAAAACGACAAGGAGACCTTGAAGAAATGTCAAGAATATTTTGAAGAACAAATAGCCAACAACTTCCTCGAAGACGCACCAACTGAACCGACTGGTCCCTTCGTGTCGTATATCCCTTTTCAAGTGGTCCTCACACCTCACAAAACAACGACTAAACTGCGTATCGTACTGGACGCATCAAGTGCTGAGAAAGGTGGAAGATCGCTGAATTCAACTCTACTTCGTGGACCAATAATCATGCCCGACCTCGCTTCTATAATCGTCAAATTCCGAACGAACAAGATCGTTGTGGCGTCAGATATCCAGAAGGCATTCATGCAACTGGGACTGAGGAAAGAAGACCGAGATACAGTCAGAATATTGTGGCTGAAGGACATCTCTAAACCTCCAACCAACGACAACATCAGAGAGCTCCGCTATACTCGTATCATATTTGGCGCAACTCCGTCACCCTTTTTATTGGCTGCAACGATCCAATGGCACTTTAAAAATTCAGTTGTTGATGAAGAAACCCGTCAAATCTACGAAGAAGTTATCAGTCAAATCTACGTCGACAATCTGATAATTATGGGCTCCGACGAACCAGAAGTACTGAAGAAAGTAAAGAAGATCCATGGAATGTTCAAAGAAATGAATATGCCGCTACGCGAATATATGACGAACAGCCCGAGAATCCTGGAAGAACTAAAAAAGGATGGAATGGATTGCTCAGAAGGCCAATTTCATTCAATATTGGGTTACAAATGGCAACAGGATCAAGACACATTAACCTTCAAATGGCCCGATCAACTGGATATTGCTAACATGACAGATGCAGTTGCCATTGGAGCGAAAAACTTCGACCTGCTTGGATCAGTGTGCCCTGCACGACTTCCCATCAAACTGTTTTCCCAGAAGTTAGCCAGGAAGAAGATGGGTTGGAAAGACTCCTTGAGTGAAGAAGATCTTGAAGACTGGAAAAGTGTGAAGAAGTTCGTGGAAGGAACAGCAATTACAATCCCCAGATTATGCAGAAAATGGGAAGGAGAACCATGTCTTCATGTATTCGTCGATGCTTCAGGAAAGGCATACGGATGTGTGGCATACATTGGAGGAGAAGAGCAAATACCATCGAATATTTTCGCAAAATCCAGGGTTGCTCCAATGGAAGGTACAACCATGCCGCGAATGGAATTAATGTCGGCCGAACTGGGAACAAAAGCAATTAAATTCCTGGAGACCATCTTCAAGTTCAAGAAGGTCACTCTATGGTCGGATTCGAAAGTGGTTCTACATTGGATAAACTCAACAGAACTCCTTCCAAGATTTGTAGCCAATAGGTTGCAAAACATACGACGACCTGATGTAGAATTTCGGTACATTAACACAAAAGACAACCCCGCCGATATCCTCAGCCGTGGAATGTCGATGGAAGAACTTCAGAACTGCAACCTTTGGTGGAATGGACCCTCATTTCTTCAACAGCCCGAAGATACATGGCCACAAGAACTGCGATTTTATTGGCAGCCGCAGGAAAAGACGACTTCAGACGAAATGGTGACAATAGAACATGCATCGCCAAAGATGATCAACAAACTCGCTGCCCCAGACGATGAGGTAGACATTCTAAAGGGGTGCCCTACATGGAAAGCGCTGATACATAAAATGATCTGCATTCTGAAGTTTGGAAGTAAATCTGCACGCCAAATGGACAAACATGAACTTTGGCAGGAAGCTGTTCGGCGAATTCTGATGTGGGAGCAAAGAAGAAGTCCACCAACAGAAGATCAGAAGAAAGAAGTCATGATGGAACTACGGAATGGATTATGGCGAACAAAACATCGAATGCCAGATCAAGAAGAAAATTGGAGAATCTACATTCCACATGGCCAAATCATGAACATGATCATTGATGATCTACATGAAAATTCTATGCATAATGGAGTTCCATATACCCTCGCATTGTTCTACGAAACGTTTTGGACCAGAAGAGCGCGACAAATCTTAAAGAACCGGCTCAGAAGATGCCCCAAATGTAGCCGAAAAACACTGAAGCCCTACAGACATCCGGAAAATATGGCAGATCTACCAAAGGAAAGAGTTCAGCGGACGAGACCTTTTGACTCTGTTGGAATTGATTATCATGGTCCAATCAAACTCAAGAACGATGAGCAAAGATATGTGGTTCTCTTTACATGCTTCGCCTGCAGAGCAGTACACTTGGAAGAAGCAAAAACACTGAGTGGAGAAGACTTTCTAAAAGCGCTCAGAAGATTTATAGCATGCCGAGGAAGACCTTCATTTATCCTCAGTGACAACGGCACGAACCTGAAGTCGGTAGCAACGTCTGTAGCTCCACAATGGAAGACCGACGAACGAGAAAATGTTCTCCAATACTGTGCAACAAATGGAATCACATGGAAATTTACAACACCTCATGGACCCTGGGAAGGCGCCGTATACGAACGATTGATGGCACTCCTGAAGAAAGGTCTGCATGTACTCAAAGACAAATTGCCTGAGAACTTCAACACCAACCTTTGGGAAATATCAGCAATGATCAACACCAGACCGTTGACGTATGTGGAAGAAGACAATTTGGTGTTACGCCCTATGGACTTTCTCTCGCCTGGAAGTCGTCCTGGAGCTCCAATTTTTGACGATAGTGCTGATCCCGATTTTCGCCTGAAGACTTACACGCGTGATGTAATTCTCGATGAATTCAAGAAAGAAGCCAAGTTGTTAGACAAATTCTGGAAGAAGTTCCGAAGCGAATATCTACCCATTCTACGAAGTCATCAACAGAAGTTTGCCCAAAGTAAAACAGCCCTGGTCGAACCTCAAATTGGAGCCTTAGTCATTTTGGAAGAAGAAAATGTACCCAGAGGAGAATGGAACCTTGGAATTGTCACAAAATTACCACGTAGCCAAGACGGACAAATACGACGCGCCGAAGTCAAGATGATCAACGACGGCAGGACATATCTACGCCCATTGTGCCAAATTTATCCAACGGAAGCTGAACTACGTCTCAGAAGGGAAACTCAACAACCTACTCCGTCAATGGAAACAGAGAAACCCGTGGAAATAAAAAAGAACTCAACTCGCCATTACAATCTGAGACCGCGAAGCTCGCTTCCCATCTACGTTGCAATTTTGGCGTCAATTATAATCCCCCTAATGGCCGATGGAAACATTCTTCCCTGCCGGGAGGAAGACGTCCCATCGATGGATCGAATGAGACTTAGTGAATATTGTGTTCAACAAGGGAAAATTGTCTACGAAATGGACAAGCCGTGTTGGAAAAATATGAAATGTGAAAATGGTCATCTTCGATCAGAATGGAAGAGAGGAAGGCTCGACGTTAAATGTGGCGAGAAGTGCAAATGTCCAAAATGGGCTACCGGATGCTCATTTTACGATAAAAAGAAGTTGAGAAGACCAGACAAAGAAGACCAGGTGGATTGGTCTAACGTCGAAGAAGTCATCAAACCAAGGATGATCACCCCAAACCCAGGAAAACACCTGCTACCTACGATTGAAGTAGCCTGGAAGCGAACATTTTTCGTCAAATCAATCAGCCTCGTCCACAAAGAAGAAATGCTATGTGTGAACGATGAAGATGAACGACAAAGATGTACAAATGCAACGATGGAGTCTACCTATTACGTAACAGAAAATGGCCAAGTCCCAATAACCGCATGGGGTTATATGGAGATTGAACACTTCGAAAACGCGGAAGAAAAATGGGAAAAGTATATCTACATGCTAGCTGGAATATCAATCTCCATAATCGCTGGCTACATCCTTGGAGCAATTTCAGTATTTTTGGCTGTAATTCGATGGGTTCAAAGATTGACAACTCTGCCATTCAAGGCTGCCTTCAAACTGATGAAATATTTGGTTCAACAAGATCAGCAAGTTCGACGACGAAAACTTGGAGAAGTGGTGATTCTCCCCACAATACTAGCACTGTCGCTAGCAGGAACATGTATGTGCTGCACGGATCCAATAACGGTTAATGGAAAGACCAGAGTGTGCAATCAAACACAATGTTCTACAGAATTTACCAGTCGATTTGCGATGAATGAAGTTGGTGAAGAAACCTGTTTGCTCAATAAGATTGGAAACAAGACACACTCCAAAATCGAACTGAACATTGTCCAAGCCGGATATGAATGTCAAGAAGTGGAAATGGCTTACACTTACTCATCAGAAGTCAGAACGGAAAGTACGTTACGATGCCCTCTTCGCGGAAAATGTGAAATTGGAGGATGTGGTATCAATTATGACGAGGAATTCTCGAAAGAAGCGCAGAACTCAATTGGAAGACAAAACTGTGAGGTAGTGCCCGGAGGAATTGATCATTTGTGCCTTCTACTCACAAATGCATGTCTCTACACTCGAAATTACGTTCATATTTTGGACACAAATCCCATAAAAGTGTTCAAATGCAGATGGAAGCCATTCATTGTGGTTGATATAAAATACGATACACCAACCAAGCAAACTACCCAGAAATTGAACATCTACCCCGGATCAAAAGTCAACATTGATCACAACCTCAAACTGAAGGCCGAAGTTGTAGAGATCACGGAGCAACGTCCAGAACCAGGATACTACTTTGCTAAGAACAACTCCATCTACAGAACTCCAGAACCTCCGAACCTTATATGCCAGAAACCGAAGATTGATCAGGAGACATGCACTTACAATGGCCAATGCGAATGCCGAAACTCCGGAACCCACAAAGAATGCGAGTGCCAGACAACGACATGGAAAAACGAGGAGTGGCAGAAAGAAATGGTCAACAACATGGCTGGTCAGACGATGGTGAAGGAAACGCAAGAAGATATAGAAGTCTTCATTATCGTAATGGGTCAAGTCGATGAAATAGAAACATTCGAAGAGAAAGACGAATGTCAATTTACTCTACAAAAGGACGATGTGAAATGCACTTCGAAGGAACACAACATACTGGCGATGGTTAGATGCGAAAATACCACCGAACAGATGCCTTGTAGACCAGACGGTGCCACAAAGAAAATTCGAGGAAGAGGAAATTGTGAAGCCTCCTGTGGAAGAGAGACAATGAAGTTTTTCTGGAGCGTGGCTAGTGAGTCAATAAAAAATCCAAGAAATTTTATCCCTACCACATCTACAATTATATATCATAATGCAATTCAACATGTTTCGTCTGTCTTTATAACTATTTGTATTCTTTTTACCATTGTTAAAGTATTTTTAATGTTTAAAAATTTTTCGTCTTTCGGGAATATAAAAGACTTAAAAAGTCTTTAGGACAAAAAAAAATCAAATATAAAAAAATCCCTTTCTTTGTCTTTATCCCGACTTTTCTAGAATTCCGATCGAGAAAATTCCTGTGTTGTAATATAGATAACTATTTAAATCGAGCGAATTGGGTTAGACAGGATGTGTTCGAAGTGAGAAAGAATAAAGAGTATTATTTTATTATTGTGCCTATTGTATTATTGCTAAATTGCTAATTGCTAAATTACCCTAATCTAAATATTTATTACAACTTTTCAATCCAAGCAAAGTGCAATTCTCTAATCAAGAAATAAAAAAATCTGACTTACTGTATGATCCTTCGCCTCGTAAAGCCGAAAGCTGCATAAGCCTGGATTGTACACAAATCGAGTAATTACAAGTCATTCATCAGCTGTAACTTCCCCATACAATTTACCTTAAAAGAAAAAAATTGCACGGTGCAAAATTAAAAAAAAAGAAACACTGAAAAAAGCGATTACAAATAACAAAAAATTCTATAAATAGAATTTTTGTAATTGACGTAAATATAACATCAAGAACGTCAAACCTGTCTAAATTCGTCATGCGGTGTTTAATTTAGCTAAGAGTTCCGTGTGGTGTCAAAGAAACTATTCCCATGCCAATTTAGGAACCCAATTAGTAACTCGGCCGAAATTAAAACCCGGCTTTTTTTAGCCGTATTTGTTTTACATGCACTTGGAAAGTAAATGCTGAGCGGTTCGGGAGGTCTTGAAAAATTCGGAAAGCCATGAAACTTTTAAAAATTGTTCTATTTCTCTGGTTTTCTTGGGTTGCCTGCAAGCACCTATAGCAAATTTTGTTATTTTTCGTACTCAGCTAAGAAGGATAGTACCCCAAGTGCGACACTCAGATTTTCTTTAAATTTTGCGCACACGTCGGTCATAAACTAAATATCAATTCCTGAAAGTTTGAGCTCGCGCTTTGCAAGCGCCGCCGAGATATCAAACAATCTTTGCCGCTAAGAGAGTAAGCTAAATGGGGAGAGCGGCCAGAGAGAGAAAGATTTTTTGACCATAACTTTGCTAGTTTCGTCCGGAAAAAAATAATTTTTTGTCGAAACAAAATTCGACAAAATGTCACAAATTTTCGCCGACTTTCGATCTAAAAATCTCGCTTGTTTCTGAAAAGCGCGAGCTAAGATTCTCGCATATACTTTAGAAAAAATTATTCTAAATTTGTGCCAAGTTTCATCAAAATCTGAGCGTCGAACTTGGGGTACTTCCCCTGTAAGACGCACTATGCGATATTGTAATCATAAGCTTGATTTTCGCGCTATTAAGCATTTCGGTGCGCGAGGTCCAATGTTGCAAAGTCCGGCAATTTTTTATTGGAAGTAAAATTCCAACCTTGTCATCTTGTTCCTTTGTACTTCGGGGAAAACGACAGTTTTACGTTCCGTGACTGCTTTTGGCAAGCTAAGAATATCACTGGTCATTTCACGCAACCCGAAGATTTCGCAGGTTAAATAAGTAAATTCTCTCTGCAAAGGCGTCATTTTAAAATACGTATCTTTTTGCTTTAATGTTCATTTTATGAAGTAATACTATATCTTTTAGCATAACCATCATGCCTGTCACATTGGAGCCGCATGAGGAACGTCGAGGATCGATTTATGGTAGGTTAAAGCCATGCCCTTCAAAAATGCAACTAATCTGTTTTTTTGTTATATAAGGGGTAATTATTTGTTATATTATAGAAGGGGTATATTGCATGGAGGTTCATTGTGGCCAAATATTGACCTTTGATACCTCTGAAATTGTTTGTTATACATGGCTTTCGTCGTATGGGAGTGTGCTGTACATACATAGGTTGCATTGCAATTTTATTGTTAAAAAGTGCAGAAAATTAAGATTTTTTTTGCTAATACTTTTGGTAGATATCAGAATTGAAACTTTAGTAAATTCCTTGAAATTTCAGCCCTCTCCAACTCCTCGTCCTACTCAAATTTGGCCGAGACTTTCAACCTGCACACTGAAATTCTCCCCAACAAACCCCATGAACCCACCTTCAAACTGGGCTTGGAGCCCATTGATGGGGCTTGTTTCCGAATCGACCAAAATCATTCCGAACCAGCTCATATTCGGATTTTCCTGGAGAATAATACTGATCAACGGCAGACTTTCAAGGTGAGTTATCAGTCGGCCCAAAAAGTCAATGAGAATTTTTCGCCCGCATTTTTCAAAGTGCATGGCACGTCAAACTGAGGTAAGCTAAAACAGTCCGGTGAATGGATTGGCAATTTGCCAAAAAAAGACGCGAAAAAACGTTTTGTCGGGGACGAAATGGGGAATTTTTGGGGCGAGAGAGTACGCTTTTGCGTGTCTTTTTTCTCTCTTTCTCTGGAAATCAAGACGAAATGTAAAAAACCGATAGCGAAGAGTCTAATCCGGTCACCGGACTCCTCGGCCTAAAACCGATTCCTGGAGCCTTTGCAGTTTTTTAAAGATTTCGTTGCATAGTTGTACAGATTTTACTGTTTTTTTTATTCTGTTTTCTTTATCACTTTTTGGAAAAATAAAAAATTATGAGCATAAATCATAGAATTAAGAATTAGCCATAGAAAACTATTCAAATCGCAAACTTTCAAATAGGTTTGTGAAGTCAACATTTTTTTGATGACCCCAAATGTTCCAGATCAAAACAACTCTAACCGAAAAGCTCCGAGCCAAGCCGCCCTTAGGCATCATTGAACCACACTCCGAGCTCTCTATCCGCATCTCCTACAATGCCAAGGAGATCCCAGATGGTCTTCATTACATCGCCATCTACCACATCAAGCTAACCGATCAAACTGACGAAGAATTGAAGGATTTGAGGGAGTTCTGGAAGAAGAATCCGAACTTTGATGGGGTCCGAAGAATCGTGCTGAATTTTGAGATCGACTTTGCTGATGAGTAATTAGAGTATCTTCGGAGATTTGGGAATTTAATAATAAAGTTTACTTGGAGTTTTTGATCAAAAATTTTAGTTTGTGTGTGTTAATGTTTACTCTAATATCCCAAATCACCAAAAAAGCTAAAATCGATATAAAAATATTATATTTTTGCCTTTTCTTTCGCATCGCACTTGAAATTTCTCCCCATCGATCATCGGAATATTCAAATTCCGACACTCTTCTCCCAAACGGCCCCGTTAATGCCCAATTAACCGGCAATTAATCGAATTTGCGCGCATATTTGTGCGCCGAAAATGAGCCGCAATAAAAAATAAAAGTTCTGAAGATCCATACATTCGGATGACCTTCACACCAAGCCCCCCTCCGTTTCTCGATCGTCCGTAAATTTTTTTTATTTTTCAAATTCTGAAGGCCACGGTCGATACCGCGAATTCTGCGGGGATATTTTGCCGGTTATTTGGGAGTTGTGGGTCATGCATGATATTTAGATATTATCTATGAAGTTTCCCAATATTAATTTTATTGTTTAAAAAATATTTTTTAATAAGTTTGTCATCTGATGTCAAGTACAATATTCGATATATTTCACCCTTTTCCAGCCTCGAAAACCCTTTCATTTTTGTTTTCCGTCCATTTCCATTGGGCTTATTTAATTTTTCCGAACAAATTGAGTCAAAGTTGGGGCTCTTTGGGGACATCCCTCTCTTTTTGGGCCTTATTCTCCAAAGTTTTTACGTCCAAATCATTGAAGGGAGACGCCTGTTGACAGATGCCAGAATTCTGGATTTCAAAACGCCTCAGGTTGCAGAATAATTTGCAATTTTTTTGGTTTCTGAAATTTTTCATTTTTGATGATTGCACTGTGCGAAATTTAAAAAAAAATGATTTTCGCACTATGCAGAAAACCGTGAACTGGCTGAAAATTTATGAAAGCAGGTAGAAGAAAGTCCTTTATGACCTGTACAAAAATTATGCCCTTAGGCGATGGTCGAAATGCCAAAATTCGAAAAAATTTTTTTTGCCGCACAGTGCAATCCCGCAAACTAATTTTTCAAAAATTTCCCCTTACATTTTCGAAATTTTCGACCTTTTTGAAATCCTAATGTATTATTCAGAGAGATCCGTTGGACTGAGCGTAACTACTATGGTTACAAACAGAGTAGTTATTCGAATTTTCCGAGAGAGAGCGGATCATTTTCGAGGGGAAAAGGCTTTGGAAAAGTGAGGGGAATTGGCTCAATCTGGACGAAAAATTGCTGAACTCGGCCTTGTTTATATTTCTGACTATGCGAAAAAGCTGTGGTGAGGGTGGGGGATTTATTGTTTTTGGTATTTCGTGGTTCTTGGAACAATTTCTGAAGTTTTGCAATTTTTGTCTTTTTTATTTTACTTTTTTATGTTCTGTTGTAATAAAATTTAATTTAATGAAAATATTCAGTTCCAGAAGCCATGGAAATACGTATTTTACATTTTTTTTATTTTTTAAAATTTTCAAAAAATCCAAAAATTTTCATTTCCTCAATCTTTCAGTAAAAATTTAAAATTTTCTGTTCAAATTACAGTATTTTCCCAACCAAAATTTCCTGACGTCACTATTTCCCGATGATTCACCTAAACGTGGAAACAAGAATTTACCGTAGAACTCACATTCATGCACCCATTCCGGGTTGTTTATCGTATTTCAAAACCATTCTTTTCGCTTCTTTCCTCCATTATTCCCACTTCTTTTTGACTCTGAAGGGGCTTCGAAAAGGGTTATGTCCAGCGAATCAGAGAGCCGTTTGGGGGTCTTGGAAATTTTTGCGGGTTTAGTGACAAAATGCGACAGAAACGTTTTAAAAAAACCCTGCAACGTAAAGTTGAGAATTGTAAAATATGCCATGACCAAGCAGTTAGTTCTTTTTTTCAATTCGGAATCGAAAAGAGAGGAAATCACAATCATCTCCACCTTATTTTAGCTCTTTTCACAAGGAAAGAGCTTTTATGGGGGCTCCTACTTTTAGACGGACGTATCTCAAGAAATACAGGGTGGGCCACTAAAACCTTCCGTCCTCTTTTTTTAGATTTCTCCGCGGAGACTCCGCCGATTTTCATGAAATTTAGATTTTTCTGGAGCTGAGATGCGCCATTTTCAACGGGTAGAATTTGAAAAAAAATATCCTGAATGGACCTTTCTATGCCTTCCCAAAGTTTTTGAAAATTATTTTCGAGCCGAAACCGCTAAAACTTTGAAAATTTTTGGAATGATTTTCAGTTGCCTTTCTCGGACTTGGAAAATTTCCGGCCTTTTTTTTGGTAAAATCGTGGAGTAAAACGTCCCGTACGCTTTCTCTAAACTTGTTTAAATGTGGATGAAAACAAAAAGAGTGTTGTCTGCATTACCGTTAGGGGATGAACGTCGAAAAAAAAATTTTTTTTTGGCAAGAGTGAAAAAGTCCACGTTAGGGCTACAAGCCAGAGCTTGGCGTATTGAGGCTTGGAGCCAGGCTCGATTGAATTTAAACCATGTTCACGATCCGCAATTCGAGCTGTTCTTAAATTTCAACTTAACTTTCTGCAATTTCTTTTTGTGGGGTTTCATGAAATCCAGAATAAGAGGAGGTGGACACGTCGAGCACAGATAGAAATATTAATAATCAAATTGTTAAATAAATTAGTTTTTACAACAGTATTCTGCAAATATATGAGGCAAAAAGAGTAAGATTTCGCCCAAAACCCCGAAAAAATGACCACGTTTTCAAAATCATTCCAAAAATTTTCAAAGTTTTAGCGGTTTCGGCTCGAAAATAATTTTCAAAAACTTTGGAAAGGCATAGAAAGGTCAATTCAGGATATTTTTTTTTCAAATTCAACCGGTTGAAAATGGCGCATCTCAGCTCCAGAAAAATCTAAATTTCATGAAAATCGGCGGAGTCTCCGCGGAGAAATCTAAAAAAAGAGGATGGAAGGTTTTAATGGCCCACCCTGTACGTAAAATCATGCTGATTAAGAATATGTAATAATTAGCTGCCCAATTTCGGGTTTTAGGGGTGAAAATGCCCAAAAACTGGCTTGATTTTTCACTCCTAAACCCGAGATTGGGCAGCTAATTTTTACATATTCTTAATCAGCATGATTTTATGTATTTTTTGAGATATGTCCCGTCTAAAAGTAGGAGCCCCCATAAAAGCACTTTCCTTGTAAAAAATCCCTCATACCACTCAAAACATTACTAGTATCAACCCCAACTTCAAAGCAAATATTCAGTATTTCTCCCGTTCCCTCAGGCAATATTGATTTTGTAAGGTTTCCCTTTATGAAATCCCCATTTGGCCTTCGGTTTTGCCCAGCGGTTTGAGCGGACTTTCACGCCATTTCCCTCGAGGGCATTAATTGCCTCTGAAAAACTGAGAGGTGCTATTGATTTACCGAGACTTTAAAAGCGTAGTAAACATGATTTACCGCAATTTTAGTCACGAAAAAGCAGTAAAACTCGTAAACCCAAAGAAATATATTAGGGGAAATGTTATAAAATCCCGTTTTGCCTCAAATATCCAAGGTTGTTTCCCACGCCGGCTGTTTATTTACCTTTTGCAGGTCGGCCTTACTCTTGGTTATTATAATCCCGACATTTCCCGTCTCTTTTTTAGGGACGCTCGAGTGGTTTCATTGTTTGTTCGCTTATTAGATTCCGGACAAACTTTTAATGCGATCCGAACGTGAACCTATAGGATCGGGTTGAAAATAGGGTTCGATGAGTCATTTAGGGCGTGTTTAGACCATAATCGCGGTAATTCTTATTGATTTTTATTTTTTTCTAATATATTGTTATTGGTATCCCTTTCGGTCAAAATATTTTATGTATCAAAAGTCAGGATTCCGTATTTTAACCTCCTAAAATAGCTCTAGATCGTCATAGCGCGACTCAAAAAGTCACCTCCTAATTTTTCTATGCAAATTTTCCCACGAAAAATTCTGCACAGTGCAAAATATTTTTAAAATTTTGCACCGTGCAATCGATTTCTTTCTTTGTCCCTCAAATAAACACTTGCATTTTTGGTTTCCCCTCCCATGCCTTTAGGGGGTTTGTCTCGGATTTGAAGAGCAGCCGAAAACTCTTTTTCTTTGCCCTGTCCAATCCAGGCGCCAAAAACAAATAGAGAAAGGAAGGTTTAATTAAAATGCATTTCCTAAGATTTTAGGCGGTATTTTAGTATGCTTTGCATACTACAGTGGCGGACCTAATCCAGTGGCAAAAACGTACCATTTTGCATTCAGGAAGTATCAAAAAATGTAGCAAAATGTCTCCCTCTCCAAGTGAAAAAAAACTGCGTGCCTTTCAAAGCATTGTTTTTTTAACTTGGAGAGGGAGACATTTTGCAACATTTTTTGATACTTCCCGGATGCAAAAACATACATTTTTTGCCACTGTATCAGGTCCGTCACTGTACCATTCTCTATACTTATTCCTTTCTCTTTTACAAGCTTCAATCTAATCTATATTGTTGTCAATTCCCCCTTCTAAGACCACTCTTTTGCCCTGAGGCTAATTAGAATTCGATCTCGAATTTCTCTCCACTTTACATTCTCGAATTCAGCCCCATAAATACACAGGCTGAATGAGTCAACGTGAAATGTTTGGGAAAATAACTCTTTTCTTTTTTTATCGTCATAAAAACTAAATTTTGGGTTGCGAGAGCCCCAAGGTGCGCGGCTTTTTTACAATCAATTTATTTTCCTTTCCCGATGAATCAATTTGGGGTGTAGATCGGAAAGGAGTGCTATTTTGTTATTGGAAGCTGTTGATTGGATTCCAAACCGCCTTTCGGCAAGTTTCAGGTGTTTGGGATATTACACTAGGTACTTGCGGTATAAAAAATTGTAAACAGTGAGTCAACCGTTTTTAAATAACAATCTAGAGTCGAAAAAGACATTTTGAGAGGGACAACGCAATGGCTGCCCCTAAATTAATACCATTCTGCCCCCAAATTCTCCCATTCTGCCCCCAAACACATGCCCCCAAATAGGAGGTTGGAAGGTGCCCCCAAAATATTCCCATTATGCCCCCAAATACAAAAATTAGTGTAGGGTCATATTTTATGGTGGTAGTCACACCTCGGGCTAAAAAATTTGAAAATTCGTAGTGGCGATTGCGTAATAAGTAAAAATTCTAAGATTATGACTAAATCTCGGATGTAGGGGTAATCGATGGCGCTGATTTCGAAAATGATATTCATTTGTTATGATTCTTACAATTTCGCTTAAGTAGTACTGTAAAGTAGTAATTTTTGATTTTTTTCATCGAATAGTCGACGTATAGGTAGTTGATGGCGCTTATTTCGAAAATGATATTCATTTTTAAAGATTCTTACAATTTTGCTTAAGTAGTACTGTAAAGTAGTAATTTTTGAAAATTTTAGCTGAGATGTCGAGTTATAGGTAATCGAGGATGCTGATTTTGAAAATGATATTCATTTTTCATGATTTTAACTTTTTTCTTAAGTAGTAGCGTAAAGTAGTAATTTTTGAAAATTTTAGCTGAGATGTCGAGTTATAGGTAATCGAGGATGCTGATTTTGAAAATGATATTCATTTTTCATGATTATAACTTTTTTCTTAAGTAGTAGTGTAAAGTAGTAACTTTTGAAAATTTTAGACGAGATGTCGATTTATTAATCGACACATCGATTTATTAATCGACACCGCGGATTTCGAAAACAATACCAGTTTTTTTATGATTGTAACTTTTTTCTTAAATAGTACTGTAAAGTAGTAATTTTTGAGATTTTTTGAATTGGTAGGGTATATGGGTGCTGATTCCAGAATAAGATTCCTGATGAGTTGTGCTGTAAAGTTGTGATTTCTTTGTTTTTATTTTATTTTTTTGATGAATAGTTAATTAAGTGCAAGGCATGTGTTATTGTTGATTCAAAAACTGTGTTCATCTTCTGTAGTTTTTATTCATCTCCAATCTGTTGGCAGAAGAACTTTTGCTCAGAATTTTCTGTCAAACCTGGCATAGCGGCAGGCTATCCCAAGCCAAACAAATTTTATAGCAGAAAAATTTCTGTCAAACCCCGCCCATTTTGGCGCGCTCGATGAAGGGCAGAAGCAATACCGTTGATGACTCGAAGTAATAATCGCATGAGAAACAATCCTTAGACAACATAGTTATATTTTAAAAATTTTTTGTCATAAAAAAAAAAACAACCGTACTATTTTGTGACGTTGTCCGTACAGGAATAGGTTAAATTTACGCAAGTTATTTGCTGTTTCAACGTTTTCTCTATCGATTTATTGCAATTAGGCAGATATTGTTTTAGGTGATATCACACGGACCTGAAGGAGTTGAAAACATTTGCAAAATATTTTAAATTTTTATTGTGATAAATGCTAGACTGAACAATTATCCAACAGGGTTGTTTTTCATGCGATTATTACTTCGAGTCATCAACGGTATTGCTTCTGCCCTTCATCGAGCGCGCCAAAATGGGCGGGGTTTGACAGAAATTTTTCTGCTATAAAATTTGTTTGGCTTGGGATAGCCTGCCGCTATGCCAGGTTTGACAGAAAATTCTGAGCAAAAGTTCTTCTGCCAACAGATTGGAGATGAATAAAAACTACAGAAGATTAACACAGTTTTTGAATCAACAATAACACATGCCTTGCACTTAATTAACTATTCATCAAAAAAATAAAATAAAAACAAAGAAATCACAACTTTACAGCACAACTCATCAGGAATCTTATTCTGGAATCAGCACCCATAACCCTACCAATTCAAAAAATCTCAAAAATTACTACTTAACACTACTACTTAAGAAAAAAGTTATAATCATAAAAAAACTGGTATTGTTTTCGAAATTCGCGGTGTCGATTACCTATAACTCGACATCTCATCTAAAATTTTCAAAAATTACTACTTTACGCTACTACTTAAGAAAAAAGTTAAAATCATGAAAAATGAATATCATTTTCAAAATCAGCATCCTCGATTACCTATAACTCGACATCTCAGCTAAAATTTTCAAAAATTACTACTTTACAGTACTACTTAAGCAAAATTGTAAGAATCTTTAAAAATGAATATCATTTTCGAAATAAGCGCCATCAACTACCTATACGTCGACTATTCGATGAAAAAAATCAAAAATTACTACTTTACAGTACTACTTAAGCGAAATTGTAAGAATCATAACAAATGAATATCATTTTCGAAATCAGCGCCATCGATTACCCCTATATCCGAGATTTAGTCATAATCTTAGAATTTTTACTTATTACGCAATCGCCACTACGAATTTTCAAATTTTTTAGCCCGAGGTGTGACTACCACCATAAAATATGACCCTACACTAATTTTTGTATTTGGGGGCATAATGGGAATATTTTGGGGGCACCTTCCAACCTCCTATTTGGGGGCATGTGTTTGGGGGCAGAATGGGAGGATTTGGGGGCAGAATGGTATTAATTTGGGGGCAGCTTCACAATTATCCTTTTGAGAGAGGTTAGGATTCCACGGGGGAAAATTTTACCTTACTTTAGGTGATTTTTGGGTAAAGTAATGTCGACTTTGTAACATCAAAAACTATAATAAAAAACTTCAGTAACCTTAATTTGACTAATCCTCTACTTCTAACCCGTCAAGAAGAGTCTATTAAGCGTATCACAGAATCGTTTGGTAATTGAGCCAACCCTCTAAATTATACTAGACATCGATCTCAAAAAACCTGGAAAAAACCGTGAAAAAAATGTTGCGTTAACCGCTGACTATTACAATTCGACACGTTGAGTCTCCCAGCAGCTACTCATACCATAATTTCCCTGCTAGCCCCACTGAATCATCAATTTTTACCTTATACTTCATTCCATTACCTCAAATTTCAAAACCCACTAAAATCCGCTTATAACAGCCCAATTCCCATTCCAAGATAAAGCCTTTGTCTTCTGAATCCTATTTCCGCGGGTCTCCGCATAATGTCAGAACGACATTACGTCTCTCCTGCCTACCAATTATAATTTTATTGCGCATAAGACCCCTTCCTCCAGTTTTCCCTCAAATCGTAGCTCTCTGATTGCGTGCTCGTAAAGAATTTGTGGAAAACAATTTATTACTCTTACTTCCAGTCCAGATGGTCTTAATTTATCGAACTTGGGTTAATAAATTGAGTCAGCCAAAAGGTTTTGGGGCCTTTTTTGCGGGAAATTACCGGAAACTGAGGGATTTCCGGGAAAGGCAAGGCTGACAAAGCTTTGACGTCTATGAAAGTTATATTATACTTCGATAAGTCTATTTTAGCTTTTGCAATAAATGATTACTCAAAAACTCAATCGTCTGTAGCAAATTTCGGTTATGGTCTAGTATAATATCTAAACTCGGATAAAACTTGTGCCACGATAACGATTTCTTGGTTTAAATGGCAACTAGAAGCTGGGTTGAAGTCAGTAGGACCTAAATGTGTCTGCCAATCGTGTTTCATACCTAAATTTCAACAAAAACAATAAAATAATATTAAAATATTACCCTTGACCTTTATAGTTTCCCCTCGGTTGAGCAGTACCGAGTAAATGAAGTCCGAATACTCCCAAATCTGCCGTAAACGACGGCAGAATCTTGAAGTTTCTTTCTAGATTGGATCAGTTTTCCATTTCTCGACGGAAAAAGTCAAAGTAACAGTTGACACGTACTCGATCGAGTCAACTGTCTCTTCCTCGACGAAAAGTGGTCGACTTTGCGAAATTCCGTGCCGCGACTGTTTTTTGTCGAATTTTCTTTTGTATTGATGCAATTTAGACTTTATTTGCTTGTTTTCAGTGGTATTTTTCTTCTGTCTCCTTGAAAAACACTTGAATCTTTGGTTTGGCCGAGAATTTCATCATGAATCGAGCTGAAACTGCTCGCGAAGCTGCTATATCCGTTCTGAAGGATAGTGGATCAAAAGTAAGTTTCCTTTGTTTTTCTTTGACTTTTAGAAAAATTCAAGAGCATAATTTGCCCGGGATAAAGCCAACATAATGGATTAGAGTTGTTTTAGGTTACAAAAATAGACATTTTTGATTATGAAATACTCTATAAGGAGCATTAGAGCTGGAGATGCAGTTTTACAGGTTTTTATGGTATTGTCATCAATTATTTCACTTTTTTTTGTCATGGAATATAATTCCTACCTAAAGTTTCAATTAAACGTAATCCCTGTTTTGTCTTCAGGTAATACTGATGATCAAAGTTCCCGGACTGAAACGACAGAAATCCCTGATAAAAGCTCTTCTTCGTATATTCAAAAAGCCGAATGATCCCTTTTCCCTCTCGACGAATGCCCAATTTGTCAACTATGCGCTCACAAATGGCTCGCTCGACTTCTCAGTTGATGTTTATGAAACTCCGAAAGCATTGAAAGATCGATCAGAAATCAAACAGAATTATTTCTGTAAAATCAACCAGTTTCCATCGAGGATTAACCCAGAAAGTGCTGAATTTGAGGTATAATTTTTTTTTGATTAGTTGTTGACGTTTAGATATTGAAAACATGCATGCTGAAGATGATTTGTTTATTTATAACTTTTTTGGTTGTAACTTCTGGCTGTTTTTCCTATGAGGGGAAGACTTGACCCGAAAGGACTTGGTTTGGGTCAAGTCTTGCTCTCTGCGTAAAATTTGCCGGTTTGGTAAAGAAAAGCATATACTAATTATTGATTATGTTTCAGCTAGTAGAAGGTGCCTCGGGCGATTGCTATTTCCTCCTCACCGCCATCAAATTGGATAATTTGAATACGAATTGGAAAGAATTTCAGGCCGCCAACGGCACACTGGATGTGGCCGAAGCTTAATCTCACCCTAATTATTATCATTTAAGAGTGAAGAAATAAGATCGCACCGGTCGTTCCGAAGCAAAACGTTAAAAACGCTTTCCTCACTTTTTTTTGGAAAAATAGAATGGGAAAAATGAGGCCGACATGAGAAAAAAAGCTCGAGAAAGCAAATTTAGCGTCTTTTTCAAAATCTGAAAACCGGTCTTATTTCTTCATTCTTATTTCATCATCGTTTTTCTTTGTTTTGCTATGTTTTTTTTCGCGAATTTTTAATAATAAATGACGAATTTCATAAGATCGGGCATGTTTATGATTGGCTACTGATAAGGCTGAACAATGAACGGTAGAAAGGCGCTAGGAAAAGGTCTCTGTTACGTTATCACCGCGCCCTGTTACATAATCGATTGCGGGTTGGGCGAAAGCAAGTTGTTGTTTTCTTTTGTTGTGTGATTCATTATGGGAATTTCGCTACAGCTCAAGTTTGATTGAATTCAACGATTTTTTGGGGGGAGATTTGCCTCGGGAGTAGTCTGAAATTTTGCTGGGACTCTATAGAACATCAGGATGGACAAAAAAATACGGGAATTTTTGAAGAAAACTGGCGGGCGCACACTTGCGGGCAACCACTTTGCGGGCAACCAGCTTGCGGGCAAATTTTTTGCGGGCAACCACTTTGCGGGCAGCCGACATTTGCGGCCAGCACCGGCATTTGCGGGCAGCCTGGGACATTTGCGGGCAGGGTCGACAGTTGCGGGCAGCCGACATTTGCGGGCAGCCGACATTTGCGGGCAACCGGCACTTGAGGATAACAAGGTGGAGGTGGAAAAAATACTTCGATATTTTGGAAGTTTTCCGACATTTGCGGGCAGGCAATACTTGCGGGAAGCCGACATTTGCGGGCAACTGTTCCAAAAGTACCAATACAGTCTGTGTGATTGTTTTTTCCTGTTGCCCGCAAATGTCGGCTGCCCGCAAGTGTCGGCTGCCCGCAAATGTCGGCAAATTTCCAAAATATCGAAGTAATATTTCCACCTCCACCCTGTTACCCTCAGGTGCCGGTTGCCCGCAAATGTCGGCTGCCCGCAAGTGTCGGTTGCCCGCAAGTGTCCCAGGCTGCCCGCAAGTGTCTCAGCTGCCCGCAAATGTGACCCCCCAAATTTTGCCCGCAAAGTGGTTGCCCGCAAAAAATTTGCCCGCAAACTGGTTGCCCGCAAAGTGGTTGTCCGCAAGTGTCGCGACGCCAGAAAACTAGCAGGGTAAGTCGGAGAAAATAAGTAGAAATTTTTCGATTTGAACTTAAAAAAAGTTAATTTTCTCGAGGCGCAAATCAAAAATTCCTTTCAAATTTTGTATATAGATACTGTCTAGGTCATTATTCAATTCCTGAAAGTTTTAGTTCTCGAAGTCCAAGGCTAGCCGATATATTCATTGCAGATCAGAGACTATAGAAATACAGGGTCTTACAAGAAACGTGAAGGAAAGTCGGAGGCTATAACTTCCGGCGGAGGCAGCGCAGAGACTTCGTTTTTGGAACATGTATTTTTAAGTCACATTAATTTTTGCCTGTGAAATAACAAGATTTTAAAGTGCAAACTGAGGTCGCTGCGACCTTTTGAAGTAGACCACTTTTACCCCGAAAAACCAGTGTTTTTTCGGTTGGAAATGATTTCTAAATTTGGGAGTTTTTCGGTTGAAAATCACCGAGAAATGTCAATCAATGTTTGACATTGGGTAAAGAAACATTTTTTATGCATCGTCAGCTAAAAGTCACTTTTTTGTCCTAAAAAAATCAAACATTGACTGTAAAAAATTTCATTGAAGTTTAGGTCTCGCTTTTTCACTAAAATTAAGCAACATTTTTTCGCGAATTTCTACACATATCTCTATAAAAATGAAGCCGTTTAGATCTTCACGTTAATATGTGCAATAGCCGACATCATGTTCTTCGGCTTCATGCTGTGCAAATTCTATTTATCGGTAAGAAATCCATCATTCGCATATTAACTTGTTCTTGACTGTGGCCTTATCCTTATTCATCTCGTTGTAGCACAAAGAAAACTACTCGTACAACACGTTCTGTTTGAACAATTCATGTGTCCAGTTGCATAATTCAGGTGGGCAAAACTGATAAGCCCTTAATTGCCGTCAATTTTTAGCTCTGTTTTATGTATTTGCCATTGCCACTTCATTTATATTGATATTTGGGTGGATGACAAGATCATGGAAGTTTTACATTCCGTATGTTGTTGTGCGGGTAAGTTGAGGAAGGTATGTGTATGCCAAGTTACAGAATGCAGGCTGTTTTATGAGGTTAGCTAGGACCGAGAAAAGTGGGCAAATTAGCGGATGGGTTTGGGATCTCTTATCATATGTCTAGATACAGTGACGGACCTGATCCAGTGGCAAAAAATGTATTATTTTGCATAAGGGAAGTATCAAAAATGTAGCAAAATGTCTCCCCTTGTAACTAAAAAAACTCCATTTTGAAGAGCCCCAAAAAAGGAGTGGACGCGAGAGAGAGTTTTTTCACTTGGAGAGGGAGGTATTCTGCCACATTTTCTGATACTTCTCGGATGCAAAGTGACACGCTTTTTGCTACTTGATCAGGTCCACCATTGTATGCATGGGGAAGCTAGGAATATTATAAGATTGATAGCGCCCTAGGATAAACTTTATCACCAACAGTGGCGGACCCGATCCAGTGACAAAAACGTACCATTTTTTATCCGGGGGTATCAAAAAATGCAGCAAAATGCCTTCATTTCCAAGTGAAAAAACTCGTATTTCAAAGGCGCGCCGGCTATTTTTGTGAGAAAAAGGGCGCGCCCTTCAAAGCGGAGTTTTTTAGTTGAAGAGAGAGGCATTTTGCTACATTTTTTGATACTTCCCAGATGCAAAATGGTACGTTTTTTACCACTGGATCAGGTCCGTCACTGTACTGCACTTTGGAGACCATTACTTCGAATGTATTTAGCTTCTCTTCACAGTCTGGTTCACAACTCAAAGCCTTCATCAAGCCTTCCAAAAGGGTTTTACGTTCACAATGATTATCTTACTGATCGCCTTGATTCTACATCTTCTCCTAGTTTCAATTGCGATTACAGCCGTAATATTCGATGCCAAAAGCGTTAGGAAATTGGAAAGAAAAGCGAAGCCACCAACAAACAACAGTCAAAACGTTCAATGGAAACAATTCCCGGATGACATCTATCATTTCCCAGTCCTGGATTTGCGGAATTACAGAGTGATTAGGGATGACAATACAGATCGTGCTCATGGAGGCAATGCACTGCCAGATCGACCGCAAATCGACTGTTCAGTAAGGCGAAAAAGCATGGCAGAGGCTCCAACAAATGGCCCGAAAACCGTCTGTTTGAATATGAAGACGGATGCGGATGAAGACGTTCTTCAGTGGATGGATGCTGCGGAGGGATTGCCGACTGTTCATGGTAGGTGGTCTTCACTGCATTATGGACGGGGGCGATTGGACGCATCTCGTTTTTATGACACTTTTTTTTAAGTTGTTTGAAGCGCGTCCTGACTTTTCGGGATGACGACAGTTCGGGTCAACATAAAATCAATTGACACGGGTGTAGAGCAGGTAGATACCCAAAAAAAGGTTGTAGGAAGTGCCCTCGGGGCCTGGAAAAGCCGGCGGACGCTCGGCGAAGGCTCGGCAGAGACTCGGCGGAGACTTGGCAGAGGCTTGCAATATAACCAGTTTTTCTAATTTTATGGCTTCTCTCATTGTATGCAAGCTTCCCATGCATACAACGACGACATGATTTTTGGTATCGTTGACCCCAACTGTTGCTAAGCAGAAAAGTCGTATTGCTGATTAAAAAAAAAAAGGGGGGGGGTCAGTATGTACAAAATTTCCGAGGCGCACAAAAATTACCTTGGTCCACCTTTATATTATAATTTCTCTTTCGACCCGGTCGGGCAGTCCGCGGCCTGACCTAGCTACGCCTTTGGCTCTCGGGACGTATCAAAAAACAAACAAATAAGGGTGTTCACTAGGGCAATAACTGCGTACGCCATAGAGAACCTTCCAGGACTTTTTAGCACACGACTTGTTCAATCGCTTTATCGCGAAAATATTTTATGTTAACCTTTTATGGCTGGTTTTAAAAGTGCGACCATGTGGTCATTTTTATATTTCAACTATTTTTTATTAAGTTCTTACTCTTGAACCCTCTAAACAAGCATCTTTTGGTAAAATTTTTCATTTATTCGTTGGAGATACAACCCTTTGCCCTAATATCTATACGTTTTATAGACCACTACAGTATTGACGAAACTTCGCCAGCTCCTCCCTCTAGCAGTAAACCTTCAACTTCTTTAACCCCTTCATCTAGCAGTAAACCGAAACAATCAACGAGTTACGACCAAGAAGAAAAACGGCCAAACCACTCCTTAATAATCTCAATCTCGCCAGGGACTTGTCCAGATATTTTGACCGGCACTACGGCGTCCACTGATGACGAGACAGACGACGATGATGATTACGTCGATGTTGTTGACTTTAGTAGGTAATTTACAAGCGATTTTTTACTGACGACTTTAGGAAAGCCAGATGATGAACAAAGCTCGAAAACGGAACATAGCGAAGTGAATATTGATGTTGAGAAGCTGGAGCAAGAGATGGTAGACTTCGGGGAAGACCTGGTCCGAAGAAACAGTGAATATGGAATTGAAAGGACGACCTGTTGAGAGGCAAAGCTTATTGCTTTTTCTCCTGTGAATATTTTTGTGCCGCGCTTTCAAATAAATACGTCATATAAAAGGCTGGCTTAGTTATTACTCGTTGAAGAGCAAAATACAGTGGCGGACCTGATCCAGTGGCAAAAAACGTATAACTTTGCATCCGGGAAGCATCAAAAATGTAGCAAAATATCTCCCCCTCCAAGTAAAAAAACACCGATTTCAAAAGCGTGCCTTCAAAAACAGAGTTTTGTAGCTGGAGAGGGAGACATTTTGCTACATTTTTTAATACTTCCCGGATGCAAAGTGGTAGATATCGCCAAAATATTTTTGTCCATTCTTTTGGCGCACCCTGTACATTTTATGCAGGCTCTATGAAATGCGTAAAATCTGGCTCTTAGATATGGTGGCGGACCTTATCCAGTGGCAAAAACGTATCATTTTGCATCCATGAAGCATCAAAAAATGTAGCAAAATACCACCCTCTCCAAGTAAAAAAACTACGATTTCAAAAGCGGTTTTTTGCGGGGGAAGTGACACACAAAAAACGGAGTTTTTTAGTTGGAGAGGGAGGCATTTTGCCACACTTTTTTTGATACTTCCTGGATGCAAAATGGTACGTTTTTTGCCACTGGATCATGTCTGTCACTGTACAGGGGTTAGGGCGATATGCAGAAAAGCCGTTCCAAATGTGCCAATAAACACGTTCGATGTCTCTACATGCTGAAATTGAGCTGAATACATATCTCAAATGAAGAAATTGGGTTCAAAGCAATTTACACACCTAAAGCTCTTCGCCTTATAGGCTTTTTCTGACGTCAAACACCGGGTCGTCTCTCTGAATGAAGATGAATTCGCCACTTTTTAATCATCTAAATATTCTTGATGACTAACTGATGAGGCATATCCTTAAAATTCGCTTGGAAAAATTCAATTCCTTATTGCGGAAATTTTCACACATGGGCAATCAGAGCAATGACCAAGAGGAAAAAGTTGGAGCTCTTCAAGAGGATTAGGCATCCTCATGTAAGCATTTTTTTGTATTGTTAATCAATTTGATTCAAGTTTTATTTGAAGGTAAAATACGGCATTTTTTGCTGCAATAAAGTTGCGATTTCAGGCGCAATCTCTAATCACGGCTATCAGCGATATTCTTGGATTTCTTTTCCTCATGATTTTTACCTGTCCGGCTCTCTACAAAGTCGAAATCCACAGTTCAAAAAATTGCCTGGAAAATGGATTTTTCCGCCTTTATTTGGCCGGACTAATCTGCTCAATACTGCTGTTAATTGGAGCCATTTGCAAAGCAATTACTCCGTATTTCATCTACATTTCTTTTAAGGTATTTATTTTCAGAAGTCTCATCTTGAATTTGAATTTTAGATAGTATTTATAATCATGTTCCCGACACAGCTGATGCATGATGGAAGCTACGAGAAGGCTAAAAACTCTGAACATGCTTTGGCGTTGTTTTACGGAGGCTTGGTATTGTTCGTACTCTTCAATTTTGTATCAATTATCGCGGTAGTTCAAGGAATCAGGTATCTATCGGAGAAGAGGAAGAAGGTGAAAACGAAGAAGATCAGTGGAGTCAGTAGTATTAGTACACGCATGGCTGAGAGGAGTATTGAATAAAGTGCTGCTTAACTTAACTAAAATGACTTGTTGAATCGAATTAATAACATTTTCTTAACTTTTTAATGTGCTACTATCAGTTGTGATATTATTTTGTCATCTTGTGCTAAAAACATAATTTTCTTGAAGTACGATGATTAGAATTGCATGAAATTTTGCTTCATTGATCTGTACAAGCCACAAATATATTCCAGAAAGTTACAGCTCGCGCCTTGCACGAGCAGCTGAGATATGCAACGACTTTTTGGGTCGACGGCAGTTCGGGGCAACACAAAATCGATCGATACGGCAGGAGGGCGGAGGGCAGGTGGATACCCAAAACAAGTTTGTAAGAAGTGCCTACGAGGTCTGACAAAGCCGTTGGACAGTCAGCAAAGGCTCGGCGGAGACCTAGCTTGCAATACGGAGACTTGGCTTGCAATAGGCTTGTAATGCGTCCACGTTCTCTAATTTTAGCTATCACTCACGTTAATTTCCTTTATCCTGAGTTATCGTAAGATATAAAAGACCAAAATTTGGGGCAAAAAACGAAGTTCCGTAACTTTTATCTAAATAGATATTACTGATGCGGGTACATGCAAAATTCCTCAAAATAAGTGATAGGCTATCCTAGGGGCCTGTCAATCTTATTATTTCTACTAACTAAGCCTTCTCCTAGCCTCCTTCATGCATACAACGATGAAGCAACGCGATCCATAGTATCGTTGGCCCGAACTGTCGCTGACCTGAACAGTCGTCGTGCCATCGTTGGAAGCAAACGATCGTTGGCACCGAAATTCATGAGAAAAAGCAAAAGTAAGCGAGCGATATAAACTTTTGGTCTAAACATAGACTCTGCTCGTCCTAAACGGTCATTTTTTACAATTTCCGTACCGGTCATTCCCGCTTCGATCACGATTCCCGCCTTTCAAGTTGTTTGTCCAACTGTCTCCAAGCCCTATAAATCAGAAGTCCAAAAAATGAAACTTCGTCAAGTGAGGCTCGCTTCAACTAATTAAAATAAATTTTCCTTACCATTACTTAGTTTCCTAAATCACTACTTCATTTTTACTATGATTTTTCATTTTACTATTCTCGCTTTGTGTTTGGTGATGTCTTCCGGGGAAGAGAGATTGGTAATTTATATAAAACACGATTGACACTAATGGGTTTTTAGGAAGTTTGTGGACGAGAAGATTGCAGTAATCATGGGGAATGTGTCGGAGTGAAGAAAGCTCCGATTTGCTTCTGCGAAACGGGATATTATGGAACAAGGTGTGAGAACGGTAAGTATTTAATGACGTTGGGCTGGTGGATGCCCAAAAAAAGCCTGTAGAAAGCGTCTGTGAGGCGTGGCAAACCCGTTGGAGGCTCGGCGAAGGCTCGGCGGAGGCTCGGCGGAGACTTGGTGAAGTCTTGTAATACACGTATATAGCCCACTTTTCTAACTTCAATCTTATTATTTCTACTAACCAAGCCTTGTCTTTGCCTCCCCCATGGACAAAATGACGGAGCGATCCCTAATATCGTTGACCCGAAAAGTCGTGGAGCCTATAACACGAAAATCTTGGAGGCAAATCCTCCCCAATTTCCTATATCGGGTACCGCTCTTCTTTTCCGAGGGAAGAGAAACGGAAACTTTTGTGGAACTTTTCGGTCGATTTTTCTTGTCGGCCGGGCAAGAAAATTTTCCGCAGCTGAAAAACGGCTCGCTTTACCAAAGTTGACCTGCTCTATCCACCTGTAGCAGTCATTTTCCCAAACGTCGGGGGAAGTTCAGACCATTCCCTTGTAAGCTTCAAATTTGCAAATCCCGATTAAAATTTTGATTATGTTTTAGCGCCGCGCGACCTCTGTAAACAGGCCAAAAGCCTTGCCAAAAGCTTCAAAATCCGTATCCTCAACTTGCCCGACCATCTTCTCCCAAAATCTTCAATTTCAGAGCCCTGCGACAGCCGGACAGGCTGCAACAACCACGGCCTCTGCCTGGGGAGCAAGTCCAAGTTCTCCTGTCTTTGCAATCCCGGCTACAGAGGGCCCTACTGCGGCAAGACCTCACTCAAACCAATCAAGAAGCCGAAAATCCCGTTGTTCGACAACGCCTGCACTCCCGAAGATTGCCGCAACAGAGGTGTTTGTGTTGGCTCCAAGGATCAGCCGACATGTTTGTGTTATCTTGGATTCAGCGGAGCAAAATGCGAGAATGCGATAATTGAGACGCGTAAGTTGGCGGAGGCTTTGGAAAGGCTGTTGAATGCGTCGATGGAGGGATCAGCGGGAACGGGCTTCTTCCATGATTTGATGCAAGAGCTACACGAAAATGCGGTCTTGGAGAATCTGGACCTTGACAAGAATAGCGAGATTAAGCAGAAAAATAAATAAAACAGTGAAAATTGAAGAATTTTGGATTGTTTTCGAAGTGAAAGAGCCTTCAATTAAGTTAGGGGTCCATTAAAATGTCTAATCTTAAACGATGTTGTACAGGGTGGGCCACTCGAAACTGACAAGTTTTTTCTTTGAATTTCCCCGCAGAGACTCCGCCGATTTTTCCAAAATTTAGATTTTTCTGGAGCTGAGACCCGCCATTTTCAACCGACTGAATTTCAAAAAAATATATTTTGAATTGATCTTTCCATGCCTTCTCAAAGTTTTGAAAAATTATTTTCAGGCCGAAACCGCTAAAACTTATAAAATTTTTGGAATGATTTTGAAAACGGTCATTTTTCCGAGTTCTTGGGTGAAATTTTCTTTGTTTTGCCTCAGATAGTTGTCAAATATTGATCCAAAAACAATTTTATTTAACAATCTGATTATTAATGTTTCTATCTGAGTTATTATGTCCATCTCCTCTCGCATCACAAACTTGCAGTGCCTTTGAGAGTCATAAGCAGCGAGAATTGCGTATCGTGGATATGGTTTTACTTCAAACAGGCCGGGCTCTGAGCTTCAAGATGCCCCAGGCCTGACTCGATAACCATTGACGTCGAATTTTTCAATCTTTTTGAAATCTTTTTTTTTAATGTTCGTGCACTAATGGTAATACAAACAACCCTCTTGTGGTTTTCAACTTACTTTAAACAAGTTTACGGCGAGCACTAGCAACTTTTTACTCCACGATTTCCCCAAAAAAAACCAAAAATTTTCCAAGTCCGAGAAAGGCAATTGAAAATCATTCCAAAAGTTTTCAAAGTTTTAGCGGTTTCGGCCTGAAAATAATTTTTCAAAACTTTGAGAAGGCATGGAAAATTCAATTCAAAATATATTTTTTTGAAATTCAGTCGGTTGAAAATGGCGGGTCTCAGCTCCAGAAAAATCTAAATTTCGGAAAAATCGGCGGAGTCTCCGCGGAGAAATTCAAAGAAACAACTTGTCAGTTTCGAGTGGCCCACCCTGTATTTGAATCTCATAAAATCGAAAATATTTGCAGTGGACGCCCAAAAAGGAACTTTCAATCCATGGACGTTGTGTTCATCTTCTGATTGCAATAACAACGGAGTTTGCTTGGGAACCAAGAACAAGTTTGTCTGCATGTGCAACTTGGGCTTCAGTGGAAAGCAGTGTGAAGAAAGTAAGTCGGAAATTACATCATTACGATGAGTTTTATCGGTTGAAGAATGACTTTTAAAACCAGCAACAAGAAGAATTCTAATTGCAGCAAAATCTAATGCCATATTTCAGCCTGGTACCCGCTCTGCGATCCCAGCGATTGCAACAACCATGGGTTGTGCGTTGGAAACAAAAAGACCTTTGTTTGCGCTTGTCATCTGGGCTACACTGGTCGGCATTGTGAGAAAGGTGAGATTAGACCACCACCTCAAATACAATGTAGTATACAATACTACATGTTTATATCTTTGTGTCATAGTATCTTATCGCCCTACTAACCAAACCTAATTCAGTAGTTGGCACGCTGTGCGACTCCTCGGACTGCAACAACAACGGAATGTGTGTGGGGATCAAAGGCTCCGAGACATGTGTTTGCAGTTTGGGATATTACGGAGCGAGATGTGAAAAGCTCCTCGGCGGAGGCGGAGGAATTCTTCCCATCACCCCCACTGACATCTGCACGTTGGGCGATTGTAATCATAACGGACTGTGCATTGGGACGAGGACGTTGCCGATTTGCCTCTGCAATTTGGGTTTTTTGGGATTGAGATGCGAAATTGGTAAGCACATAGCATCGTGGTAATATAGGAACTACAATTATATGATAGAACCTTGTTGTCATAACTACAGCAATTATATTGACGTACTTTAAAATACAAATATTCCAGAGCCCCCTTGCAACTCGCTCCTTCAATGCTCCGGAAATGGCCTCTGCATCGGATCGATGAAGCATTTCAGTTGCTCTTGCAACGTTGGCTGGTCTGGCGCGAATTGTCAGAACTTTATTGGAAAGTAATCGTATTTAAACATTTCTAACCTTACTTTATTAAACTCTTTTCTAACACAAAATACAACTTAAGAATCACTAACGTAATATTGAAGCCTAAGGACAACTCCTATTTGAAGTAAAATCTTGACGCACATTCTTGGAATTGCCAGACAGTGCCCCAACATCTTTGTCTTTTACGGTTCTCATACTCATCAATTACAATATCATTGCATCGTTTTTTGGCTTGCCAGAGTCTAGTCCATTTGTCGAAGACTCTATGAACTCGCTGAACCTTTTCATGCCCTTCGTAATCCCATTGAATTCGGATTATTCTTTTAAAGTATGGTAGGAAATGACTACGTTCCTGGGGCGTCCACTCTTGCCAACCCGCTTTGATAGAGATTGTAAGAGAGGTATTTCCGCAGTAGTTGTCGACCAGTAAACGGTCAAGTCTAGAGCAGTCTGCCGGACAATAATCATGAGGTTCTTGGGTGGGTTGAGGTGGAGCTGGCGATATTGAAGTAGAAGGTTTGCCTGGCGTTGCTGAGCTCGTCTCGTTATCACAAGGAGCCTCCGTTTGCGGCCCTGGGTTAGGCTTATGTGTCGATGATGACGGCTTTGTTGCTTTATTATTACACCTGCACGGTTCTTCAGTTGCATCTGAAGGCTTGGTTCCAGGAGTAGATCCCGGATTTACGGTGCTGCCGTTGTCAAAATGCTCATTAGAATCAGAACTAGCAGATGAGCTGGAAAAGGAAGAATCACTGGAATCCGAAGAACTAGTAGAAGATCCCTCGTTCTCAGCTTGGCTTGCAGGGGATCCTTCGTTCTCAGCTTGGCTTGTAGTGGATCCTTCTTTCTCAGCTTGGCTTGTAGTGGATTCTTTGTTCTCAGCTTGGCTTGTAGTGGATTCTTTGTTCTCAGCTTGGCTTGTAGTGGATCCTTCGTTCTCAGCTTGACTTGTAGATGATCCCTCGTTCTCAGCTTGGCTTGTAGTGGATCCTTCGTTCTCAGCTTGACTTGTAGAGGATCCTTCGTTCTCAGCTTGACTTGTAGTGGATCCTTCGTTCTCAGCTTGGCTTGTAGTGGATCCTTCGTTCTCAGCTTGGCTTGTAGTGGATCCTTCGTTCTCAGCTTGACTTGTAGAGGATCCCTCGTTCTCAGCTTGGCTTGTCGTGGATCCCTCGTTCTCGGCTTGGCTTGTAGTGGATCCTTCGTTCTCAGCTTGACTTGTAGAGGATCCCTCGTTCTCAGCTTGGCTTGTAGAGGATCCCTCGTTCTCAGCTTGACTTGTAGAGGATCCCTCGTTCTCAGCTTGACTTGTAGTGGATCCTTCATTATCAGCCTGGCTTGACGTGGATCCTTCATTATCAGCCTGGCTTGACGTGGATCCTTCATTCTCAGCCTGGCTTGACGTGGATCCTTCATTCTCAGCTTGACTTGTAGAGGATCCCTCGTTCTCAGCTTGACTTGTAGAGGATCCCTCGTTCTCAGCTTGACTTGTAGTGGATCCTTCATTATCAGCCTGGCTTGACGTGGATCCTTCATTCTCAGCTTGGCTTGTAGTGGATTCTTCGTTCTCAGCTTGGCTTGTAGTGGATCCTTCGTTCTCAGCTTGACTTGTAGAGGATCCCTCGTTCTCAGCTTGACTTGTAAAGGATCCCTCGTTCTCAGCTTGACTTGTAGTGGATCCTTCATTATCAGCCTGGCTTGACGTGGATCCTTCATTATCAGCCTGGCTTGACGTGGATCCTTCATTATCAGCCTGGCTTGACGTGGATCCTTCATTCTCAGCTTGACTTGTAGAGGATCCCTCGTTCTCAGCTTGACTTGTAGAGGATCCCTCGTTCTCAGCTTGACTTGTAGTGGATCCTTCATTATCAGCCTGGCTTGACGTGGATGCTTCATTCTCAGCTTGACTTGTAGAGGATCCCTCGTTCTCAGCTTGACTTGTAGAGGATCCCTCGTTCTCAGCTTGACTTGTAGTGGATCCTTCATTATCAGCCTGGCTTGACGTGGATGCTTCATTCTCAGCTTGACTTGTAGAGGATCCCTCGTTCTCAGCTTGACTTGTAGAGGATCCCTCGTTCTCAGCTTGACTTGTAGAGGATCCCTCGTTCTCAGCTTGACTTGTAGAGGATCCCTCGTTCTCAGCTTGACTTGTAGTGGATCCTTCATTATCAGCCTGGCTTGACGTGGATCCTTCATTATCAGCCTGGCTTGACGTGGATCCTTCATTCTCAGCTTGACTTGTAGAGGATCCCTCGTTCTCAGCTTGACTTGTAGAGGATCCCTCGTTCTCAGCTTGACTTGTAGTGGATCCTTCATTATCAGCCTGGCTTGACGTGGATGCTTCATTCTCAGCTTGACTTGTAGAGGATCCCTCGTTCTCAGCTTGACTTGTAGTGGATCCTTCATTATCAGCCTGGCTTGACGTGGATCCTTCATTCTCAGCTTGGCTTGTAGTGGATTCTTCGTTCTCAGCTTGGCTTGTAGTGGATCCTTCGTTCTCAGCTTGACTTGTAGAGGATCCCTCGTTCTCAGCTTGGCTTGTCGTGGATCCCTCGTTCTCGGCTTGGCTTGTAGTGGATCCTTCGTTCTCAGCTTGGCTTGTAGTGGATCCTTCGTTCTCAGCTTGACTTGTAGAGGATCCCTCGTTCTCAGCTTGGCTTGACGTAGATCCTTCATTATCAGCCTGGCTTGACGTGGATCCTTCATTCTCAGCTTGACTTGTAGTGGATCCTTCATTATCAGGCTGGCTTGACGTGGATCCTTCATTCTCAGCTTGGCTTGTAGAGGATCCCTCGTTCTCAGCTTGGCTTGTAGAGGATCCCTCGTTCTCACCTTGACTTGTAGTGGATCCTTCATTATCAGCCTGGCTTGACGTGGATCCTTCATTATCAGCCTGGCTTGACGTGGATCCTTCATTCTCAGCCTGGCTTGACGTAGATCCTTCATTATCAGCCTGGCTTGACGTGGATCCTTCATTCTCAGCTTGACTTGTAGTGGATCCTTCATTATCAGGCTGGCTTGACGTGGATCCTTCATTCTCAGCTTGGCTTGTAGAGGATCCCTCGTTCTCAGCTTGGCTTGTAGAGGATCCCTCGTTCTCACCTTGACTTGTAGTGGATCCTTCATTATCAGCCTGGCTTGACGTGGATCCTTCATTATCAGCCTGGCTTGACGTGGATCCTTCACTCTCAGCTTGGCTTGTAGTGGATTCTTCGTTCTCAGCTTGGCTTGTAGTGGATTCTTCGTTCTCAGCTTGGCTTGTAGTGGATCCTTCGTTCTCAGCTTGACTTGTAGAGGATCCCTCGTTCTCAGCTTGACTTGTAGAGGATCCCTCGTTCTCAGCTTGACTTGTAGAGGATCCCTCGTTCTCAGCTTGACTTGTAGTGGATCCTTCATTATCAGGCTGGCTTGACGTGGATCCTTCATTCTCAGCTTGGCTTGTAGAGGATCCCTCGTTCTCAGCTTGGCTTGTAGAGGATCCCTCGTTCTCACCTTGACTTGTAGTGGATCCTTCATTATCAGCCTGGCTTGACGTGGATCCTTCATTATCAGCCTGGCTTGACGTGGATCCTTCATTCTCAGCCTGGCTTGACGTAGATCCTTCATTATCAGCCTGGCTTGACGTGGATCCTTCATTCTCAGCTTGACTTGTAGTGGATCCTTCATTATCAGGCTGGCTTGACGTGGATCCTTCCTTCTCAGCTTGGCTTGTAGAGGATCCCTCGTTCTCAGCTTGGCTTGTAGAGGATCCCTTGTTCTCACCTTGACTTGTAGTGGATCCTTCATTATCAGCCTGGCTTGGCGTGGATCCTTCATTATCAGCCTGGCTTGACGTGGATCCTTCATTCTCAGCTTGGCTTGTAGTGGATTCTTCGTTCTCAGCTTGGCTTGTAGTGGATTCTTCGTTCTCAGCTTGGCTTGTAGTGGATCCTTCGTTCTCAGCTTGGCTTGTAGTGGATCCTTCGTTCTCAGCTTGACTTGTAGAGGATCCCTCGTTCTCAGCTTGACTTGTAGAGGATCCCTCGTTCTCAGCTTGACTTGTAGTGGATCCTTCATTATCAGCCTGGCTTGACGTGGATCCCTCGTTCTCGGCTTGGCTTGTAGTGGATCCTTCGTTCTCAGCTTGGCTTGTAGTGGATTCTTCGTTCTCAGCTTGGCTTGTAGTGGATCCTTCGTTCTCAGCTTGACTTGTAGAGGATCCCTCGTTCTCAGCTTGACTTGTAGAGGATCCCTCGTTCTCAGCTTGACTTGTAGAGGATCCCTCGTTCTCAGCTTGGCTTGTAGAGGATCCCTCGTTCTGAGCTTGACTTGTAGAGGATCCCTCGTTCTCAGCTTGACTTGTAGAGGATCCCTCGTTCTCAGCTTGACTTGTAGTGGATCCTTCATTATCAGCCTGGCTTGACGTGGATCCTTCATTCTCAGCTTGGCTTGTAGTGGATTCTTCGTTCTCAGCTTGACTTGTAGTGGATCCTTCATTATCAGCCTGGCTTGACGTGGATCCTTCATTCTCAGCTTGGCTTGTAGTGGATCCCTCGTTCTCAGCTTGGCTTGTAGAGGATCCCTCGTTCTCACCTTGACTTGTAGTGGATCCTTCATTATCAGCCTGGCTTGACGTGGATCCTTCATTATCAGCCTGGCTTGACGTGGATCCTTCATTCTCAGCCTGGCTTGACGTAGATCCTTCATTATCAGCCTGGCTTGACGTGGATCCTTCATTCTCAGCTTGACTTGTAGTGGATCCTTCATTATCAGGCTGGCTTGACGTGGATCCTTCCTTCTCAGCTTGGCTTGTAGAGGATCCCTCGTTCTCAGCTTGGCTTGTAGAGGATCCCTTGTTCTCACCTTGACTTGTAGTGGATCCTTCATTATCAGCCTGGCTTGGCGTGGATCCTTCATTATCAGCCTGGCTTGACGTGGATCCTTCATTCTCAGCTTGGCTTGTAGTGGATTCTTCGTTCTCAGCTTGGCTTGTAGTGGATTCTTCGTTCTCAGCTTGGCTTGTAGTGGATCCTTCGTTCTCAGCTTGGCTTGTAGTGGATCCTTCGTTCTCAGCTTGACTTGTAGAGGATCCCTCGTTCTCAGCTTGACTTGTAGAGGATCCCTCGTTCTCAGCTTGACTTGTAGAGGATCCCTCGTTCTCAGCTTGACTTGTAGTGGATCCTTCATTATCAGCCTGGCTTGACGTGGATCCCTCGTTCTCGGCTTGGCTTGTAGTGGATCCTTCGTTCTCAGCTTGGCTTGTAGTGGATTCTTCGTTCTCAGCTTGGCTTGTAGTGGATCCTTCGTTCTCAGCTTGACTTGTAGAGGATCCCTCGTTCTCAGCTTGACTTGTAGAGGATCCCTCGTTCTCAGCTTGACTTGTAGAGGATCCCTCGTTCTCAGCTTGGCTTGTAGAGGATCCCTCGTTCTCAGCTTGACTTGTAGAGGATCCCTCGTTCTCAGCTTGACTTGTAGAGGATCCCTCGTTCTCAGCTTGGCTTGTAGAGGATCCCTCGTTCTCAGCTTGACTTGTAGTGGATCCTTCATTATCAGCCTGGCTTGGCGTGGATCCTTCATTATCAGCCTGGCTTGACGTGGATCCTTCATTCTCAGCTTGGCTTGTAGTGGATTCTTCGTTCTCAGCTTGGCTTGTAGTGGATTCTTCGTTCTCAGCTTGGCTTGTAGTGGATCCTTCGTTCTCAGCTTGGCTTGTAGTGGATCCTTCGTTCTCAGCTTGACTTGTAGAGGATCCCTCGTTCTCAGCTTGACTTGTAGAGGATCCCTCGTTCTCAGCTTGACTTGTAGAGGATCCCTCGTTCTCAGCTTGGCTTGTAGAGGATCCCTCGTTCTCAGCTTGACTTGTAGAGGATCCCTCGTTCTCAGCTTGACTTGTAGAGGATCCCTCGTTCTCAGCTTGACTTGTAGTGGATCCTTCATTATCAGCCTGGCTTGACGTGGATCCTTCATTCTCAGCTTGGCTTGTCGTGGATCCCTCGTTCTCGGCTTGGCTTGTAGTGGATCCTTCGTTCTCAGCTTGGCTTGTAGTGGATTCTTCGTTCTCAGCTTGGCTTGTAGTGGATCCTTCGTTCTCAGCTTGACTTGTAGACGATCCTTCGTTCTCAGCTTGACTTGTAGTGGATCCCTCGTTCTCAGCTTGGCTTGTAGTGGATCCCTCGTTCTCAGCTTGGCTTGTAGTGGATTCTTCGTTCTCAGCTTGGCTTGTAGTGGATTCTTCGTTCTCAGCTTGGTTTGTAGTGGATCCTTCGTTCTCAGCTTGGCTTGTAGTGGATCCTTCATTCTCAGCTTGGCTTGTAGTGGATTCTTCGTTCTCAGCTTGGCTTGCAGTGGATCCTTCGTTCTCAGCTTGGCTGGTCGTGGATCCTTCGTTCTCAGATTGACTTGTAGACGGTCCTCGGCTGGGAGGTGTATGTGTAGGCAATGTGTTTTGAGTGGGAGCTGTTGATGGTGGCGAATTAGTTGTTTCTTCTTTGCAGGGGCAGCAGCGGCCAACATGTTCAATTTCGGCGGCGCAACTTCTTTGTGATGCATATAATAGCAGAAACATTAGCCCAAATCTTGTGCCCATTTTTAACCTTTTTATGCTCAAAACTAGCTTTCAATTTTCGAGCGAAATTGTTCTCAACTGTCCTATATATACCAATTTTGAAAGCTGTTTACATGGAGTTTTGATCCACTTTAAGGTTAACGTATTTAAAAACTGTTTGTCAACCGATAATCCTAGTGCAAAGGAGAAGTGTAGGCTGTTTGACGTATAATAGATTGTTTTCGGTTTGTTACAGATTTTTGCGTTTGTTATCTCTTGGACCTTGCGATCAACTGGCAGTGGTGGCAGTTGTCACGATTCCGTGAGAGGTCCCCAAGAATTTGCATAACCCGATCGATATTGATATATGTAAATGTAGATTGGGTCCGAACAGTGCACGTGACGCAAACAGTGCACTTGGGCGATTTTTGACCCTGAGTGATGCACCTGAGCGAACTGTGCACCTTGAAAAAAATATTTTTTGTTGGAATTGAAAAAAATTTTAACTTTTTTCAATGGTTGTAACCGACAATCTTCTCGATTCCTCCTTTTTCTTCTGCTTTCAGAGAACTGAGTCCTGCAGGTGTGATCAAAGGTTCTTTTCATGGTTTAATCTGATCTTCATGGAACCATTTTGGTTTCTCTCTTGGATCGTCCGTGCTGACTGCCAATATCCTTACACCTTTGATTTCTATGATTCGATATACCCGGGATGGTTATTTTTTGGGTTATCAAAAGAATGACATCTTTTTCACAAGCAAAAAAATTCGTTTTTGCCAATCCCGAAAAACATTTCAAAATTTTGTTCAATTATTCACAAACAAGTCTCTTTTGACAATCCCGAAGCGAAAACATTTCAAATTTTTCAATTCTAACAAAAAAATCATTTTTTTCAAGGTGCACTGTTGGCCCAGGTGCACTGTTGATTGACAACCTTGTAACATTAGAATCCTCGATATCAATTTCTCCAGAATATTCCGTCTTTAGCATTTTGCTCACAAGTATTTATTTATTGCAAATTCCGAGAAATCATCACAATTTCTTTGCGTTTATAGTCGTTTACTTTGCGCAGCTGCAGAACTGCTGAACCTTTCCCCATTTGGAGGTCTGCTTGTTGTTTTCGCAGTTGTAGACATCAATATCATAGACCTTTTGTTTCGCCGTCGCGTCCTTTGTCCAGTTGTTGAAGACTTTCACAACTTCGTTGATACAGTCCTGCCCAGTGTAGTCTTGTTGGACTTTGATGATTCGTTTGAAGTAGCCCACAAATCTCGATTGTTCACTTATGCTCCATGTGGAGACAGCAGATTGTAGCGAGATTGTCAGCGAGGTGTTTGAGTTAGTGCCGGTTGTGGTAAGCTTGGTGGCCGTACTGCAATCGCCGGCGGAGTCAAAGGAAACATTGGCTTCTTCTTCCTGGAAATTAAAGGCTTTTTGCAAGGCGTTCAATCTTGGCGATGCATAAAACTCCCCTCAAACTCATTCAATTCTCTGTTTTGCGAAGCCCTATACGTTCTCGAAGACTTACAAAAGCAGTCGCCGCGATCAGCTGCCCAATCGATCCGTACTCACTCAACTCCAGGCTGAACACCACCTTCAACGACCACTCTTCCAGAATCAAGAACTGGTACAGCTCCTGCTTGAGGATGCTGACGCGATCTTTGATGGCGGTTGACTGATCAAACTCGGAGGTGAGTTTTTGAGCAAGTTGTTTGATTTGCGCCCGCTGGCTCTTACTTCCAGTGGACTCCTGTTGGTAGGCTTGGGTTAGCTGGGTGATAAGTGGGCAAGAGCTTGCATCTCCGCCGATGACCTTGGAGTAATTGGAAATCCGCCAGTACTGAAAAGAGATGGTCGTTGCTTTAAAATTTTTGGCCACCCTCTACAGTCGTATGGCCCTAATGTTTCGTTAATTTTTTTGCGGCTAACTTACATAACTCGCAACACTACAGAACACAGAAATCGTCCCGTATTCCTCGATCTCTCCCGCCAAAATGGTCGCCTTGTCCGCCGTATTAGCCTTGAAGAAATCGTCAAGTTGGGAGTAAACTTCGACCAGCTTCGATGAGCTGGACTCTGATTTCTTTAGCGTCGCAGTCAACGATTTTATCAGTGTCTCCACTTTTCCCTCCAGCTCAGAATTCCCCTTGCTGGCATTTCTCAGCGCCTCAAATAATGGGCAGTCATCATTGCCATCCAGCTCGATTACGACATCAGTTACTGTGTATTGAACATCTACCGTCAGCTCCTCCAGATCCGCGACGTACCCCTCCCATTCGTCGACGTAGATGTAGTTGATGATGACCTTTGTTTCGGCGTATTTCTCTATGAAAATATCAATCTCGCCTTGTATTTTGACCAATTTTTCCTCATCGGACAAGACCGAGTCGAAGATGACATCTTCTTGAAGTTGGTCGATAAGTTTCACCCACGCCACTTGAGTGTCGTGTCCGGGAAGGTCTGGAGTGACTTTGATGAGAAGCTTGAAGAGAACACAGAGATCGGCCTCGCCGTACTTATCACTGTAGCTTTCGTCGGAGCAGCAGCCGGAACCGTAATCGCCGGAGCCTGAACCGGAACCTGAAAATTGAAACGAAGATAATAAACAAGCCTTTCCGTATTTTGCATAGCTCATCTTGCAGTATACCTTGTGTAGGGATATACTGTAATATGAGATATTTTGGGAACATATCGGTTGAATCCAAAGAGAGCACCTGGGCGAAGAAGCCACCTGGGTGAAGAGGGCACCTTGAGAAAAAAATGAAATGGTAAGGGGGACCAAGGCGGATTGTGATCATTCTGAAACAATCCGCCTTTTTCCTCTCTTACCATATATGATCTTTTTGGCAAACCAAAAAAATCAGCCATAAAAATCACTCTGAAAATCTGCCTTGGTCCCCCGTATCATTTAATTTTTACCGGCGCACGTCAACTGAAGAGTCCGGCGACCGGAATAGACCCTTCGGTATCGGTTTTTTACACTTCGCCTTGATTTCACAGAGAAGGCAGAGAAAAAACGTGTAAAAACCTACTCTCTCGCCCCAAAAACTCCCCATTTCTTCATCGACAAAAGGTTTTTTTTGCGTCTTTTTTGCCAATCTATGAACATGACCGTTTTAGCATACCTCAGTTTGACGTGCGGTGCCCTCATTGCACAGGTGGCTTTTTCGTCAAGTGCCTCTACGTTAGGCTCTCGTTAGGCTCTCTCTTCAGACCAAATCAAAAAAAATATCATTGCCCTACCTGACCCACTTCCAACCACATCGTCCTTATCTTTCCCATCGCAATCACAGTTGTCCGGCCCCTTCACCTCGCCCTTACTCTTCGCTCCTCCTTGAAGCAATTTCCCGCAGTTGCCTTGTCTAGCCTTTGCATCCGCCACAAAGCTTGAATCCTTCTTTACGTAGGTCGCAACGCCCACCGTGGCCAATAACAGTAAAATACCGTATAAACGCATGGGTTTATCTTTAGGGTGTATGGGGAAATTGGTTAGGAATAACAACTTTGATATCGGGAACAAAGTCGGTTTGATTGTAACCGAACTGGTAGTCGTTTTATATAGTAACGATGGGGTTGATTGCAGGTCAATCCAGTTGTTTATTGGGTCAGGATTTGAATACATGTATGGAGATTTTCAACGAGGTTGTTTTCGTCTGCTGACTGATTAACATGTGGTTCTATGGAATTATGTATTAATATTGAAAATAATAGTAAAAGGAATTTACAGGGGAATACCCCAAGTTCAACGTTCAGATTTTCTTCAAATTTTAAACACTCTGCGGGAGTATACACCACATCAATTACCGATAGTTTTAGGTCGCGCATTGAGGTTCCAGCCAAGATATTTAACGATCTTTTTTAAGAGAGTACGAGAACCATAAAAAAAGTTTTTATTAACACAAACAATATGTACAATTCAGGGGTGATTTCTCAGCGTAATGAACGGCTTATGATAGAGTGAAGTTGGTCATGACCAGCTGAGGTCCGCTGCTCTGCATGTCCTTGCAAAAGCAGAAGGGTTTGATCTGAAAAGACAAAAGATTACCAAGTAACTATACGAAATGAACCCTATAGACATTTAGCTGATTTTGAATCCAATAGGCTATATCCGAACCCGGCTAATTTGTCTGTTTCGCGATCAAAAAATAAAAAAAAAATTCAGTGGGGGCCTGATCCAGTGGCAAACAAATGTACAATTTTGCATCCGGAAAGTATTTAAAAAATGTGGCAAAATACCTCCTTCTCCAAGTGAAAAAAACAGCGATTTCAAAAGCTCTTTTTGGGGAGAGGGCGCGCCCTTCAAAACGAAGTTTTTTCACTTGGAGAGGGAAGCATTTTGCCACATTTCTGATACTTCCCGGATTCAAAATGATACGTTTTTTGTCAATGATCAGCTTCGTCACTGTGGTTATTTTGGGGTATAGTTTCCATACACTTGTCTAGTGGCTACCAACGGTGAAGCAGCTGCGAAAAACGTCTTACAGAGCCCGTATGCTCCACAGAGCTCTGTGGATTAATTTTTAACAATCAACCTATGTTGTTAACCCCCTCAACTTACATAAGTGTCCTTGCAGCAATACGCAGCCTCCTTATAAGAATCCAGCCGCGCCGGTCTCTCCGAGATCAGACTGAAAGTCACATTGGCGCTGTTCAATTCTCCATGAGCTTGAACGTATGCCCAAACTCTTCCGCCGCCGGGTGAGAGTCTTACAGTAACCTTAAACGCGTTGAAGTGTTGACCCGCCTCGAACTCCTCAACTTCGATGGGAGTTTCGAAATGCAACCCAAGCTTCCCACAGATCGAACTTTGGTTGTGCCTTTCGACAGCGCCGTTGATCCAATCCACAAGGAAATTGGCAATCTTCGCGGTGAAATTCTTGTCACCACTCCGATCTTGTTGTTGAAATTGGCAGCTGCAAAAATCGAAGGGAATCCGTTGATTGTTGCAGTTTCTGGGCTTTTCGAGTTTGTAAGCATGCAAGTAACTCTCTCCGATGATTTCAAGGCCGGTGTTGGGCTTTTTGAAGCCATCAAAGGAGGAGTTGGCGTTGTAGAAGGGGGAGTTCTGAAAGATAATTTGTTTGTCCGTCGGGAAAATAGTGAACGCTCTGTCGCAGCGAAACCCGCATCGCCGGTGAGAAAATTAATTGTGTCGTGGCAAAATCAAATTGACAAAAATTGGCGCTTCAAGGTCTTTCCTTGAGAAATTCGCAAAGACTTTCTTTGCGAATTGCAAAACGCGAGCAAAAATTTTCAAGGATTTGTGTGTGATCTAGTTACTGTATGTGCTCAAAATAATAGAAAAAAACGAGCCACGTCAAACTGAGTACTACGGTGACCGAAATAGACCCTTTGCTATCGGTTTTTTACACTTGGTCTTGATTGCACAGAGAAGACAGAGAAAAGACGCGCAAAAACGCACTCTCACGCCCCAAAAATTCCCCATTTCTTTTTCGACAAAAACATTTTTCGCGTCTTTCTTGGCGAATTGCCAATTGATTCACCTAACCATTCAAGCAAGGAAATTTTCTTTTTCTCAGTTTGATATGCCCCGCGTTTTAGGTTCTTCTATCGCCACCTTACATGAGCAATATCCACCAATGTCGCATACGTATCATAGTGAGTTGTCAATTGCTTCGAATTCTTTTTCATATTGCTCCAGAGCTGTTGATTGGCCCTCAAATGTCTCGGCACTACCACCATCAGCAATGGATTCTTCTCTTCGGCTTCTCCAAGCTTGGTGTCTCGAATTTTGTCGTAACGGTTTCCATGGTCCCCCATTACAATTAAATAAGAATTCGAGAGCTGAAGATTCTTTGACTGATGATTTTTCGGTCTACCTTTTCCTTGTTTTCTCTCAAAAATCTCTGGAAATACATGTCCACATGAAAGAGGGCGTTTGTGTCATCATGCGCCAGGTAGGCGAACCAATTAATCGAGAACTTTGGCTTGTCCGGATAAGCGTTTATAAAGTCCAAAAAGTAGTCCATTTGATACTCATGCGGCTCTCGACACATCTCATCGTACATTCGACGACGAAAGGTCGAGTTGAAACCTTGACTTCTCATCGATTCAAGTCGAAGTTGAAAGGGTCTAAAGGTCAAATTTTTTGGATTTTTGTATATGTATGAAGAGATAATTTGCAAGCTTAGATAGACTGCTCAACTCGAAAAGGAATTTTGAGCTGATCAAACAAATATTGAAGCTATAGGGTTTGGTAGAAAGTAGCAGAGACATTGGAGATGACTAGTAAACAATCAAGTTGAGGGTGGTGGGAACTACATTCTTTGAAGTCTTTTGTCACTGCACAGCACAAGTAATACGTATATTTTTTACGTTTTGGAAATCTAAAAATTCATTGCATACAGAAAGGGCGACTGACGTCAAACTGAGTAGTCCGGTGACCGAAATAGACCCTACGCACGTAAAACCGAAATAGAACAAAAATGTCTCCCGCCTACGTTTGAGTTTCGTCCAAACGAAGTGTCAAAATTGACAAAAGAAATAAAATAATTTCGAGAAAAATATTTTTCCATCGAAAAACAATTCTGTTGTGCCATTTCGTGTGAATTTGAACGACACTGGGTGTGCGAAGTGCCGAAACGAGGAGGGAGACTCCCTGGGTTGCCGTGCTTCGCTATCGGGTTTTTACACTTCGTCTTGATTTCACAGAGAAGACAGAGAAAAGGCGCGCAAAAGCGTACTCTCTCGCCTCAAAATCTCCCCATTTCTTCCCCGACAAAAAGTTTTTAGCCCTTTTTTTGGCGATTTGCCAATCCGTTCAGCAGACCGTTTTAGCTTATCTCAGTTTGACGTGTGTGAGGCGGAACGACCGACGAGGAACGATCTGCATTTATTCAAATTTGATTGCACTTTCCTACGTGGGGCTTCCCTATATAAGGCCTCTTTTCCACTGAATAAATCACTTTACTCTTGAGCTCTCGTCTTGTCTCGTTACTGGGTTGTCGGGCCTTTCGACATCGTGCAACTTGCTTAGTTGGCAGTCGTATCAACACTCTCTTACCTCATGTAATGATCCACCGGCGGTCTCTCGAAGCCCTTGCAATTCAGCCAATTGAACACCCCCATATCCCAATCCTCCGCGAACATTGTCTTATACCCATTCTTCTTAAATTCGTACCCAATGAACTGATCGTCATCCAAGTAACGTTTGTTGCAAACCTCGGACGCATTGTACTTTGGCGGGAACCGGTCGTTCACCGGCGATTCATCCATCTCATAGACCTGATGGCCAAAAAGTAAAGCGTGTGCGTTCGGCATACTGTTGATCCCGACCTTGTTCAGATGCGGGAAGAGACGGGCGTCGTAGTCGTGTCGGAGGAGGTTTAATGTAGCCGACATGGAGCGCATAAATTGAGTGGACGCTACGGAGTCGAACACGATGATGTGGACGTCCGGCCGAGGATTGGAATAATTTGGGGAGGATCCGGAATGGAGCCGCTGGAGATCAAGCTTGTCGGGAGGAGTTGTTGTGGCAAAGTTTAGCTGAGATTGTGAGGGTGTTTGAGATTCGTGGGGCGAGCTGAAAGTGTTCGTGAAAAGGAGAACTCAGCGCAAAGTTTGACTAACAAGGGTAGTAATCCAGGTGTGATGCTCATATTTTGATGAAGTTTGGCACAAATTTACAGGGTTTTCAAGAAACGTAAAGGAAATTCGGGGGCTATAACTCTCGGCGGAGGCGGCGCAGAGACTTCGTTTTTGGAGTATGTATTTTTAAGCGGCATTAATTTTTGCCTATGAAATGGCAAAATTTTAATGTGCAAAGTGAGGTCGTTACGATCTTTTGAAGTAAGGTGATTTCTACCCCGAAAACCAGTGTTTTTCGGTTGAAAATGACCGAGACATTTCGTATTCTTTCGGTTGAAAATCACCAAGAAATGTCTTGCCTATTTCTGCCATAGAGGGTAATGCTTCCACAAAACAATATTTTTTCCGCGCAAAACTGGCAAAGATACGGCCAAAAAGTGTATTCTCTGACCGCTCTCCACGTACTCTCTCGGCCTAAAAGATTGTTGAATATCTCAGCTTTCCCTGAGAAGCGCGAACTAAAACTTTCAAGGGTTGATATGTGGCCTATCCCAGAAATGTGCGTATAATTTGAAGAAAATCTGAGCGTCGCACTTGAGGTACTTCCTCTGTAAATCTAGCAACCCCAACATTCTAAAGACTTACTCTTTTCGATAGACTTGAGTGTGAATAACATTATACTTGAAGAAAGGATCATCTCTCCGAGAGCAATTTACTTCCAGAACATCACAATCCGCCACCTCCGAAATGGGCAGCCAATCTCCTTGAGTAAAATTGTAGTCATTGTCCAGATACATACAACTGAATTTAGACGTATCAATTGTTAAAACAGTTGCGAATAACGTCTATAAAGTCGATTTGTATATGTAATCTTACCTAAATCTGCATTCAGTGCCACTTTTAACTTCGTCATCATACAAAACAACCCTTCCGTTCCTCATAAACGACCTTGTCTTGTACTGCACTTGACAGCCAAACATTTTATTATTGCTTTTGTCAATAAATGGTAATGCCTTCTCGCTCCATGGATCCAAATCCGGCAATTTGCATTCCATGGATTGGACTCGTGAAAGGTTTTTCAAATTGCGTTCAGTCGGTCCATTTTTATCGCCGGCTGTTTTGTTGAAAACAACCCGTTGATTGAAGACGTACTGATCCAGATTGATGAGGTTCGGATTCAACATTATTGTCATCATACTGCTCAATGCAAGGAGCATCAAGAAACGGGAGAAAATGGCGAGGAAGCGAGGCATTTGGCAGTGCAGCTAAAGAGCTTGTGCTTGGGTAAAACGGTGCCAATAAAGTGTCTTAGCTAAAATATCGAAGTGAAGTTCACAGAAAATATACCAAAAACAGAAGATTGAATGCATTACTAAGCATCCCCAGTAATTTTTTTTTAATTTTCAATCCTGCCCATTTTCTGAACCATTTAGTTAGACATGACTTTTTGGGTCAACGACAGTTCGGGTCAACACAAAATCGATTGATACGAAGCGTATGATAGGTTCAGAGCCAAAAAAGAGTTGTAGGAAGTGCCTACGAGGCCTGCCAAAGCCGCTGGATGGTCGGTGGACGTCCGGCGAAAGCTTGGCGGAGGCTTGGCCAAGACTTTCAGTATAACCACAATTTCTGATTTTAGCTCATTCTACCCTTAGTTTTCTTGATCCTGAGTTATTGTAGCATAGAAAAGACCCAAAATTTATCCAAAAACGAAGATGCTTAAGTAGTAGTTGGATATTATTGCAGTAATACATGTATTAAAATATGTACTTCCAAATAAGTGATAAACTATTCTTGGACTTGATTAGTCTATCATTTCTGTTAACAAAGCCTTCTAATAGCTTCACTCATGCATAAAACGACAAACCGAGGTAACCCAAAGTACCGTCGACTCGAACTGTCGAGCCCAAAAAGTGGTAGCGCCAAATATCTCACGAGTGCAAAGTTCGGATACTACAGTATATAAAAGTCATAGCAACCAATCGGCTTGAAAATAATTTCTTGAAATAAAAGTCAATGTACATTGAAAAGTTGTGATTCCCACGCAAACCCGCTCTTTCCCCGAAATTGAGCAAACTTCTGGCCTTGATTGACTTCACGAAACATTATAACAAAACGAATCCAATTCACTGTTTGCCCAACATTTGTATTTATATCGCCATATATAGGTTGTAGGACGTCAGTGGCGGACGGAAACTTGGACCAATCATAAAAAGTCTTGATCTATTGTTTTGCTAAAAACGCCGCGTCTGAATAAACAAATTTTTTGTTGTGTTGGCCCAGTCGGATGACCGTTTCAATTAGTTTTAATGGCAGCTGAATAAAGAAGCCTGTGATATTCGTGAGGAAAATGGAATTTGTGCACTTTGCTGGGAATTTGTTGTAAGCTGGGAAAAGGTTAATTGGAGACTAATTATTCCAGAAAGTTGCAAAGTTTGTAATTTTTGGAAAGAAAGTGTGGAAAGTACCCAAACAACGAGGAAAATGTATTTGAAAAAATGGCGCACATCAAACTGTACTCGTTTTCCCACAGCCTCTCGGATGTAAAAATGGCTTACGAGAATCCTAGCTCGCGCTTTGCAGAAACAACCGAGATTTTTAGATCGAAAGTCGGCGAAAATTTAGGACTTTTTGCCGAGTTTCGGCACGAAAACTTTCATACCTATTTCTACCGTAAAGTGTAATGTTTCTACAAAAAATAATTTTTTTTGCACAGAACTGGCAAAGTTATGGCCAAAAAGTGTTTTTCTCTCTGAACGCTCTCCGCGTTTTCTGTACTCTCTCAGCCGCAAAGATTGTTGAACATCTCGGCTGCGCCTGCAAAGCGCGAGCTAAAACTTTCAGGATTTGAAATTTAGTCCATCCCCGACGTGTGCGCAAAATTTAAAGAAAATCTGAGCGTTGCACTTGGGGTACTTCCCTTGTTAATGTCTTTGAAAACTGGTCAACTTCAACTGTCTCTGCAGCAAAATTAAAGCACCCAAAATATCTCGCCTCGCCGCTATCGTGTACCAAATCCCCAGTTGTGGCTTTCCGTCGCAAGGCGATGATGTGCAATTCCATGGCGTTCATATCAATTGACCCTTGTTTTTGTAATGTCTGATACTTTTACAATATAATTTTTGAGTCATTGAAATTGACGGGAAGAGGAATCGAACCCGGGTCCTAGAAAAGCATGTGAGATATGTGATTGAACAACAACAGGATTATGATAATCTTCGTCTATGCTTTGCTATAAAAATCGGTCAGAACTATCAGAAGAGTCATTCCACTAGATTTCTTGTATTTTCTAATACAAGAATCTGCAAATTTAACTACTGTTTTTTGAAATTTCAACTTCTAAGAATGAGATTTCTCGTTATTTGCACCATTCTTGCCGTAATTATGGCTGCAACTAATGGATTCTTCTTGAAAGATCATTTTGACGACAGAATTCAGAGAGTCAAGAGAGTTTTCATCGGACTTGGAGGAAATCCCCCATCGATCACTGACAACACACCAACCAAGAAGTGATGGTAGAATACTGTACTAACCGGTGGGAAAGAAAGTTGTAAAATATAATAAATATTTTTAAAGCTCTTGAAATAAATGCTGTTTTAATCCCGTATCTCTTGGCGGAAGTCCTCTTGATTTCCTCGTCATGTTCATGCGATAATCGATACATTTTTTTTGTAACTTTTTTAAAATCCAAATATTGGCTTATTTTTGCCGACAACTCGAGTCTCACTTTCGAATCAAGTTGCCCCTCCTTCAATCTGCCGGGCAGGTCAATCGAGCGCATTTCCTGAGCCGTTTCGAGGTTTCCTCCACACATTGATTGGCCATCAGATTCTAGGCTTCAAAATTCCTTCAAAAAAATTTTTGAGAAAACAAAAGATTGGTCTCAGAAAATCAGAAAATGTTCAGAATGTTATTTTATGACCAGAAAACAAGGTCCTGTTCCGGCTAGTCAAGAAACAACTCGTCCCGACTTTTCGGGTCGACGACCGTTTGGGTCAACTCGTATCGATCGATTTTGCGTTGCAACACAAAATCGATCAATACGGAATGTAGGGCAGCTGGATACTCAAAAAAAGGTTGTAGGAAGTGTCTACGAGGCCTGACAAAGCCGTTGAATAGTCGGCGGACGCCCGGCAAAGGCTCGGCGGAGACTTGGCAAAGGTGTTTTAGCTATTATGACGTTAGTTTTGATGACCGTGAGTTATTGTAACATACAAAAGACCGAAATTTGGGGCAAAAAACGATGATCTGTAACTTTTATCTAGATATTATTGATGTGAGTACATGTAAAATATGTACCTCAAAATAGGTGATAAGCTATTCTAGGGCCCGATCAATCTTATTATCTCTACTAAATAAGCCTTCTCCTAGCCTCCTCCATGCACACAACGACGAACCGACACGACCCATAGTATCGTTGACCCGAACTGTCGCTGACCCGAAAACTCTTAGCGCCTTAAAAATCAACAAGTTCTACGTGCAATTATTGCGTGGACCCATTCCGCCAGACGACGAAAACAAATCGCTCATATCAATTGACCTGTTTACGGGCCTTTTCCGTTGATTTACAATCTGTGAGCGAAACGCTTTGCTCCGACTTGAAGGCAGAGTTTATACCACAATCATCTGTAAAGTTTTTTAATAGTACTTTTTGATTTTTTTCTTTGGACTGTTGTCTACTTTTTACTCAAACTTTTCTTTTTTTTGTCAGCCTGATGCAATGAACTTAACCGCTTGTCTTGAAAGTGTAACATTCAATTGATGATTTATGGTCACCGAAATAACGGTCAGATTTTTTGGTCGACCTTTGCTTATCGAATTATTTTTGGAAATATATTTTTGAAATTTTCACGTCTCGATGGGAAAGAAAATTTTCTCAATGATGTCCGTGGGCAATATGTGTAATTTAGAAATAATTTTTTACGGGAATTTGTGAAATTGGCAGCCGTTAATTTCAAAAAATCGCTAAAAATGAATTTTTGGCAGTTTCCAACCTAAAAATTCTGGTGACTTTTCTAAACCACAAGATACACATATTATACAAATTGTACACCTCGTAGGTGAAATCGATCCGCCGAAATCTTTCACTAGAGTTTTTACGCAAAAGTTTGCATGATGCTCCCGAAATCTTTATTGTCTTTTATTTATGCAATAGCATCTTCTAGCGGCCGCTGTATAACACTTACCATTTGGTGAGGGTTCGTTTGTACACTTCCCTGGTGAGATATGAAACTTGACATTGCTCGCCAGCAGGTTCGGACCAAAAACCGTGCGCCGGGAGAGGTCGGTCCTGCCCGTTTCAACTTTGCTTCGGCCCAGGCCAGGCCTAAATTTGCTCCGGCCGATCTGCGCTCCTGCCAGCGGGCCGAAAAAATGTTCCAGTTTGCATCCGGAGAGTATCAAAAAATGTAGCAAAATACCTCCCTATTCAAGTGAAAAAACTCCGCTTTGAAGAGCGCGCCCTTTCCCTAACAAAAAACGGGAAAATATAATAATGAGATAAAAACGGATGAACGTGGCTTTTACAGTGGACCTGATCCAGAGGCAAAAAAAGTATCATTTTACACAAAAAACGTGGCAAAATACCTCCCTCTCCAAGTGAAAAAACTCCGATTTCAAAAGCTCGTTTTGTGAGGGAAACGGCGCGCCCTTCAAAACGGAGTTTTTTCACATGGAGAGGAGGCATTTGGCTACATTTTTTGATACTTCCCGGATGCAAAATGATACCTTTTTGCCACTGAATCAGGTCCGCCACTGTATAACATTTCTCTTCAATCTCGTCACTGTCACAAGCCACCCACTTTGCGAGAGATCGCACAGATTGAGGAGAGTCGGCCAGAAGAAGAACGGCCTTTTGCAATAATTTTTAGTTTTCTGCAAGAAGGCATTTGACTTTTTACAATACTATTCTATGTTTTGCCATTAATCACAAACTTTTTTTTCCTGTATCGCAACATTCCCCACGAAAAATAAAAAAAAATTTCGTTGAATTTGCGAAGAAAAAAAGATGATTTGTTCTGTTCTCAACCGCTTCCAAAAGCCTTTTCTTATCACCCAAAATAATAAATAAACTCTAATAATCGCGTTGACATCACTCTGACAACGTCATGCGTTGTCTTGAAATCTCAAATTTTCTATTTTTTTGTCATACGCTTCCGTAATTTATCAAAAAAAAAGTCGCGTGGATTCCGACGGCATGTGATTGCACCCTCTTTCTGCTTCGACCCCAACCCTGGCTATGGTTGCTGGAAGT